ACTGTAATAATAATCTTGCATTTGATATTGCGTCTTATCGCATCATCAAAGTCTCAAAGAGCTTCACAGGACATACTGTAAAGTGGATTGACTGTATATGCAGCAGCCAGTTCCGCACAGCAATGATCCACAAACATCCACGGAGTGAGTGATCAATTTTTTTTATTTGCGGGATTGTTGGCCAGGACACCGGGGGAGAGGAACTCCCATCTCTGACCCAGAGGTGAGACAGTGACCAACTGAGCCACGTTGGCACCTGACCCTAGGGGAAATCAGAAGGAAGGAAATCAATCTGAAGTTGGAACTGGCAGAGGGCCCTGGTTATGAACATGCGTGATTGTTGCAATAATAATGGTTTCTGATCAGCCTGAAGATTCTTTTCACTTTACAAGCTCCAGATATCGCAGGTGAATAGTTTAAGCATTGCTTTCAAAGTCCATGATATCATCTGACCTGACCAGTTTGGAAACTGGTCTGCAGTATTGCAGTGATTCATTAACAGGCATGTCTGAATGGTGCTTAGTTAACATACCTATCACTCCATTAGCAGTTTGCATAAAAACCCTTATAGACCCATTCTATCGATTTCCCCAATAGCTTTTTTGGGTCAAAGCACCACCTGGTGCAGGTAGAGGAGTGCTGCACAGTCAAAGAAGCCGTCCTTCGGATGAAACATTAAACTGAGGCCCTGCCTGGCTATACAGGTGGATGTTAAAGATCCCATGTCACCATGTGGAGTCCTGTAGCTCAGCGGTTAGAGCACGTGCTTTGTAAGCGAGAGACCTGGGTTCAATTCCCGACAGGATGAAACCTTGGGCAAGTTTCCTTACTCCACACGCCTGATAATAATCCTTCAAACAAAATAATAAATTGGTCATTTCAATCCACAACTGTTTGTGGGACACTGCTGTGCGAAATTGGCTGCCGCATTTTGCCCACAAATATACAGTCAATTCACTTTACAGTCTATTCTGTGAAGCTCTTTGAGATGTCTAGAAGATGTGAAAAGCGCTATATCAAATGCAAGGATTATTATTATTATTATTCGAAAAGAGAAGAGAATTTGTCCCCTTGTCCTTGTCAACAATTTCCCCAGATGACGTGAAAGGTGCTGATATAAATGCAATCATTTGTTGCTGTAAGGATTAACATTATTTTATTGTTATCACTGAGATCATTGGATGAAGCTCAGTGGAACGAATGTAAATAGGAGATGATTACTTCTGGAGACTCCCACTACATTCCAGGGTGGATGCTGTGTCCTTCCTTCAATACCGGTTTCACCACATACCACAGACAGGTGGAAATTGGTTTTCAGGGCATTATTTCAGGGTGAGTCATGCACATAGCATCTGAAATCCAGTTCAGCAGTTCAGCTTCCATATAAAATTCCTCTTCTAATTTCATCCACCAATTTACATGCCCCTACCTACCTACACCAGTGAAGCAGAATCCTTGTCTGATGCTCATCAATGTACCACAAAAGTTACAAGCTCTTAGATGAGATCTCCAGCCCTGTGCAGTTGTCGGGGAAGCATTTTCTCTCTGCTCACTCAAGCTGAAACCCAATGGCAGATGCTCTTTTTGCCCCCCCCAACCGCCCACCCTAGTCCAAAATGGGGGCACAGAACAGAGTAGGGTGGGATTGTTGCTCAAACCCTGAGGCAGGCTATGGCATTGATTAAAATCTCGTCGAAAACCTTATTGATGATAATAATAATAATCGAGAGGACATCACAAAGCACTTATGATAAAATAGTGACTGTATTTTGTAGCCGAATGCAACAGGCAAGTTGCAGCATTTGACCTCAGTGAACACTGAACACCCCAGGGCACTGTTGGAAAACAAAGGAAGTTTGCCCCAGTGTCCTGGCCAACAATCCACCAGAATAATTATCCCTTCACTTCATTCCTCTGTGTGGGACCATGCTGTGCGAACTTTTGACTGCCTCATTCGCCTACAAAAAACGCATCCACTACAGTTGACAAAAATTCGCTACAGAACAACTTTGTGGTGTTTTGTCATTATAGGTACTATATGAAATTGTAGGTGTTGTTATTATAGTACAGTATTATACATCAAAGGAATCTTGTGGGAAATTGTTTGGGTAGGCAATATGGACAAATAGCTTGCTCCTGGCAAAATAATCAAGTTTAGTCGGAAGTCTCTAAGAGGCTGGTTGGGAATCCAGCACGAGGATGTGTGTCTATTGTGACTTTGTTTAATGAAATGATGATAATCCTTGCATTTGATCATGAAGCTGAGACGTCTCAAAGCGCTTCATAGAATATACTGTAAAGTGAATTGACTCTGTTTTTTGTGGGCAAAATACGTGGATTGAGCGACCACTTTTTTTTAAAAAGGATTATTACACCCCACCGATGAAGCGATACACCAATCAACTAAGAACAGGTTTCCTACTTACTGCTCGGTAAACAGAGATGTGTGCAGCAGGGAAACTTGCCTAAGATTTTGCCTTGCCCGGGAATCGAACCCAGGTCCTCTCACTTGCTCAGTGAGCGCTCTAACCACTACGCAACAAGACTCCATATTTGTGGCTTTCAGAATGTACCCTCCATATTTTCTTATCTTCAGATGAATAGGTGGTATCAGCCCCCACCCCCCACCAAACCCCACCTGACTGCTCCAACCACGTCCTATATTTCTCTGTTGCCATCGATACTTACAGACAGCAACGGCCTCGACCACATTCCCCCCACGTCTCCTGAGTTATGAGCAATCAATGACTCATGGTTCTCATCAGGATCTATCACCTCACATCTCTCTATTCTTGTGCTAATTCGAGCTTCTGCTCAATTATCAAACTTTTTTATTCATCTCCTTTTCAACCTCATTCTGTCAGACCATGATGTCCTGCTTTCACAGGAAAGGTTCACAGGTTTGTTAAATTTAACGTTTAATACAGGTTTTCAAATTATGAGAGGTTTTGATAGAGTAACTAAGGAGAAACTGTTTCCACTGGTGGGTGGGTCAGTATCCAAAGTACACAGATTTAAGATAATTGGCAAAAGAACCAGAGGGGAGATAAAGAGACATTCTTTTACGCAGTGAGTTGTTACGATCTGGAATGCACTGCCTGAAAGGGTGGTGGAAGCAGATTCAATAATAACTTTCGAAAAGGTTGCAGAGCTATGAGGAAAGAGCGGGGGAGTGGAACTAATAGGATAGCTCTTTCACAGACCCGCACAGGTAGGATGGGCAGAATGGTCTCCTTCTTTGCTGTAAGATTCTATGATATATCAGCCTTTCTTTAAAAGAGCTATAGAAAAATGGCTTCCAATTTAAGACAGTTCTACACAATCCTAAATTATTAGACAAAAGGAGTCCTGTAGCTCGGTGGTTAGAGCACTCGCCTCGCAAGCGAGAGACTTGGGTCTGATTCCCGGCAGGGCGAAACCTTGGGCAAGTTTTCTTACTCCACACGCCTGATTATAATCCCTCAAGAACAAAAAAAAATAAAATTGGTCACTTCAATCCACAACTGTTTGTGGGACATTGCTGTGCGCAATTGGCTGCTGCGTTTCGCCCACAAATATAAAGTCAATTTACTTTACAGTATATTCTGTGAAGCGCTTTGAAAGGAAGGTCTTGAGATGGGCCTTGAAGAGGCAAGGGAGGGTGCGAGATGGAAGGTCTTCAGAATGGAGTTCCAGAGGGTGGGGGCAGACAGGCTGAAGGCCCGATTACCAATAGTGGGACAGGCAGGGTGGGGACGTGGAGCCTGTGCTGCAGAGAGATCGTACAAGTTGGTGAAGTCAACAGTCATATGGTGAAAAAGTTGTTTTGAGAGTGACACTGTCTGTGTGTGCGTGTGTGCGTGTCTGCATGCACACGTGTGTGTATGTGTGGAATGGAGGAATCAGCACGTCTGACACATGTATACACCAATGTGGTTCGGATAAAGAAATCATCAAGAAATACTCTAGACCGTCCGTACTAACCAGCTAGTTAGTCTTCAGATCAAGTTCATTCGTTTCGGTATGTTGCCTGCCTGGTATGCTCGCTGGATTAATCCATTCTCCCTCCCTGCATAGTTTTGGGGGAAGGGGGGGGAACCCTGTCAGCCAAATTGTTATAGAAGTTAATTAATAACATGACTCCTTTGACTCGCATACCTGATAGCAGCAGTGCAATGTTATTCAGAATGATGTGGGTGTTATGTGAACATTAACCCATTGCCATGTAGTAGGGTGCACGCCCATAGATTCCTTCCCCTTCACTTCCTATGGGGCGTGTGGATGCCATTAATGAGCGCATAATCTGCTACCCATCTGCCAATCCTTCCTGAGTGCAGTCAATTTAGAAGCATACAATAGACCGTTCGTTCAGCCTCTCAAGCCTGTTCCGCCATTCTATAAGTTCACAGCCGATCTGTATCTCAAGTCCAATTACCCACCCTTGTCCTATATCCCTTAATACCCTGAACTAACAAATATCTATCCACCTCAGTCTTGAAGATGTGAATGGATCAATCTTTACCTTTAATACAGCTCTTTTCATGTTGGGAGGACTCTCAAAGTGTTCTGCAGGCTATAATAATAATAATCATGGTTGTATTTGGCATAGCACCTTATCACTTTGGAAGGACATTTCAAAGCTCTTTGCAGGATTTATTGTGAAATGAAGTGATTGTGCACAGCAGTGTTCCACAAACAGCCATGAAATAAGTGTCGGTCAGGACGCAGGGAAGAAACACAGAGAGAAAATACACGTGTGAACGTTCACACATGAAACTGTGGCCGAAGGCTGTAGTCTCATGTAGTTTATCAGGAAGCTAACATTAACTTCTTGAGGTGGAAGCACTGATCTATTGGAGCCGGCTGTTGCCCTTTCAAACTGGTCTCATTGAGAGTATCAAGGGATATGAGGTGTGGGGAGGGCTAGGCCAGCCCCGGATACCCTACAATAAGGAAACGATGATCCATTAATGAGTAACGCAGCTTTGCACATATAAGCCATTTGCACTTAGACTCCACCATTGCTCACCACTAGGAAATCAGTTTCTGTCTGAATCTGCCAGACTTTCTTGATTTTTTAAAAATATATATATCATTTTACAAAGAACCGCTTATACGTTTATCCTGCTGGGAATCACCTACACGTCTCTGAGATAATCTTTCCTTCCACTGCGGTTTTTATTGCCTTTGGGAGTTACTTCTGGCCGTAAAAGGTAAGTGCGTTACTGTCAACCGTAGCTGGTACCTGTTTCAAAGAAAATGGCCTTGTTTCCTTTTCTCTTGCGTCTGGACACTGTTTGGTGCTGCGATGGGAGGATGTTTGGGTCGGGATTTTCGTGAAGATGAGATCAAAGATTTTTTAAAAAATAATAATACTTTGGTCACTCGAGGTCCCACATCCTCTGCGTCAGAGTCCTGTCTCTCTCCCCCGCCCCCACCCTTCTGTCCGAGCCACTGCAATTATTGAGTTCTCGGGAGCAGACTGTGGAATGTCGCCTGGCAGGCTTCGTCCAGTTCTGACAGCTTCACTCAGCACAACATTTGCCAAGTGCAGCTCAATCTTCCTCTAATTAAAAAAGGCGCGGAACAAAAACAGAGACGTCTTCCCGACATGAAAGGTGCTGCATCAAACGCAAGGATGATTCACTTCCGCGTGAGAGTGGGTTATTTAGTCAACAACAGCAAATTGCATTTAGAACGCAACTTTCACAGCGTGTGGATGTCTCAAGGCTTTGGACAGTGAAGGGTTTGCACTGGGGATGGGGGTTCAAATCAAGAGGGGTGGAGGGCAAGGGGGGTGACCAAAGGAATCATTAAAAAGGAAGGTTTTGAGACGGGTCTTGAAACAGGCGTTGAAGGAGGTGAACGAGGGGGCAAGGCGAAGGAGCTCTGGGGTGGAGTTCCAGAAGGTGGGGGCAGAGAGACTGAAGGCCTGACCTCCGATGGTGGAGTGGGTACTGCGGGGGACATGGAGCAAGCCATTGCTTGTCAAGCAAAGGGAGCGGACAGGTTGGTAAAGGCTTACTAGGTCGCAGAGGTAAGGAGGAGCAAGGATCTTAAACTCGAACCTCTGGGGGATAAGGACTCAGTGAAACTGGGTGAGGATGGGGATGGTCAGCTCACGAAGTTTGGTGCAGAAGAGGGCACGAGTAGCCGAGTTCTGAATAAACTGCAGCTTACGGAGAGAAAAGTTGGGAAGTCCAGTGAGTAGGGAGTTAGCCTAGTCAAACCTGGATGTGATTGACACATGAAATTTGCACAATATTTGGTCGATACTATGACATACGACTTCCACTGGGCTGACCGGTTCAGTGAGCTTCCAGCTTCACTTCATCAAATGAAAAGATTACTATATTATGAGTAGAAGTTCCAGACAAATCCTTGTGCGTATTGTTCCATTTTCAACATTCTGTTGATGAGACTTTCAACAGAAGGTGCTACCTCCAATAACACATGCCTCCCCCAGCAATACAATGTGGAGTGTCAGCCTATATTGTGAGCTCAGATTTCCTCATGTGGGACTTGAACTCATAACCTTCTGACCCAGAGGTGAGAGCGCTGCCAACTGAGCCAAGTTGATACCTAATCTAATTGGGTGAGGTACAGAAGGGATGGAAGGTGGAGTCCAAAAGACTTTCAGGGGAGGAGGAAGGGAGAATAATGAAAGAGGTATAATAATAATAACCTTGCATTTAATATAGCGCCTTATCACGTCATTGAGATATTTCAAAGTACTTCACAGAATATATTGTAAAGTGGATTGACTGTTTGGTGGGCGATACACGACAGCCAATTGCATATAGTAGTATCTCACAAACAGTTGTGGAGTGAGTGACCAATTATTTTGAGGGATTATTACCCCCAGAAAGTAATCTGCCAATCGACTAACAACTTGGTTGCTACTTACTGCTCATTAAACAGAAGCATGTGGATTAAGGAAACTTGCCTAAGGTTTCACCCCACCCGGGAATTGAACTCTGGTCCTCTCGCTTGCCAAGTGAGCACACTAACCGCTACACTACAGGACTCTGTATTCGTGAAAGGGGGAAAATACCTTATAAAATACAGGGGCAGTGAGTCCTAGTCTGTGATTTCTATAATTTTGTACAGGAACTCATTGTGTTCTGTATCAGTTTTGTTTTATCCTTTGCAGTTCCCACCACTTACTTCTTAAATGCATTTTAAGTCTGTTTGCAATCGTTCTGTTGAGACTTTAAGAACACACAGGGTTTTGTGTTTTTGTTTGCTCTGTGTCATAATCTGATTCCTGACTTACCACAAGATAAACATTGCAGGTGTGAAGCAGGTCCAGTAATCCTTTCTGGGAGAGGCAGCCCCTGTCACAGGCCTCAAGGGCAGTACCAAACATTGAGGCCCATCTTAGATTAAAGAGGCTGTTAAGGAGAAAGGGACATTCTAGGCAAGAGACATCAAATCCTGGACGAGGGAAAACTTTCTCCAACTCAAGGTCAGCAAGTCAGAGGCCCTCCTGATTGGCTCGCGCCAGCGCCTCCGCACCTCGGGTGCTGGCAGCATCAGCCTCCATGGCTGCACACTCAACCTCACTAAGCCAGTCAGGAATCTGGGAATCTTGTTTGACCCTGAACTGTCCTTTCTCCCCCACATCCACGCCATGACCCTCACTTCCTACCACCACCTCCACAACATTGTCAGACTCCGCCACTGCCTCACCCCTCAGGCTGCCAAAACCCTCACCCACGTATTCATCACATCAAGGCTCGACTACGGGAACTCCCTCCTCATCGGCCTTCCCAACTCTTCCCTTCACAAGCTGCAGATCATCCAAAACTCTGCAGCTCGTGTACTCTCACGCACCAGGCTCAGTGACCCCATCGCTCCCACCCTCGCCCAACTCCACTGGCTCCCCATCCCCCAGAGGATTGAATTCAAGATCCTCATCCTCACCTTTAAGGTCATACATGGCCTTGCCGCCTCTTACCTATCTGACGTGTTGACTTCCTACCAACCTGCCCGCTCCCTCCGTTCAGCGGGCTCTGGTCTGCTCCATGTCTCCCACCCGACCCGCCCTAACATCAGTGGCCAGGTTTTCAGCCCGTCTGCCCCCACACACTAGAACTCCATCCCATGGTTCCTTCGCCTCGCTTTCTCCCTTGCCTCCTTCAAGGCCGGTCTCAAGACCCTTCTCTTCGATCGTGCCTTCAGTCGCCCTCCCACCTCTCTGCCTTCTCTCACCCCTACACCATCCCTCCCACATGCTCGGGCCTGAACACCTGACCGTTCAGTGCTTTGGGACGTCCTCCCGACATGAAAGGCGCACTATAAATTTAATTTTGTTGTTGTTGTTGTTGTTGAGATGTTGGTAGACTGAATAATATCAGCCTGGCTCAGTTGATCGTACTCTCACCTCTGAGTCAGGGACTTGGAACTCATATAGTCTAAACTAATACGCCAATGCAATGCTGGGGTGTGCTGCATTGTCGGAGATGCCGTCCTCTCTGACACATGTGGAAACCCATCCCCGTGCATAAGAGTATCCAAACCAAACTGAGAATTGCATGCATCCCACCTACATACATAAATCCCTGAGATAGATTGTTGGAAAGGAATGCCCACTCTCTCCCTGGAGAGAAGCATCCTGCTTTCCTAAGTCTGGAAAGTATTAGGTGCAGGTTGGCAAGAGCAAAGACTTGAGGACCCTCTGGAGTTTGCATTAGGGTCTAACCAGCTATAACCACATAGCTTGCCATTGATATCGCTGTCTGGCAAGCTTTCCCACTGCTTGTCTAGCTTGTCCAGCTAGAACTACCGTACCCATTAGAGCTTTGGCTTGCAGGGTTAACAGGAGCTGAGCGGAATGACTCAGTGCCCCCATGACTTGCCAAAATGATGCTAATTCTCATGTTTAAAATTGTGCTAATTGTCTCCGAACCTTTGAGAGAAACCACCCACACTGGAGGCTTTGTTCCGAAGGCTGTTTTATGCTCTGATAATACAGGAGAGCGCAAACTCAGCCAAAACATTTTACATATAGAATAAACCCCAAAATACTCAGTGATAGTTACAAAAGGGACTTTGTGGGCTGTGGGAGCTCACGATTAAGTGCTTCTCAGAACCCATTCAGAGTTGTCATTCCCTCATCTCGATCACGCAGCTGATTGTTAGCATGAGTTCCTTTGGGGAGTGTCTCCTTTTGCTTTTGTTCTTTTTTTGGGAGTCGGGACAGTGTCGAATCTGCGTGACATTCTGGTTCAGTCATTTGCACTCTCACCTCAAATTAGAAGGAATTGTGTTCAAACCCCAAATCAGGTTTTTGAATTTGAATAGTCTAGGCAGACATTCCGATGTGGTGCCAGGAGAGCTCTGCATTGTCAGAGGTGCCATCGTTGGTTGAGATATTAACCCCAGGTCCTATCTGCATGCTCAGGTGGACGTTAAAGATCCCATGATAATAATAAGCCTTGCATTTGATTTATCACGTCTTTGAAATGTTTCAAAGTGCTTCACAGAATCTAACATAAAGGGATTTACCGTGTTTTTTGTGGGCGAAACACAGCAGCCAGTAGTGCGCTTCCTAGGCAAGTACGCTACTCGAAAAGAGGAGGAAGCTTCTCTCGCCCGGTGTAATGGTCAACAATTCCCCAGATGATTTGATTTGGTCATTCACATCCTAGCTGTTTGTGGACAATTCCTTTGCACATTACACTTTACAGTAAATCCTGTGAAGTGTTTTGGGGTGTCCTCCTGCCATGAAATGTGCTACATCAAATGCAAGGAGTATTATTGTTATTATTACTATCTGCCGTTATGTAATAAACTAGTGGACAGGCTCGATGGGCTGAAATGATCTGCCCCTAAGTTCCTGGGTACGCCTTAGTACACCAGTTACAAATGAGAAAACACAGTGATGAGAAGCCTTTGGACAAGAAAATGCTGAGTTCTGTGTCAAAAGGGAACTGGGTGCAGAGGTACGGAAAGGTCAGCCACTAGGTGCAGGTTGAAAACACCAGTTTTGCTTTGAGTTTTCCCAACTTTTACCACTTGCCATTAAAATGGTTGTGGCTGTTGCACTGGTCGTCAAAGCCCCAGCACACCATGTTCTGAGGTGTTATTTGGTACAACCAATGGATGGGCAATAGACTACTTTTATAATCTGATGAATTCTCTTTCTTTCTCATTCTCTCTCTCTGTCTACTCTAAGTCTCACTGTTCTTTTTCTCTGTCTACTGTCTCTTTCTCTCTACTCTCTATTTTTCTCAGTTCTCTCTATGGAATGTAAATTATTATCTGATATGATCTGTTATCTGTTTATTGTTGTGGTTGAAGGGTTAGAGTCCATGGCATGACCAACACTGAATTGAGCCTTGGAGGAAACCAGACAATCTTCAAGTTTGGAATCTAAACCATCTTTCTTTCTGCTTCAGAAAGTCTGTGGTCAGGAGCACAAGAGAGCTGGGAAGTGAGATTAATAAAATGAAAGTGATTTAGGAAAACAGGTGGCAGTGGTACAGGGTTGATGAGTCAATTTGCTCTCTTCTGAGCTGACTCTGAGAGACCTGGTGTTTGAAGTGTTTGTATTTAAGAAATGGGTGATAGAAATGCCTGGCTTGGAGGAGGATTGAAGTGTAATAATAATAATAATTAGCCGCGATTCCAGATTCTGATCACAATGTAATGAATGCACCGTGTTGAAATGTGCGTCGGTAATGACAGTGAGCAAAAATGGGCTCAGGACCATGTGATGGTGAACGTCAAGGATTCCATGGCACTAATCGAAAAAAGAACAGAGTTTCTCACTCCCAGTGCCCTGGCTAACAGTCCCTCAGATAAAATTGGTCACTCACTCTATGACTGTTTGTGGGACACAGCTGTGCACATATTGGCTTCCGCATTTGCCCACAAAATACATAGTCACTACAATTAATAGTACATACTGTGAGATGTCCTGATATGACAGGTGCTGGTATCAGATGTTAGGATTATTATTTGTATTACTAAGAACAGAAAGACAAAAAGGATACGATGCAAATTGAAAATCAAAAGCTCGGAATGAAACAGCATTTTATGAGACTCTGAGTATGAAGTTGCTGGTACCTTGTTTATTTCAGTTTCCTGGCTGTGTGTGGACCTTTAGACAAGTGGTCATCAGAGCTGCCATGGACTCTCCCATTTTTACAACCTTCAACCACCCACTAAGCTTTTATTACGTTGCAACAGGCTAACATATTTTTATTAGAAATTCCTAACAACAAATTATCTGATAGTAAATGGTTGCTCTTTGTGTGGGCATGTTTCGATCCCACAATTCTTACCCCTTCTCTCCTGAAAACTTTGGCCTCCATTTTATTCCACTTTACCCATGTTGTTCCACTGATGCTCTCTGTCCAGCTAATCCAATCCTCCTCCACTTATATCAGAGCTACTCATTGAAAGTACAATGGTGGAATTATCTGCAGATTTACAGAATTTGAAAACAAAGACACTGGAAAATCTTCTTTTAAAGAAGTGAGGCCCAATTTCTCCCGATCTTAGTCTGAGGCCATTGTTTTCACATTTTAAGATCTTACATTTTGGAAAATTCTTAAATACAGTCTAAATTTGGAAGTCACTTTTCTTTGGCTCTTAAATTAACCATCTTAATAATAAACAAATTAAATTGAAGATTTCCCAAAATTCTGCTCATCTCAATATAATAATTATAATAATAGTAATAATCCTTGGATTTGATATAGTGCCTTATCACATGGTTGAGACATATCAAAGTGCTTCACAGGATATATTGTAAGTCTCAACTTTGAGCATTCCCCGCTGAGCAATGTTTTTTCATTTGGTTGCAATGTTGCACTCATTCTTTGCCAAGTCTGATGCAGGACCTCTCTTGTCTTCCCAGGTGAATGAGTAAACTGTCTACAGACCATATTGGGGCCCAAGGCCACCAGTAGAGACAAGAAAGGCAAGTACAGCAGTGTATGCCATTCACTACACAGCGCACTCAACCTCTGTGAACGTTGGGTGTGACTTTCAACTTGTAGCTCTTTAACTGTGCCTGCAACAACAACAACAAAATTACATTGGTCAACTCTCCCCTCCCCCTGGCTCTGAGACGCAACCCTGCATGAAGAGGGGTAGGCATTCCACCTAGTTAATGACTGGGTCAGGTTATCAGGAAGGGTGGTTGAGGCCAGGACATTGGATCCATTCAAAAAAAACAGCTTGATGCTGTGAGGGGAGGATGGGGGGTGGGTATTCTGGATGGATGAGGTCAAATGGACTTGAAGGGATTTCTTTATCTGAACCAATTTTCTGTTTGCCTACAAAATACACAGTCACCACACTTTATAGTAAATCCTGTGAAGCAACTTGAGACGTCCACTCAATGTGAAAAGTGCAATATTGAATGCAAGTAATCTTTATTTATTGTGTGAGGATCATATTGCGTAGAAAGCATCCAGCATGTTTTATTTTGCTTTACTGTATTGACTTTCCATAACTGTAGCTCACCATTATGTTTGAACTTTAGCACAACTCCAATATCTGACTCCACACCCTATTTCTCCACCAATTAATAATTAACCAGTAATAAAAATACAAATCAACAGATTTTCAGATGAGCCTCTGGAAATCTGACTGGTGTTTACTTCTTGTGAGAGCAGACTTGGTGCTGGGTCATTAACTATTGGGCTCACTTATAATAATTCTTACATTTGATATAGTGCCATATCATGATCATGATAAACCTCCAATGATCAAACACCCCCCCAGTACTGCATTTGAGTGTCAGCTTAGACTAAGTGATTCCAAGTCCCAACGTGGGGCTTGAATCCACAAACTCCTAACCTGAACAGGCAGACGGAATCTTGGTTTAACGTGCCATCTGCTGGACAGCACCTCCAACAATGCAGCCCGAGTATATGACACAGCATAGACTATGTGAGTTCCATGTTCCATCGTAGCACTTTAATTCACAATCTCCTGACTCAGAGGCGAGAGTGCTGCCAACTGAGACACACAAAGTCAATATTAATGGGCTTCCTCCATTCCTACATGCCACCACAGGAAGCTCGCAGGGAGTTCCTGGTACCTGCCATCCACCTAGTGATGGCTCAAAATTGCACAAGTTGGATGTCAAATGACCAACTAGTGACCAACTTCCTTGGTGGGGAGGTAAGGTAAGCAAGGCCTCCTTTGAGCTGAATTGTCTCCAAGATGACATGTTTGGCAACAGAATGTTAGAATTGAGCCAACAACCCTGTGTGGTGGTCTCAATAACCCAGTTCCTGAGCCAGGCAGGACTGCAGTACTCCAGACCACTGCTAATTCTCATGCCCATTCTGGAGGGACATAGCTGTGTGTAAATTTGCTGGTGTTTATACTCCACCTCCACCTGATCCACACGACTGAGACACTGTAGTGTCATTGTACACACAAGAAAGGGAGAGCAACAATCAAATACCAGCTCACATCAGGTCAGGTCAGATCTTACAATGTGGCGCCATCATTTATTTCAGTGCGATTCTTTGGAGCTGAAATTCCAGCTGGTCTTAACCCATTTTGTCCTTTTTCTGGTGTGGCCGTTTTGCACAGCACTGAAAAAAAGCTGATCCTTAATATCTTTTGCACCATTTTGTGCGATCTCAAATCACAAAGAATGTACAGCACGGAAACAGGTCACTCGAACCCAACCAGTCCGTGCCAGTGTTTATACTCCACACGAGTGCTCACCCATTCTTTACACCTTTCCATATCCTTCTAATCTGCTCACCCTCATGTGAAGATCCAGCTTCCTCTTGAATGCATCTACACTATCTTAATAAACCATTGCTTCAGGCAGCGAGTTCCACAATTACACACTGCCTGAAGTAGTTCCTCTTAAATTCTCTTTTAGACACCCTAGTTGCTATCTTGTACAAAATGTTAAGGCAAAGTGAGATTTACTAGAAACTGTAACGAATGCATATTTTGTAGGCAAAATTGGATGCAGGAAGATTTGCTGTGAAATATACTGATCTGCCTTTCTTTCTATTCCACAGCAAAATGTCGGGGCACGATGCGAGCAGAATGAGTGCCAAGGCTTTATATGGTGAGTGCTTACTGGAGGAGAAATTTAATTATTTTACAAGGCATTGAAACTGACAATTGAAAGAACTATACATTTGTATCACTTGGAGTGCACTTTGCTCCAAGTTCAGGTTTATCTGCTGAGGTCTGTCCAGCCTGGCGCAGCTCTGAGTCAGGAGGTTGGGGCCCCACATGAGAACTTTGAACTCACAGTCTAGACTGACATTCCAGTACAGTGCTGTGTGAGCGTTGCATTGTCGAAGGTGTCCTTCAGATGAGAAGGTAAATTGAGGTCCCATCTGCCTGTTCAAGTGGACATTAAAGATCCCATGGCACTATTCGAAAAGAGAAGGCTATTTCTCCTGGTGTCCTGGCCAACAATCCCCTCAAAAATTGTTCACTCACATCATGGCTGTTTGCTATGCACAAATTTGCTAGTCTTCACCCACAAAATGACACAGGGCCGATGGGGTGGATGTGTGGGGGGGAACGTGATGGAGGCCAGTACCTGCTGAGTGGAGGGAGCGGGCAGGTTGGTACGGACTGATGGGGCAAGACCATGGAGGTTGAAAAGGTTAGGACGAGGATATAAACAAATACAGTAAACCCTCTGGCATCCAGAATTCCAACCTAGATGGACCAGGCCCAAACCTCATGTTTTTTTTAAAAAATCCACGACTAAAAATGTCTTCAGGCTTCCAGCTTCCAACTCTCAAGCAATTACAATGGCAGTGATGGCCTTTTTCGGCACTTAGCCGGAAATTCTGTATCAATAACACAAAATTACATTTGTATAGCAACAGACCGGATCTCCCCCCCACCCCATTAGTCCTGCTAGCCATATATATATACAATATGTGTGTTACATATTTTCCGTGGGTAATAATTCTTACAAAAAAAATACATTTTTTAAAAATAATAATAATTTGGTCAATCAGTCCATGACTGTTTGTGGGACACTGCTGTGTGCGATTGGCTGCCTCGTTTCGCCCACAAAATATACTCAATTCACTTTACAGTATATACTGTGAAGCACTTTCAGACGTCTCTAAGACTTGATAAGGCACTACATCAAATGCAAGATTATTATGATTATTAATATATTCAGAGAGAGAGTGAAAGACCAGTCCCAATGTTGTGTAACTTTTAAACTTTTATCCATGTTGTGATCTGCTTTTGTTAACCTTAGTGTTAACAAACACAAGAGGTTTTGTTCAATACCCTGCGGCCTGAACACACAGCTCAGGGTCTAGAGCAAACATCACAGGCCTTTTCATTTCATTCCGCAATAAACGGACAATAAAATACAGGAAGCAATATCACTTCTTTGGCAGGCCTCCAGGGCTCTTTTTACAAACTGTTTTACTAGATTGTGTTATTCTTGTTAAGGCCCCCTTTGTAAGGATTGTTTTCAAATTCAAAAGTCTCATATGAGACAACACCACCAACCCCCACCCCCCCCACACTCCCCCATGCCCACCCCGACCTCTCACAGAGTGGTGAATGTGAGGAATGAACTCCCAACAAAAGATTCCCATGGCCAATAACTCTGATTGTACCCAATAGCTGCTTTGGGGACATGGGATCTTTAATGTTCACTTGAACCAGCAGACGGGACCTCGGTTTAATGTTTCATTCGAAGAACGGCACCTTAGTCTACGTCATTCCAAGGCCTGGCGAAGGGCTTGAATCTACAACCTTCTAACTCAGAAGCGAGAGTGCTTTCTCTGAGCCAGGTTGTTACATGATGGATCCTGATTGATGATAGTTGAGACTGAGTTTGTTTATCTTAATGGAAACCTGGGGAACAAGCCAACCCTCTGCTCTGAGTTCTCAATCACTCTAACACAGGCCAGCACAGGGAAAGGGGAGGATAGTGGAAGTTAAAAGGAGAAGTGATGAGAAGTAACTCTAAGAGAGGGAATGTGACACAGATTGTAGCATAGGACAATAAAGAGGCATTGATGATAAAGACTGGCTAAGTTGGGAGAGTATGGCAGGAAGGAAATGATAACCTGTGTTAAAATCTGATTCCTAATCTTCTGTAATGTGCTTTGATTTAAGAGTGAGGTCGGAATTATTTATTTTGTCCCAAGGGATGGGAAACCTTTGATAACGCTTTAACAACCCAGAGTCGTTGAATCGGCCCCAATACAAATTTGTGGGTGTGATATTGCCAGTCCAGAGAGCATTTTCACTGCTCTGCCAGTAACTCTTTCCTGTATCTGAACTTTGGCTTACAAGTGGGAAGTTCAATGGGAAGGAATGGGAAGAATTTATTGTCTGTGCATAACCTCTGTCCCCAAATTCCTCTCTCGTCCATATTCAGCACCAAAAATTCAATACCACTGCATTACAGTATAGCTCTTTGAGTCACCTCAACAACAATAAATTACATTTATATAGAGTCCTTTCACTTTGGAAGAAAGTTCCAAGGTGCTGCACAACTATTCCAACTCTCAGCTCAGGTGCAAACCCTTAACTGAGGGTTTGCACCTGAGCTGAGGGTTGGAATTAAAAGGGTTGGAAGGTAGTGGGAATGGGGTTAAGAGTGTGGCTGTGCGTAATCTAGTCAGTGAACTCACACTCAAACAGTGGGTTAAAAATCAGAACACAGAACAACAACATTAGGGGATTCTGCATTGTTAGAGGAGTCGTCCTATTGATGAGATGTTAAACAGAGGTCCCCTCTGCCTGTTCAGGTGGATGTTAAAGATCCCATAGCGCTATTTGAAAGAAAAGGGGTTTTCTCCCGGTGACCTGCCAACGACCCCCAAATAAAAATTTTCATTTTACGGCTGTGGGACATTGCTCTGTTCAAATTGTCTGCTGCGTTGGCTCACAAAACAGACAGTCACTGCACTTTGTGGCAACTTACAAATGATTTTCTGTGATTGGGAAATCTTTGATGCAAATTGGATCTCGCTTCATTTGAAATGGATTCACCTACACTGGACTCTGCTCACAATCAGACCTGTGTTTAAATGAGATTGATTTGCGTAACTAATTGCATGTTGGAACGTGCTGTTATACGTGGCTTCCTAACATTTCTGCAGATCACACAAAGGTGTTCATTGACCAATTTACATTGCTGTTCAGATTGTGTTATCAGGCACTGGGACAATCTCAGGTAGAAATTCGATCTGGGTCTGGATTTACAGTATTTGAGAGTGACCCACCCTGTGGAATTCCATGCCACAGTCCCTTCACCTCGCCCCCTCCCTTGCCTCCTTCAAGGTCCATCTCAAGACCTTTCTCTTCGACCACACCTTCGGTCACCCTCCTACCCCCACCCTCCTTGCCCCCAACCCCTCCTGATCCCAACCTCCAGCTCAGGTGCACGTCCTTGATTGTCCAGTGCTTTGGGATATCCTCCCTACGTGAAAGACGTTATACAAATATAATTTGTTGTTCTTCAGATTTTGGAGGATTGTTGAATTCAGTCTTAACTTTGAAACTAGTTTAAATTTTAAGCAGAAGCTTACATAAAACCAGCTTCAGAACTAAGGCTGTGTTTTAATATTCCTGGCGCTCTGAAATGCTACATTAAATAAAGATAAATTCGACCTGGTGGGATTTTTTCCCCCTTTGTCTGGACCTTTATTTCAACTCAGATTATTGCACTGACCTCGTCACCTCAGTTGTCTCTGCATTATCAGGACCAACCTTGGATGTCACAACAACAACAAACAAACATTAACAACAAATTGCATTTATATAGCGGCCTTTACGGTTGGGAAGAAGTCCCAAAGTGCTGGACGATGAGCTGTTTGCACCTGAGCTGCGGGTTGGAATCAGAGAGGGGTGGAGAGCAAGGCTGGGTGTAGGAGGGAAGATGACCGAAGGAACGGTTGAAACGGAAGGTTTTGAGATGGGCCTTGAAGGAAGCAAGGGTGGGAGCGAGGTGGAAGGGCTCCGGGATGGAGTTCCAGAGGGTGGGGGCAGAAAGGCTGAAGGCCCGACCACTGATAGTTGAGCAGGTAGGGTGGGAGATGTGGAGCAAGCCAGGGCCTGGAGCAGAGAAGGGAGCAGACAGCTTGGTGAAGGTTGTTCATATCCTGAATCAGCCCATTGTTTACAGCTTAACCATGGACCAAAGTACGTGTCCTTGGAAGGTTAAGGAATCGATTCCCGCTAATCGTTTTAAACGCCCCCCAGAGGAAGGAAGGATCAGTCAGTCTATGGAACCACTATGTAAACTGGTTATCAATATTAATTGGATTTATGTCTACACAGAGACAGTCATTGGACTTATTGAAAGTGTAGAAATTCAATAAAAATAGTTATTCTACACAGTATGTGGAAGGCAGAAGACTTGACAAATGAAGAAATAACTAATAAGAAAATATATGACGTGAAAATATATCCTGACGTGAAAGGCACTTTATAAATGGAATCTTGTTGTTGTTGTTCTTATTGCTTATCACGCAGAAATATCTCAAACCCGGGTTCCGTAGTTATGGTCATAGTTATGTGGCTTTTTGTAAGGAAAAATGGCAGCAATTGTGCACACAAGGTCTTGCAAAGTGCTGTAAGGCCAATGATTCCTAGTGTTAGAGAAATAAGCTTTGAGTAACAATTAGACAAGTTGGAGCTCTTCAGCCTCAGAGAAGACAACACAAAGGGGACCTTATAGAGGTGTTTAAATGGGATTGGAAAGGTAAACCCAGATCAAATCTTTAGGATATAACAAAACAGTAGAATAAGGCGCTGTATCAAATGCAAGGATTATTATCATTATTATTATTATAGCCTAAAGGGAGGAATCTTTTTAAGAACCTGCAAGAGACTGGCTTCCGAATGAAGACTGATTTGAGAAGTTTTTCACAATTTCACAGGACCTTGAATTAGTTTTAAGTCAAAGTGGTCTCACAGGCTAAGGTCAGGTGGAATTTGGCGCCTTTGATCCTCTTGAATGACAACATTGTGGGTTTGATGCAAAGAGCGTCGTTCTGCCTTGTCTGTGCACATGGATCCCCACTATATTGCTGTGAGAGGTATCAACAGACGAGGAAATCACAATGACTGCACAGTAACTGGAGCCACAATTGTTGCACGGAGTGGTCTGAGCGCTGTAATCCAATATTACTTCAGAAACAGAGCCCATTGTGTGCAGGCAGCCGGCGCTCATTGGAAGGCAGTGACGCCATGTTACTGTGGGGCTGGCGTAGCTCATGTCACTGTGAAGCTAAAGTCCGAGCCACTGCAGTCGCTTCCCCATTGGTGCCCACGGCTAGACTTGCCAACTTCTTCTCACAGCATGTGCACGCCCAAACCCTGTGAGACCACTCAGACTGCCGATTGGATTCTGTCCGCCTTAAGGTCCTGTGAAATTGTGAAAAACTTCTCAAATCAGTCTTCATTCGGAAGCCAGTCTCCTGCAGGTTCTTAATGAGATTGAGTACCGAGAGAGCCTGTGATAGGTCATCAACCATGAATCGTATCCACTGTGAGCCATAAACCTCACAAGCTTCAGTCCCTCAATAATAGTTGTGAAATTTGACCCAACTAATGGAACCATGATATTGTTCCAATGAGGAATCTCGGTATTTCACCATCGGCCACTTGGTGACCGCTCTTCGGCTCTCCGTTCCCAGATCCCTCCGGCTTGCTCGCTTACTCGTTCGTCTCCTTCAAGGCACATCTCAAAACATGCCTCTTTGACTGTGCTTTCGGACCACAACCCCCACCCACATCCCCCTCCACCACCCTCCTCCCGCCCTCCAAGCCTTGACTCTTGCCAACGTGCAAGTAGTTTCCAGAATCAGGTAAGAAGGATGAGTCCCTCCAGGGAGAGAGTGCGGATTCCATTCCAACACAGTCACCCCACTTTACAGTATATCCTGTGAAGTGCTTTGAGATGTCCTCCTGACATGAAAGGCGCTGTACCTAATGTGAGGATTATCATCATTATTACACTGCTAATATTCAAATTGGAGTCAGGGGTGAAAGCAGGCGAGCTCTCCAATGTCAATGAAATAATAATGAAAGCAATTGGATCCCATTTTGAAAGGCTGTAATGATGTACACCAAAAGGAAATGAATATGATCAGCTGCTCCTGACCTGAGCCCTGGCTATCCAGTTGCTTAGTAATCCTCTATAAATTATTTCTCGATAACACTGGTGCTGTCAATATATTATGTATATGTTTATAATAATCCTTGCATTTGATACAGTGGTTACTATTCTCCTGGGGAGGTGGGGGGTGCGGGGAGAGGAATATGGGGTCTCCTTGGAGCTGAACAGGCTCCAAGGTGAGATGCTCGCCAATGGAATCTAGCCAGTCCTCTGGGGCGGTATTGGTAGTCCGATTCCTGAGCCCAGGCGGGTCCACAGTATTCCAGGGCACTGCTGATGACAGCACAGCCAGCCCAGCTCATCGACAGCAGTCATCGACAGGAATCCTCCCACTCGGGAATTGAACCCAGGTCCTCTCGCTTGCGAGACGAGCGCTCTAACCACTATACTACAGGAGTCCACATTGTCACATCCAATGTCCACCTTGACTTGGTGTCCCATCCACAGAATGGCAACTTAGACATTGTGCTACTTTCTCCTGGCACTGTGTCACATTGTCAGCCTGAACCAGGAGCTCAAGGACTGACGTGGAACTGGAACCCACCACCCCACTGAGTGATGAGCAAAGGCCCATAGTGCAGGGGCAGCAATGAGGAGTGGGAGAGAATTTATGTGAGGCCAGATTTGTGTTTCAAAAACCTGTAGATTGTGAGCTGGATCAGGTGTTTCTGGTGTGAAATAACAATGCAGTCCAGCTCCGACAGAGAAGCCACCATCTGTGGGTTGAGGGTTTCAGATTCTCTGCTGCCTAACGATGTTTTACTGCTATTTTATCTCCGCAGTCGTTCCGTATTCTTTTCTCTGCGTCCACGATCTTCTTGTCCTCACATGAGTTTGTGAATAATAATAATCCTTGCATTTGATATAGCGCCTTATCGTACCATGAAGCTCAAGTCTCAAAACACATCACCAAAATAGACTGTAAAATGAATTGTGGGCAAAAAGCGGCAGCCACTTGCACACAGCAGTGTCCCACAAACAGTCGTGGATTGAGTGACCAAATTATTATTGTTTTTTTGGTGGGGGAGGGATTATTACCCCTAGAAAACAATCTGCCAATTGACTAACAACCGAGTTCCTACTTATTGCTGGATAAATAAAGGACTGTGGAGTAAGGAAACTTGCCTAAGGTTTCGCCCTGCCTGGGAATCAAACCCGGGTCCTCTTGCTTGCGAGGCAAGCGCTCTGACTAATACGCTACAGGACTCCCCAATGAGATGGAATGGTAGACCCACGGACTGTAGAGATTTCAAGGAAAGCTGCCCCCAGAATGTACAACACAAAGGAGAGCTGGACTGGAGCCAGACCCCAGCAAATCCTGTCACACACTGTGCTCTGGGATCATGTCAGCAGCGTCTGTTGTCAGGCCGCCTGTGGTGCAGTGATAATGCCTTGCTTTGGCTGCCCTCAAAGACGCTGCCCTCATGGCTGGCCAATATCAGCCATGCTCTCCCACACCCACTCCCCCCAAAGCCAGGCCTGCTGCCCCTCTCTCACCCACTCTGACTTATCGTCAATGCCGAGTTTTCAGCCACTGTGCGTTCCTCCTGAAATCCCTTTGGATCCCAACTCCTCTCACTTGCTGCCTTCAATATTCCCTTCCCACCATGCTGCGCTCCACCATCCATGTAAAGTGCTCTGAGATGTTCTCCTTTATGAAAGACACTCTACTCTGTAAGTCCTGTAGTGTAGTGGTTAGAGCACTAACCTCACAAGTGATTAACAACCCTTCAAAATATAAATTAAAAAATAAATAATTTGGTCACTTAATCCGTTGCTATTTGTGGGACACTGCTGTGCACAATTGGCTGCCGCATTTCACTGACAAAATATACAATTTATTTTCCAGCGTACTCTGCGAAGAGCTTTGAGACTTCTCAAATATGTGATGAGGCTCTATATCAAATGCAAGGAATATTATTATTATTATTATAACCTGAAGGTAGGAATCTTTTTAAGAACCTTCAGGAGACTGGCTTCCAAATGTAGACTGATTTGAGGAGTTTTTCACAATTCCGTCGGAACTTAAATTTGTTTTAAGTCAAAGTGGACTTCTGGTATTCTGTGAAGCTCTTTGAGACAAAAGCTCGATTTGACAACAATATTGTAGGTGAATGTGCCATTTGCATACAACAATGGCCCATAAACAGCCAGGATTTGAATTTGACCATTTTTTTAACTGAAGAATTGTTGGCCAGGACATCAGGCGAAACTCCCTTCTCTTTTTGAATAGTGGCATGGGATCTTTGAATGCCCACAAGGAACAGGCAGATGGGATCTCGATTTAACATCTCATCTGAAGGACGGCACCTCTAACAATTAGCGCACCACCACAAGCACTCCATTGGAGTGTCAGCTAAACTACGTGAGCTCAAAGTCCCCGAATGCAGGTCTTGAACCAACAACTTCTGGATCAGAGGCGAGGGTGCTCCCAACTGAGCCAGGCTGACGCACTTGACCTGGCCCACAAAATTTATGCTGCTAAAAGACCAGTAAGAGCATTGTTTTGGCCTGTTCTCTATTTGGACAGTTAGGACCTGGAATTGATTCAGACCATTGCACATTTGATAAGCTTCCTACTGTGAGTTTGGCTCACAAACAAGGGTCAACACAACAGCGTGGTAGCACTGGGTGTAGTGTGGGTATGTGTGCGAAGGTAAAGGCATTAAGTTACTTCTAGGGAAGAGACGATGATCAGAGAGGTGTCTCTCGACGCTCAGTTTTCCTCACACACCTCAGGATGACAGCAATATGAGGATGTTTAGATGATATCAGATTAGTGATTCGAGTTGCTGTGCAACTAGAAAGAGGCAGATGCCATAGATTCAGCAGCGAGAACAATGGCTGGTTTTATATTTCGACAAGTTTAATGACAGCACAAATGGACGTCCATTTCCTCGCAGCTGGTGATTCTGTGCACTGATAAGATCATTACTATTTAACCTTATTGATAGCAGGGCTGCCTGTCGCTCACAAAGGTTCCTCTTGGCTTCAGCTATCTGACACCTTTGACTCATGAGACGGGGAAGAGCAAGGGGGATGTTCACTCTACCTGTTCTCTCACACCCACTCTCCCAAAACCCAGGCCTGTTGCCCCTCTCTCTCCACCTCTGGACCCACCACCAATGCCGAGCTTTCAGCTCACTGTGCCTTCCTCCCAAAATCCTTTTGCCTCCCAACTGCTCTCACTTGCTGTCTTCAAAATTCCATTAAACACCCACCACTTTGGAATTCCATCCTGGAGCCCTTCTGCCTTGTCGCCCTCCCTTGCTTCCTTCATGGCCCATCTCAAGACCTTCCTTTTCGACCGTGCCTTCGATCATCTTCCCTCCTCCACACCACTTGCCCTCCACCCTTTCCTGATCACAACCCACAGCTTGGGTGCATATCCCTCATTGTCCAGCACCTTGGGACATCCTCCCGACATAAAAGGTGCTATACAAATACAATTTGTTGTTGTTGTTGTCCAACTCTCTGATGCCTGATGCCTCCCATTCTGTCAGAAGAGAGGAAACAAGGGCAGTGTGCTTAATCCTGCGTAATATCTGTTACAGAACAACGGAAGAAGTATTCCAACGACAATGTTATCAAGCAAGAGACATCACAGTACCACGTGGAGGTAAGCGATGACAAAGAAAGTACTATAGAGGCGGTGTGGAGGAAAGAAACTGCATTCATGGGATAAGCTATGAGGAATGACATGATAAGATGAGCCTCTTCAACTGTGAAGACTAGAGATTTAGAAGATGTTAAATGGGATAGATAAAGACACCGACCGACCTTTTAACTGAGTTTTATGCAGCTCCCCCCGCCCCACCACCGAAAAGGTTTTCACGCACCACCTCTGGCCCCCAGTCACCTGTATGAGACATCTTCCCAACATCAAAGGCGCTGTATAACTGTAAATTGTTGCTATTTGTTGGAAAGCCAGAACAATACTGTCAGGTTCTCCAGGAGCAAGAGTGAAGTTTCTCAAAATAAAGCTGTTTTGTTCTTCACTTGCAGCACATTGCCACATTTTCGATGGACAAGAGCGAGGCCGTTGTGACCATAGACGATGCCATCAAGAAGCTGTTTCACCTGGATTCCAAGGGGAAGGTGTGGACCCAAGAGATGTTACTCCAGATCAATGAAAACGTGGTCAGATTGCTGGACTGTGAAAGTCAGGTAAGTGGGCTTCTGAGCTTCTGTCAGAAAATTCAAGCGTCCCTCCACCTTGTTCACACCCTTCCCGTCTTCTAAACTAACTTTATTCATTTAACTGGACTTGTTGGGAGATAGGGAGATAATAATGATCCTTGCACTTGATATAGCACTCTAGCACCTCGGCGAGACATGTCAAAGTGTTTCCCGGGATTTATAATAAAAAATAGTGACTGTGCATTTTGTCAGCAAGCACAGCCAATTTGCACACAGCATCGATAGCTCAAATACAGATGGTCAGACTGTTGGTCTATAAGTGTTGGGTAAAGGGAGCTAAGACAAGCCCAGATCTGGGATGAGATCTAAAAATGATAATCCTTGTATTTGGTGCAGTATAGCGCCTTATGATGTCTCAAAATGCTTTCCAGGATTTTACTCAAAATGCCCCACATAGCTGGAATAAACCCCACTTTGTGTCTAAATGGGGAAGTGGGGCATGAATGAGTTGGGCTGAAGGATTCGGAGTGAACCACTGCGAAGCCCACATCACCAGCTGCACCATTCAGTGCGAATTCTCCAATGATTTGGAGTCCTGAAGCGTGTTGGTTAGAGCACTCGCCTCACAAGTGAGAGGATCTGGATTTGATTCCCTGGCAGAGTGAAACATTAGGCAAGGTTCCTTACTCTGTTACCGAGCAATAAAGTAGGAACCTGGTTGTTAGTCGATCAGTGGATCGCTTTTTCATGGGTAATAATCCCTTCAAAAAAATAATGCTTTGGTCACTCAATCCACGACTGTTTGTGGGACACTGCTGTGGGCAATTGGCTGCTGCGTTTCCCCCATAAAATATAGTCAATTCATTTTACAGTGATCAGGCGCTATATGAAATGCAAGGATTATTGTTACTATTATTACTCGCCTGTTGGACCAGCCTGACCCCGCTCTGCTAACACATGCCTCTTTAAGCCACTAGTGCTGGCAGGAGACACCATGCTGCGGACAGTCTGTTACATCTGCTGTTTGGTTATTTCCCCTTTGACGGCATTCCTGGTTTGTCCCTGATCGATCCCGACATTGAGGGAAATAGGAGGCTGATGTGCTCGGTGCCTGTGTGTGGCCTGGGCTGGAGTCCCCACTGTTGGAACGGCTCCTGATCTCAGTATGTGTTCTCACCCGTAGGTTGAACTGGAGAACTTCCCCCTGAACACGGTGCAGCACTGCCAGACGGTTCCCAACCATTCCAAATACCCGTCAATCTTACTCCTCGTGTGCCAGGACCCAGATCAGTATAGACCTGATATACATTTCTTCAACTGTGACGAAGTGGACGTGAGTAACTGAGTGGGAGGATGGGGGAGGGGTGGGAGGTGTAACACATGCCTTGTTTACATTACAGTCCGTAGCCCCCATCCCACCAGTCCTTGGCAGGCTCCACCTCCACTGGCTCCCGAAGGGATCGTTCAAGATCCTCACACTCCCTTCACACCCTGGCACCTCCCTAGCTTTCTGACCTGCTTTCTCCCCACTCCACTACCTGCTGCATCTGCTCGGCTAGCTCTGGCCTCCTGCTCATTCCTTGTCCCCTCTGCTGCACCATTAGCCATTACGCCCCGAAGCTTTGGAATTCTCTTCCCCCAATCCTTCCGACTTGCCCCCTCCTTCCTCTCTTTTAGATCACGACTGAAGACCTTCCTCTTCGACAGTGCTTACTCTTCCCTCTCTTCCCTCTCCCCAGCTCAGTATCAGGCTTCGTCACTGTTAAGCGCTCCCAGCACTGCCCCACGTGAAGGAATTATATAAATGCAAGTTGTTGTTGTTTATACTAACTGGAGAAAAGAGATGTTCCTTCCAGTGGGAGGATGATTCCAGATCAGGAAGCGGGATTTATAATTACCTCTCCTATCACCAAGAGCACTGAGTGTACAGCTGTACTGTGTTCGGTATTTTTTGATATGAGAGAGCTACGCATGCGAATAAAATAACCCTCAAGTTCACTACAGCATCTCTTCACATCAGAACATCTCCAAGCACTTCACAGCATTCACTGTAAAGTGCAGCAACTGTGTATTTTGTAGGCAAACACGTCAGCCAGTTTGATGGTCTGTGGTGTGAATAAAGTTATATGAATGTAAGTTATTATTAACAAGCTTAATTCCTCTCCTGTGGCTTCCGACCTTGCAATTCCAGTCTGCTGCCCATTCCTCGCTCTCTGTTTTATGTTGATGGCCAAGCCTTCAGCTAGCATGCACCTCTATGGAGCTCTTTCCCTCCACTTTCTCTCCCTGCTCATAAAAATCCTCTTAAAGACATAGCTCTTTGCCCGTGCCTTTGGTCAACACTGTTTAAATCCTCCTTCCTCTCGTTCCCTGTGGGGGAAACACCCACCGTCTTTGTTTGGTGTGTGAGAAACATTCTTCCTATGTGAAAGGTGTTGCGTCACAACGAATGCGAATATGGGTGAATGGTTTGCTTTCTGTGTGGGTACAGATTATGTTATTCTGTCTCCTTAGTCATCAGGTTCAATGCGCAAAAAAAATAGTGAGTTTGAGCTGGAGCTTTGCTTCAAGTGGGACTCGAAAAGGAGGATTTTAAAACGATTTCTCATTCCCTCGCTTGCCTCTCAACCAGTCTTCATGTCATCTCCTCCCCTCCCCCACACATCCCCCCCTTACCCCACCACCCATCCACCCACTTCAGAAGGTGGTGAGGGAAGAATGAAATTCCCTGGTCTCGAGACTGTAGTTTTCCTGTCTTATTTTCCCTCTTCATCCAAATGCATCCACAAAAACCCTATTTTTGAATCTATTTCTGCGCTTTCTCCCCAGGCGGACATGATCCACGCTGATGTCGACAGCGCAATTTCTGACTGCAAACACGGGCGAAAAATGCGGCCTCAGACTTTGAAGTAAGGACTTTAAACATGTGCAGAAGGCAGACTAACACAGGGCTCGGATTAGCAGAGCTCAAGCTAATATAGTGGTCAAGCTAGTGTAGGGCTCAGGCTAGTTCAGTGCTCAGGTTAACACAGGGCACAAAGCAGCAGAAGGCTGATTTTCTATCGTTTGATGACATCACCAGTGATCGTTAACACATCCCACGTTGCGACATTCACAATGCTAAGACCAATGAGTGACCTCCCAGCAGCAGACTGAGAAACTTACTGCAGAACACAAGGCGTCACCAGTACATCTTTTTTTGGTCAACCAGGTATTTGACACATCCAGAAACTCATCGCCATGATTAAGAGCAGAGATAGACTGTTGGAATGGAATGCGCACTCTCTTCTTGGAGGGATGCATCCTGCTTACCCAATTCCGGAATATATTAGGTGCAGTTTGGTAAGAGCCAAGGCTTGTGATCCCCAGAATGTGCTGGAGTCTAAACAGCTAAAACTACTTAGCTTGCCATTGATATCACTGTCTGGCAAGCTTTCCCGCTGTTTGTCCATCTAAGACCAGCCTAATGTTAGGACTTTGGTTCGCAGGGTTAACAGGGGCTGAGGAGGATGACTCCCTGTCCCCGGTAACCACAAGGTGTCACTTAACTAACAATATTAGTGACATCTAGCGGCACACAAGAGATTCCTCAGTCAGCTGTCCACAAAGCTGTGTGGTTTAGTCGTGACGAGTAATACTTGAAAAGCTGGCGTGGTTTTATCTGCCTGAGCAAAGGATAAGGGCGAATCGTGTGGAGGTTTTCATAATGATGCATGCTATTGATAGAGCAATCACACAGCTTGTCATCACTGAATGGTGAGTCAGTGGGCCGTGAATTGAGAATTTATACCAGAAAAAAGGAGAGGTTAGAAAGATTGTTTTTATACTGGGATGTGGATTGCCTCACTATACATGGCTGTTAAATTTGAGTCCATAGCAGCATTTGCAAGGAAATTAGAATCCACAGCATTTACAAGGCAATTGAATGAATACTTAAGGAATATAATAAGTTGAGTAAAGGAGCATAAGACAGGAATTTACATGTGTCGGTGGCACTCTCAGACTGGCTTGGATGCTCTTAAACATGAGGATGGGTTTCCGCGTGTATCAGACAGTCGGCTGACCAAAACAAATAATGTTAAACAGTACAGAGGGCAGAGCAGGGCAATGGGAGGAGAGCAGGTTAGGGTTGGGATTTTAGAGAGTATTGCAGAGGGTCAGAGAGGCTCTGACCAAGCTCTCTGATTTCGATACTAGTCACCGCGGTGAGGATTTGCGTAATCGTGAGCGAAATAGCTCTTGTGCTTATTTGTGATCGGACTCTGCCAGCCTGTCATAAGCTTGTGTTTGTTACCAGGGTGAATCAGGAGAAAATGAAGAAACAGCGAGAGACCATAATCCCCGCTCACCCTCAGGGAACCGCACCTGCCACTTCTCCCGGCATCGTCAGTAGCCGGGGACTTATTCGAAGTGACCAAGGTAAAGCTCCTCCGTGCTCAGACCTCACTCACACAGGGTGCTTTTCAGGAGTAGCTGAATGAGACTCTCCAACTTGAAATCTGTGCTTTACCCGTGTTGGTTGTTTGGCTTAGTCGGCAGCTCGATTGTCTCTGGGACCAGAAGATTGTGGGTTCAAGCCTCACATCGGGACCTTCACAGTCCCTGCTCCAGTGCAGTGCTGGGGGGCACTGCTTTATCGGAAATGTCGTCCTTCAAATGAGGCTTTGCAGTGCACAAAAGTGACTGCCACAGTTGTCTCCAAAATAGTAACTACACCTGACAGCAACGACCTGTGAATGGCACCATACACGCTGCAAAATCATGTGTGTCTTTCCGGATGACTTGGAAAAATATTGCGCTGTTGTGTCTGCGTTGTTATGTCTGTGCTATATGTGTGTGCTAGTGGTGAGATGCTGTGCTATGTCTATGCTATATCTACACTGTGAGTGAGTTGGTGTGCTATATCTGCCCTGTATCTGCCCTGTACCTGATGGTGAGATGCTGATCCAGTGACTAACCCTTGGTCTCGCTCCACAGTGGACTTTGACCGGAGAAGCGTGAACTCCCAGGAATACGAGGAATCTCCTATAATCCTGGCCCAGAGGGTTGAGAAAGATGTGGTGAGTGATTGGTGAGGTGTTGCTCCATACACAGGTTACCATGGTTACAGGACTCCTTTCCCTCCTCCCCGGGGGTGATCACATTATAAACCCACCCCACAGAAAATTAACTCTCTCCTTATCCACCTCTCCTTCCCTCCCTTCACTTATTGCCTCCATCCCCCCTCAACCCCCCGCCCGCCACGCCCCACCCTCCCTCGCTTCCCTCATTCCCCCTCCCATGTCTGGAGGATGCAGTGACTGTTTTTTATCGTCTGCTCTCATCCGCTCACCCCGCTCACACCTGCTTACACTCGCTCTCACCCACTCTTACACCCTCACACTCTGCTCACACCCGCTCACGCCCGCCTTCTCTTCGCTTCCTCAGCAAATGCTCAATTGCACGCTGGACGACATTGAGTTCTTCATCACCAACCTACAGAAATCTACACAGGCCGTCGCCCAGCTGAACCAGAGGAAAAAAGCCAAGAAAAACAAAAAGAAAGCCCCAGCAGGTACCCATCTTTTCTCTACTCTCTGTTTTTACTCTCCCTCCCTCCCTCCCGCCCTCCACTCCTATCTCTCTCTCCATCCATTCCTCTCTCTCGCCTTCCTCCTCCTCTCTCTCTCCCTCCCTCCCTCCCTCCATTTTTCTCTCCTTCCCTCTGTCCCACCATTCTTCTCTCTCTCTTCTCTCTCTTACCTCCAGTGCATCCTCCACTCCTCTCTCTCCTCTTTCTCTTGTCTTCCACTCTAGTTTCCAATTTGAGACCGAATATAAGGGTTTTCTGACATTTTTCAAAAAATTTTAAGGCCGTACTCTTAAGGCTCAGAAGATGAGAAATTTTAACAACAACAAAAAATTTACATTTATACAGCGCCTTTTATGTCGGAAGGATAATCCAAGGGTGCTGCATAGTGCCCGAGCTGGGGGCTGGAATCGAGGGTAGTGGGAGTGAGGATGGGAGTGTGGCCGAAGGCACAAAGGTCAAAGGGGAAGGTCTTGAGACCAGCCTTGAAGGAGGCAAGAGAGCGGGCAAGGTGGAGCGATTCAGGGATGGAGTTCCAGAGGGTAGGGACAGAAAAGCTGGAGGGTTTCTACATGCGATGTATGTCCTAAGTCACTGTGTGCTGACATGACTCTTTCTCTCTCTGCACAGAGGGAATGCTGACTTTACGAGCCAGGCCTCCAGTGCTGGCAGAGTTCACTGACTGCCTACAGAAAATCAAGCTGGCCTTCAATCTGCTGGTGAGAGCAAAGGCTACAACTCGCATTACACAGCACCCTTCACATGGGATCATTCGGTTTTCACAAAGACGTCTCATAGGCTAGGACAAGGTTGATTTAGACCCGAAGGTTCACAGACAGATGTAAAGATGTGATCATTTTTTTGATCAGTCGAGTGTCTTGACACATGCAGAAACCCATCACCATGCTTAAGAGTATCCAAATCAGACTGAGAATTCTATATATGTATGCCACCTACACGTGGAAATTTCCCTGTGTCTGGATTGAAATGCGCACTCTCCCTGGAGAGATGCACCCTGCTCATCGAATTCAAGAGATTATTAAGCGCAGGTTGGTGAGAGCCAAGGCTTGAGGACCCCAGAGTGTGCGTTGGGGGTACTGCTGAAGTTTAACTGGCTAAACATAGCATAGTTTGTCGGTGAGAGCACTATGCGGCAAGCTGCCCGCGGCTTATCCAGTTAGGACTAACTACCCTACCAGTTAGACTTTGGCTTGCATGGTCAATAGGAGCTGAGTGGTAAAAATCCCTGCTCCCAATGATCTGCCCCTTCAAGTCCTGCCGATGAGGCAGGTTGGCTGGGTTCTGGAGTATGGTGGACCTGCTAGGTTCAGGAAATGGACTACCAAGATCACCAGAGAGGGTTGATTCAATTCTAATATTCCATTGCCAAGTATGTCTCCTTAGAGAAGCTCAGCTACAAGGAAGCCCAAGCTTCTGTCGGCCTGTTCAGGTGGACATTAAAGATCCTGGGACAATATTCGAAAAGAGAAGGGAGTTTATTTCTGACGTGAGAGCCGCTGTATCAAATGGAAGGATTATTATTATTACACTAAGGACTCGGCTGTGCGATTGTGTGGGAGCAAATGGGATCGGTCAATTGTGAGATTCTGACGTTCAGTTTTCAGTGTGAATGTTGCAAGGCAATGCAGTAGATTAAAGTACTTTGTTGAGCATCAGAGACTGAGCTCTGCGTGGCCTCTGACTGATATCACGACTCTCCTTGGAAAGCTTAATGCTAATGGTTTAACATTGAATACATGTATTGGAATCCATCTGTGTGAGCATCCAAGAACAACAGCAATAACTCGCACTTATATAGCTCCCTCCACGCAGGGTAGCGTCTCAGAATGCTTAACAGTGACGGAGCCTGACTCCGAGCCTGACTTAATTGAATAAGCACGTTCAAAGAGGAAGATCTTCAGGTGGGACTTGAAAGAGGGTAGAGAGGGGACAAGGCAGAGGGATTGAGTGTTCCAGCGTTTCGGGGAGTAGTGGCTGACCTCCACTACAGCATTCTACTGTATTTTTCAAACCAGCTATTCATTTGTTATCAGAGATTGAATCCTGTGTGCACTATTGTCACAAGACGCCAGAGTGCTAACTTAACAATGGGATTCATCTCCTAAAAATAGCATCCTTTTCATTACTTGGTTATAATGGGAACAGTGGTGAATGTACCATCCACTGTCTAATGTAAATTTGAGTATGACCAACTGGTGACTATCCTCCTTGGGTGGGGAGGTAAGTGGGGTCTCTTGGAGCTTAACTTACTAGAAGGTGACATGTTTAGCAATGGAATGTTGGAATCGGGCCAGCCCTCTGTGGCGGTCTCCGGAGTCGGGTTCCTGAGCCAGGCGGGTCTGCAGTAACTCAGGGTCACTGGGCAGACCAATCACTGGAGACAGGGAATCATCTCACTCAGCTCCTACTAACCCTGCAAGCCAAAGCCTGAATGGGTAGGGTGGTCTTAACTGAACAAGCAGCGGGAAAGCTTGTCAGACAGCGATATCAATGGCAAGCTAAGCGGTTTTACCTGGTTAGAATCCAGCAGTTACCCCAACACACAGTCTGGGATCCCCAAGCCTTGACTCATCCTCTAGTGTTCTTACACCATCCCACTCTCATGGTCATGAGAGCGGAATGGGGCTAAAAACAAATAAATAAAGATTTGACAGTGGATCCTGATAACAATCTGTTATTTTGTCTGCAGGCTAGACTAAAGAAGCACATCCAGAACCCTAACGCAGTGGAACTGACTCACTTTTTGTTTGGTCCACTCGAGATGGTAAGGTCTCAAAATGGCAGCTTGCATTGAGTGCAGATGGTTTAATGGGTGGTGGGAGGAAGTTGCATTGATTTTCTTTTTCTGTTGTTTACTCCTCCTGATATCTGGTCTCCCTGGACCACACACACCGTCCCTGCTCTTAAAGTGCGTTAGGCTCAGTATCTCGCACTGTGTCTGAACTATAATGGGAGAAATCATCAAAGGCAATGGGGGCGCTGCTGAACGGAATTTGTACCCCAAAGAAGGGAGGTCGGCTGATTCTCGATCTGCTGTTGAGAGGCAGCTGTTGGATTTGGTAAAAATTAATTTAAAAACATAATAATTAGGTCGCTCAATCCACAACTGCTTGTGGGACACTGCTGTGCCCAATTGGCAGCTATGTTTCTCCCACAAATATACAGTCTATTCCGTGAAGCACTTTGAGATGTCTCAATGACATGATAAGGCGCTATATCAAATGCAAGGATTATTATTATTAGAATCTATGTAAAAGAGTGATGGGTGTGGGGACGAGGTCTGATAATGGGGGTGAACATCCCATTGCCCTTGCATAGGGTTCTCACGCAATGCTGTTTCTGGTGCAGATGTTAAAGACTATAGGAGGACCAGAGTTGCCTGCATCCATTGTCAATCCCCTGCTCTCCAAAGAAGCTGTGGAGTTTCTAAGGAGTCACTTGTCCCCCAAAGAGATAACACTGTGGGAAATGCTGGGCGAATGCTGGACGAGATCCAGGTAAGAACATGGAACTGCTCCTGGTGAGTGCACTAGTGACATACATTGGAACAGTAGTAGGCCATTCGGCCCCTTGAGCCTGTCCTGCCATTAGACCATGGCTGATCTGTACCTCAACTCCCAATTTGAGGTAGATCTCTCCACAGGGGGAGATGGAGATGTAGCATTGGACCATGGTGCTTTGAACACAAGGTGCATTTGGGGTTTCCAGTTATTTTTTTGTGTGGCATGGGGACCAGGAATGAACGCAATTCTCCCACCTGGCTCAGTCGGTCACACCCGAAGATCTTTCTCTTCAACCGTGCTCACGGTCACCTCACCTCTCCTCCCTGCTCGGGGTCATGCTCTGCCACTGACAAGCGCTCTGGGATGCTTCCCTGCATGAGCTGTATGAATGCAAGTAGTTGTTACTGTTGTCCTCCCGATGTGAAAGCGCTGCATAAATGGAAGTTGCTGTTATAAAGGACATCAGGGCCTTGGCAATAAGGTCACTTCCCTTTACACAGCTGTGAAGTGTAGGAAAATGGTAACAATTAGTTTCTGCGGTTGTCAGTGTCGACTGATTTTTAATTTGTTATTTTGCTTGGCAGAGCGGACTGGCCCATGGAGAACATTGTCCCGCCGTACAGGCCCAAGTTCAGGAATGGCTGGGAGCCACCTCACGACCACTTCCGAGGGGTTCCCTGGGAGATGGAGCCAGAGCTCGCCGCCGGCCCCGGCCATGGCCCTGGCCCCGGCATGGGCGACGTACAACGTATGCCAGAGGGCATGAGGCGTTACTCTGAGGAGGTAATGAGACCTTAAAACCAGAATAAGCCTGGCCTTTGTTACGTAGCCTGGAAGCTCTCAGAGGTGTCAGACTGGCTCAGTTAGTAGCATTCTCGCCTCTGAGTCAGAAGGTCGTGGGTTTAAGCCCCTGTTTGGTAGAATCGGCCTCACAGACTAAGCCGACACTGTAATGCAGCATTGGGGGAGCTGTCATCCTATGGATGAGATGTTAAAATGAAGACCCGTCTACGGCTGCACATTTTTCTATCTGAAGGCCATTATATATAATAATAATAATCCTTGCATTTGATGTAGCGTTGAAATGTCTGAAAGCACAACACAGGATATATACTGAAAAGTGGAGTGACTATATTTTGTGGGCAAAAACAGGTCATCTGTTGACAGCAAGCTCCCATGAAGAGCCAGGAAGCCAGTGACCAATTGATCTGGAGGATTGTTGGTCAAGGCACTGGCCATAAACTTTTCCTTAGTTTTGAACATTAAAGATCTTGTGACACTATTTGAAAAGTCTTGGCCAGCAATCTTACAAATGAATTGGTCATTTGTCTGATGGCTGTTTGGGTGGGGGGGAGCCTTACTCTGCACAAATTGGTCATAGCATTTGCTGGCAGAAATCTGGCTGCTCCACATAAACCGGCAAGAACTGAAATGTTTATTGATATTATGAACACGATAAAAATGCAAGCGATTTTATTTATTTCTTTCCGTGAAGCTGTTTGGCATAACTGAATTTAATTTAATGTTGCTTTGCTTTGTTAGTTGTTGCGCTTGTCATCTACAAACCCATCCTGCCTGATACTATTCTTTCCCTTTGTTCCATCAGTCAATGCCACCTGCTTACGTTCCACCCAACGGGTTTCCTTCCCGCAACACCTCGCTCAAGAGAGGTCAAGCCCTTGAGCAGAATCCTCCGGTGGATTCCTACAGACACAACCTCACTCGGCGTGATAGGTAACCTTTGGCTAACTGGTGCTCCGTCTATTATGCTCCTTCCCACTGGTGCAGACACACTATATCAGTGTTTTTTTGCTTCTGACACAATCCTGGTCCAGTTGATAATATTGTCGCTTCCAGGTCAGAGTATTGTGGGTTCAAGTACCATAGCGGCACTTGGAGCAATGATCTAGGCTGAAACTCCACAGCATTGTTACGGAAGCGCTACATCGTCTGAGTTGCTGTCCCTTGGATCAGATGTTAATCCAAGGTTCCATCTGCCTGTTCGGGTTGATGTTAAAAATCCCACGGCAGTATTCTAAAAGTGAATTGAGTTTCTCTTGGAATTCTGGCCAACAATCCCCCAAATACCGAAATTGACTCACTCACTCCATGGCTGTTTGTGAGGCATTGCTGTGTGCACATCGGCTGCTACATTCGCCTCAACATACAGTCACTGCATCCACTACATTGTGGAGTCCTGTAGCTCAGTGGTTAGAGCACTCGCTTTGCAAGCGAGAGACCTGAGTTCAATTCCAGGCAGAGGGCGAAACCTTGGGCAAGTTTCCTTACTCCACACAGAGCCTAATAATAATCCCTCCAAAACCAAAAACAATAATAAATTGTTAATTTTCAATCTATCTATCAATTTGTGGGACATTGCTGTGTGCAATTGGCTGCCACGTTCGTCCACAACTATGCAGTCAATTCACTTTACAGTGTGTTCTGTGAAGCGCTTCGGGACATCCTCCCGACGTGAAAAGCGCTATATCAAATGCAAGGATTACTATTACTACAGTAAAAACCATATTACTTTTGCTTATTATTCTTAATAGTCCTTATGTTTGATACAGCGCCTTTCGTGTCAGGAGGACATCTCAAAGCATTTCACAGGAGATCCAAGTGCAGTGACCACATTTTTTTGTAGGCAAACGTGGCAGCCAAATTGGCTCACAGCAACATCCCACAAACGTAGCTGTGGAGTGAATGACTACATTTCTTCTGGGGATTATCTGCTAGGCCAGAGTGTAGTGACTGTGCGTTTTGTTGGCCAAGTTGTTTGTTGTATTGCAGGTTGTGTTTTGAAATGTTTTTACGTCATTTAAACCTGTAAACAAAGCCAGGACTGAAAGGCTTCATTGAAAACCTGAAGGGTCCATTGACCCATAAGTCTCAAGGTGGTTTAATATAGCTAATAGCCTCTAATTACCATGGAAGCAGATAAGCCCGGAGATACAGCCACCTTCCTGTTGTTCACAGTATGCTCCTGTCATCCAGGCTAGAGAATATTTCCTGTCGGAAGTGGGGAGAGAGAGAGAGAGCTATGTGGGTCAAAGTTAACACGCCATCTGGAGTTAGGTTAATAGTGGTACTGGCAGAGACCAGAAGGCTGGAATTAAAGGCATTTCAAATTTAAGATGGTTCAAATTGTGGGAAATTCTTCAATTCAGCCTGAATTTGGAAGCTAGCATTTGGCACTCAAATACAGTGCTGGGGGAGCACTGCAATGACAGAGGTGCCGTCCTTTGGCTGAGACGTTAAACCGAGGTCCCGTCTACTGTTCAGGTAGCCTGTGGCATTTTTTTCGAAAAGAGAAGGGAGTTTCTCCCGGTGTCTTGTCATTGAGATGTCTCAAAAGCACTTCACAGGACTTTCCTCTGAAGTGCAGTGACTGCGGATTTTGTAGGCGAATGTGGCAGGTAGTTTGCTTATAGCAACTTCCCACAAACAGCCATGAAACTTTCTATATGCAAGTAATAGGTATTTGGTATAAATACAAGCTGTTGCCTTGCACTGTGTACCAGTATGATGTGCTTTGTTAACTGGAGACGACGGGTATCAATTGTTTTCACTCCATCAGGGTTTAATTTTTCAAACTGACCAAAAAGCAAAGAGTAAGCGCAGGGTGGAGAGCGTGGGGAAGGCAGGAATGGGAACAGGTGGAGAGGGCTCCCCTGAGGTGCGGGCCTTCTGTTTAAACTAAGTGACGATATTTGGAGAGACACACACTTGGGGGGGTACAGCTCCATGGCAATAGATTAGATATCTCTGTGGGAATGGACTTCTGGTAGGTATGATTAACTGGACTGACTTGAAACAGACAGCGTTCGATACGTACGCTCAGTTTGTGGAACACGATTTTTAAGAAACAAAGGAAAGCATGTCTGTCAACCAACCGTAAAGGGAAACTCAGCACGCGTTTAAGACACTAATGTCCCGCAAAGAGCCATGAGGTGAGTGACCAATTAATCTGGAGGATTTTGGCCGGGACGTGGAGAGAAACTCCCTTCTCTTTTCCATTAGTGCTGTGGGATCTTTAATAGCCACCTGAACAGGTAGACAGGACCTCAGTTTATTGTCTCATCTGAGTACTTCCAAGGATACAGCACTTTCTCAACAATGCACTGAAAGGTCAGCCTAGACTGTGAGCTCAAAGTGCCAACTCGGGGCTTGAACCCACAACCCTCTAACCCAGAGGCGAGTGTGCTACCGACTGAGCCAGGGTGACAACAAAGCTTTTAAAGTTTTAAAGCTTTTAAAGGAGTCTGGAAGATGAGATGATAGTCTAGGCTGATACTTCAGCTGAGTTCTAGGAGAGAACTGCATTGTTCGAGGTCCCATCTGCCTGTTCTTTATTTGGATGTTAAAGATCCCATTGACATCATTCGGAAAGAGAAATTCTATGATATTCCTCTGAGACGTTTCGATAAAGCTTTCCTGTAAGGCAGTAGATGAGTAATCATTGAATTGCTGTCTATTTTACATCAGAGAAGTCCAGCAGTTTCAGATTGCACCAAAACAGTAGGACGCAGGTTCAGAGTTGCAAAGGACAACTTCAGGACAGACACCAGGAAGTATTTCTTTACCCAGAGGTTGTCAGGAAGGGAGAGGTATTTGTTCTGGATGATCGAGATCAGAGGGCCAAAGAGCCTTCTTCATCCAAACTTGTCTTGTGATCTTTCAGTCGAAGCTACGATGCGCCAGTCCCCCCGCAGGCAAAGAAACTTGTTCGGGTGATATATGACTTTGTGGCAAGAAATTCCAGCGAGCTTTCTGTCATGAAGGATGAGATCCTGGAGGTGAGCAGCCTTTTCTCTCTGGTCTGTCTTGGGCAGCGCTGACCTTGTGTGTGGAATCAGTCAGTATCTCTCATTAATTCCACAGCCAGACTCCGATTGAGAGGTTCGGGAGATATTGTGGGACTGAGGCGGAGGTGGAGAAGTCAAAGTTCAAGCAGTTTTTCGCAGTCAAGTTAACCGCACAATCTCATTGAAGTTTTGGGATCACTTCAGAGGCTAAGGACAACCCCTCCTCCCTCACCACGACTGTCCACAAGCTCAAACCCACCACCTGTTCCCTCGATCCCATCCCTACCTCTCTCATCTCCCAGCTCCACTTTCTGGCCCCTCTCCTATCCGACGTCATCACATCATCAACCTCTCCTTGTCCACCAGTTCAGTTCCCACCCTCCCTAAAAACAGCCATCATCACACCCATCTTGAAAAAACCTTCCCTGGACTCATCCCTTCTCTCCAGCTACCACCCCATCTCTAATCTCCCATTCCTGGATCGAGTTATCGCGTCCCAGCTCGCTCCTTTCTTTCTTGCCATTTCCTCTTTGAACCCGCCAATCTGGCTTCCGTGCTGCCCATAGCATGGAATCAGCCCTAATCAAAGTCATAAATGACATTCTGAACATCTGTGATCCGGGTTCCCTCTGTCCCTTGTCCTCCTTGACCTCTCTGCTGCCTTCGACACTGTTGACCACTCCATCCTCATACACCGCCTTTCCTCTTTACTTAATCTTCGCAGACCTGCCCTTGCCTGGTTCGATTCCTATCTCTCTCACATCTCCCACTTTGTTAGCTCTAATCATTTCTCCTCCAGCCCCCGCACTGTCATGTCTGGCATCCCCCAGGGCTCTGTCCTTGGCCCTCTCCTCTTTAATATCTACATGCTCCCCCTCGATGACATCATCCGCAGACATGGGGTCAACTTCCATATGTATGCGGATGACACCCAACTCTTATCTTTCTGCCTCCACTCTCAACTCCAGTACCACTGCTATCCTGACAGACTCCCTGTCGGACATCAAGTCCTGGATGAGGGCAAATTTCCTACAGTTGAATGTGAGCAAGACTGAGGCCCTCCTGATTGGCTCGCGCCAGCGCCTCAGCACCTCAGGCTCTGGCAGCATCAACCTTCATGGTTGCACACTTCAACTCCAGTCAGGAACCTAGGTGTCTTGTTCGACCCTCAACTGTCTTTTCTTCCCCACATCCAAGCCATGACCCTCTCTGCCTTCCCTCACCTCCGTAACATCGCCCAAATCCACCACTACCTCACCCCTCAGGCCGCTGAAACTCTTGTTCATGCCTTCATTACCTCCAGGCTCGACTATGCAAACTCCCTGCTTGTCGGCCTTCCCAACTCCTCCCTCCACAGGCTGCAGATAATCCAGAACTCTGCAGCCCGTGTCATCTCCTGCACCAAACTCTGTGACCCCATCTCCCTCATTCTCGCCTGACTCCATTGGCTCCCTATCCTTTAGAGGATCCAGTTCAAGATCCTGGTCCTCACCTACAAAGCCCTCTCCCCACCCTACCTCTGCGACCTCCTAACCCCCTACCAACCCGCCCGCTCCCTCCACTCAGCCGGCTCTGGCCTGTTCCACATCCCCTGACCTAACCGCCCCACCATTGGCGGGAGAGCCTTCAGCCACTCTGCTCCCCACCTCTGGAATTCCATCCCCCAGTCACTCCGCCTCGCCCCCTCCTTAGCCTCCTTCAAGTCCCGCCTTAAGACTCCTCTTCGACCATGCCATCGGCCACCCCCCTTCCCCTCCCCTCCCCCTTCTCCCCCTCCCCCCCGACCCCAGCTTGGTGTGAAAGGCACTAATCAAATGTAATCGTGTTGTTGTTGTTCAGGGTTGCAACTTCCTGGTCACCGTTGCCAGCATTTCCTGTATCTCGCCCATGAGTAGCCAGCAGGAAGTGACAGCAGTGGCAACATATGACCTGAACTCATCCATTTTGGTTTCCCATACACTGGCCGCCATTTAATATTACAGCAGACACATGCAGTGAATGTACAAACCCAGACCGGCAACCACACCCCATGGCAGGCCTGGCATGGATTTTATGGATCCTAAATAAACACGTTATAAATGGGGCTGCACTATACACTGTTGATGATTATCACAGCACTGATAAAAAAGTCAAGTCAAAACTAAAGACTGGTCGCTGCTGTGAATTTTAGCCCCCCCCCCACCACCCCGCCATCCAATTCTGTCAATGGTTGGGCCTCAAGCTGCCCCATGCTGCCATCGGACTTTCTGGACGAGAGTTACTGGCACAACTCAGTTTTATTTTTCCTGTTGTTAAGTAAAACTAGTAACCATCAGCTCAAGGGCCTGTTTCGAGCCCAGCAAGTGGAATGGCAGCATAGGCTGGGTTTGGCACAACAACAACAAATTACACTTGTATAGCGCGCTTCACGTCGGAAAAACGTCCCATTAATGGACAACCATTATAATGGGGGAGGGGGGGAGAGTCACAGTCACACCTTTAGCCAATCTTTATTCATTGACTGGACTCGTCGACCGTATCTATCAACAATGTGCTAATTATTACATCACAGGTTATAATTTTCATTCTTGCGCCTCCTTAGTGTTCACAATGGTGACTTTTTCCCAGGAACAGTTAAGTCTTGCGCTTTTTTTTACAACAAAATGTTTGTTTTCCCTGAGGCAATGGGGTACGCAGGCATTGCAGTGGGCACCACCCTAGGGTAGAACGATCTCTCTCTGACCTGCTGGCTCTCTCCTGCCCCCTGCAGATGCTGGAAGATCACAAAACCTGGTGGAAACTGAAGAGCAAGTTTGGGGAAATTGGCATTGTCCCAAGTAATATGCTGGATATTGTGAACATAGATGAGATTTCTGCCCAGCCTGAGCAGCATTACAGCCAAGGCCAGCCGGTAGGTAACACTGTGCACAAGCAAAGGCAAAATATTTGTGGAGTCCTGTAGCGATTTGGTTAGAGCACTTGCCTCGCAAGCGAGAGGACGTGGGTTTGATTCCTGGGCAGGGTGAAAGCTTAGGCAAGCTTCCTTATTCCACACGCCTTTGTTAACCTAGCAGTAAATAGGAACCCAGTTGTTCCTTGATTGGTGGATCACTTTCTGTGGGTAATAATCCCTCCAAAAAAACATAATAATTTGGTCACTCAATCCACGATTGTTTGTGAGACACTGCTGTGTGCAATTGGCTGGCATGTATCGCTCACAAAATACAGTCAATTCACTTTACAGTACATTCTGTGAAGCTCTTTGAGACGTTTCAACGAAGTCATAAGGCGCTATAACAAATACAACTATTATTATTATTATTATTTGGTCACATGCGGAAACCCATCACTGTGCCTAAGGTTATCCAAAGCAGACTGAGAGTTCCACATACGTATACCACCTATACTTGGAAATTTCCATGCCTGGAATGAAATGACCACTCTCTTCCCAGAGGGATGCACCCTCCTAAACAAATTCCGCAGTTTCGCTAGTGTCCTGGCCAGCAATCACCCAGATAAAATTGAACTTTCACTTCATGAATATATGCAGGTATTGCTGTCTGCAAATTGGCTGCCACATTCACCCGCAGAACATACAATCACAGCACTTCACTGTGCGTCTGCCTGGCTCATTGGTAGCACTCTTGCTTCTCAGTAAGAAGGTTGTGGGTTCAAACCCAATGTCGGGTCTTGGAATCACAAAGTCTAGGCTGACATCGCAATGCAGTGCTACAGGTGTGTTGCATTGTCAGAAGTGCCATCCTTTGGATGAGCTGTTAAACCAAAGTCCCATCTGCCTGTTCCGGTGAACGTTAAAGATTCCATTGCACTATTTGAGAAGAAAAGGGAGTTTTTTCCCAGTGCCCTGGTAAACAAATCCCGCTAATAAAATTAGTCCATGACTGTGGGACATTGCTGTGCGCAAACTGGCTGCTGAATTTCACCCAGTTATAACCTGTGAAATGCCTTGAGACATCTCAACAATGTGATAAGGTGTTATTTCAAATGCAAGGATTATTATTATCCTATGAAGCTTTAAGATGTCCTCCCGATGTGAAAGGCGCCACGCCAAATGCAAGAATTATTATTATTTGTTACCTCCACTGATAGCAGCATCTAGTTACATCAGATGACAATGTTTTCTGCAGAATCAGTGGTACAAAGGAGAGCCTGGTGTCAGAGGCATGGGGCCGAGCAGCCCAGGTCCCTTCACGGGCCACGTAAGGCAGGGAAGCTATGAGCTGCCAGGAATAATCAGCAAGCCTATGTCACGGGAAAAACGTAAGTGTTCATCAAATGTGTGCACGTGCAAACACTCTACATTGTGCCATCCGAATCAGCCTTATAAGAATTGATTACCACTGCCAGTCTTGAAATTGCCCGTCACATCCCTGACCTTGTTGCCCTTGTGTCCTCCTGTTTTGACGTACCTGAAAGTATTGTTCTGAGTTTGCTTTCTCTTCCATCTTCCATTAACCGTAAGTGTCTTCTATGAGAAGCAACAAAATTGTATTTATATAGCATCTTTCATGTCGGGAGGACGTCGCAAGGCGCTGGACAATGAGGGGTTTGCACCAGAGCTACAGGTTGGGGTCAGAATGATGTGGAGGAGGGAAGATGACCAAAGGCATGGACCAAAAGGATGCTCTTGAAACAGGCCTTGAAGGAGGCAAGGGAGGGGGAGAGGCAGAAGGGCTCTGGGATTGAGTCCAGAGGATGGAGGCAAAAAGGCTGAAGGCCAGACTGCCAATAGTGGAGCAGGAAGGGTGGGGGACGTGGAGCTGCCCAGTCAGTACCAGCAGAGTTGAGAGAGCGATTAGGTTGGTGAAGTTTTAATAGGTCTCGGAGGTAGGGTGGAACAAGAGCATGGAGTTCTTTACAGGTGAGGACAAGGATCTTCTGGGGGGCATGGGGAGCCAGTGAAGCCAGGTGAGGATAGGAGAGATTGGCTCACAGAGCTTAGTGCAGGGGAGGACACAAGCTGCAGAGTTCTGAATAATCTGTAGCTTGTGGAGGGAAGAACTGAGAAGTCCGGCGAGCAGGGAGTTAGCGTAGTCAAGACTGGATGTAATGAAAAGGTGGATGAGGGTTTCAGTGGCCTGAGGGAGAGGTAGTGGATATGAATCATGATTTTGTTGAGTGTTTCTCTGTAACCCCACAGAGATGTTCAACCAGATGGATGAAGTGAATGACGAGTTGCTGCATTTAATCACCTCCAACAAAACCAAGCCACAGGCCCGGAATTTCCACCTCCCAAAGCAATCATCTGTGTCTGTGCCCTTCAGCTACGAGTCCAGTGCTGAGGAGGTCAAAGCCTGGTTAGATGCAAAAGCCTTCAGCAAACCGTGAGTAATGGATAATACCAGAATTTGTTGCATTACCCCCTCTGCTCGGCAAGCTCTGGCCTGCTCCACGTCTCCCACCTTATTCTATTTTATTCACCTCATCCCTTCCCTCGCCTCCTTCAAGGTCTGTCTCAAGACCAACTTATTTGATTGCTCTTCGGTCATCTTCCAACCCCTCCTGGATTCCACCCTTCTCAAATCTAATCCGTAGTTCATCTGTCCCAACATCTTGTTCGTCAGGGTCATGGGATCTTTATTGTCCATCTGAACCACCAGAACAGACCTAGAGTGTTAACTCAACAATACATGGGAGTGTCAGCCTAGCTAGGACCTGCAGCAAGGGCTGAAACCCATAACCTTTTGACCCATTCCTACCAGACGGCAGGACTTGGAAGGGCAGACCAGTCACTGGGGGCAGGGAATTCTTCCACTCAGTTCCTGTTAACTCCTCAATCCAAAGCCCTAACGGTTAAGGTCATCCCAGCTGAGCTGGATAAGCAGCGGGAAAGTATGCCAGACAGTAGTCTCAACAGCAAGTTATGTGCCTTTAACTGGTTAGAACTCCAGCAGTACCCCAACTCATACTCTGGTCCCTAAGCCTTGGCTCTTGCCAACCTGTGCCTACAAAATACACAGTCACTACACTTCGCAGAACAGAAGAAAAAANTGTAATCACTCAATCCATGACTGTTTGTGGGACACTGCTGGATGCAAATTGGCTGCTGTGTTTTGTCCACAAAATACACAGTCAATCCACTTTGCAATATATGCTGTGAAGCGCTTTTAGACGTCTCAACGACGTGATAAGGAGCTGTATCAAATGCAAGGATTATTATTAACAGGGTTTTGAGACAATTCAAGCACCGCATCATAATTCCTAAATCTGGGAGCATTGTATTACAGGACGACAATGAGTCTGGGGGTACTCACAGGGGCACAGATCTTTTCCCTGAACAAAGACGAGCTGCGGATGGTGTGCGGAGAAGAAGGCGGCCGTGTGTACAGTCAAATCCAAGTACAGAAGGCAGAGCTGGATGTAAGAAACCACTGTTGTTGTTGATTTTCCTCAGAATTCTTTTCCCTCACCAAAGATGAGTTGATGCTCAACGGACGTTCTGTCTGCATTGCATTTTATTGTGGAGTCCCACAGCGTGATGGTCAGTGCGCTGGCCTCGCAAGCGAGCAGACCTGGGTAATAATCCCTCCAAAAATGCTGTGTGCAATTGGCTACCAAGTTTCACCCACAAAATACACATTCAATCCAATTTATAATATATTCTGTGAAGAGTGATAAGGCGCTATACTGACAAAACTCACAAACCACATGAATTGAGTGTCAGCCTGGGTTAGTTGGTAGCACGTTGGCCTCTAAGTCAGAAGGTTGTGGGTTCAAACCCCATGTTAAGACTTGGAACCCATATCGCCTAGGCTGATATGCCAATGCTGTGATGGAGATATGCTCCATTATTGGAGGTGGCATCCTTCAGATGAGACTTTAAACCAAGGGCCGGTCTGTTGCTGTGCGCAAATTGGCTGCCACGTTTATCTACAAGTACACGGTCACTTACAGTTCACAGTAAATCATGTGAAGCGCTTTCTGATGTGAAAGGCACAATATCAAATGTAACTTTTATTGTTATTATTCATATCATTAATAATAAGTTTACCCTGTGTTTTGTCCCATAATTTAATCTCTGCAGAAGCACCGAGGAGAGTCGGAACTGGAAGAAATCATGAAGCGAAGGCAGGAGAGGATTGACTCTACTGATGATTAGGCTCTCACCGCAGTTCACTTTGGGATTGGAAAATAAAGCAGACAAATGAGAACTGCTAAAATAAGAATAATTTTGTGGATTTTATTCCTGTGTTTTTTTTTAAAAGGGAAAAAACAAAACTACTCTGTTCAGTACCTGCACAGTGCTTTGTCAGCAGTCGTGTGGTTGACATGAACTATTAATTTTATGTACCATATATATATGCATGCAGCTGTTATAGTGTAAGTCTGAACAATCGTTGCCAAACACGGAAGCCAAGTGAACACAGAATGAATGCTGTTTTTGCTCAATCCTAGTGAGATCACCCATTGCAGCCTTCTCTAGCTCACAGCCCAATTTAAACCTTTATATAATAAATCATGTGATGTTGTGTAACGTTCTGCTATTGAAAACAATTGGTGAAGGAAAATGCACAATGGGTTGAAATAAGCTTTTCACTTTCTCAAATACTGATTGTTGCTTTGTTCTGTAATTATTATTGCCTTCGGATATTAACTCGTCAATAAGCCTTAGCCTTGGGCAATTTTTATGAATGACATATGGTCCAATGTACATCCTCTATAAAACAAACACATAGTCCACTACACATCTCTATGCTACAGATGCATTGTCCGATATACATCACATAGAATGATGAACACACACATTTCACTAGGCACCCTACAGACTGACACATGGTCTAATAGACACCCTGACACATGGTCCAATATACATCCTACATACTGACCCACAGTCTAATCAACACTCTGTTGATTGACACACTATCAACTATACACCCTATATAGACTGACACACAGTTCAAAATATATTCTATTGACTAACACACAGTCCAATAGATACCCAATAGATTGACACATGGTCCAATACCTATAGTGTAACACATGGTGTAGACACCCTATTGTACTGAAATTAACCTACAAACACAGTCATTACACTTCTCAGTAAAAACCACTAATAAATACACAAATAACCACTCGGAGCATAGCAGAGCGTAGCAGCTGACTGACAAATACAGTGTAAAACATACAGCAAAACATGGGCCAGAACATCCATTTCAGCCCCTGCTTATATTCCTCGAAATGGGAGACCTTAGATGGTCCAAGGTTGTAAACTAAATTTGAAGTCAACAATGGGGACTTTAGGGCACAGTTAATTTGAACCCTAAAACTCTTATTTCCCTGCTCGGTGATCCCTGCCATGTTTGTCAAACGCTTTGAGTCATTCTTTTACATGAAAAGCTTATATAAATGCAAGTGGATATTGTTGTTTTCTGATTTTGGTTTATTGCTCACTCTTCGTTCCTTAAGTCCCATCGTTACTAGCCGAGCATTTGCCTACAAACACACAGCGGCTCCACTTTACAGTTAATCCTGTGAAGCGCTTTGAGACGTCCATCTCACTATATTAAATCCAAGGCTTATTGTTATTATTGAGGAATAATAATGAATTAGAGATGCATTAAATGTGTATTTTGACAAGAGTTGAATATCAAGACTAACTTGGTCTTTTCAAGTCTGCTTTTGAGTTTGAAATCTGGTTAGAGGTGATTTGTGATGTAATGTAATCAGTTTAGACAGATCTTTCGAAGTCTGGTTCTGCAAACATATTGTCATTGCCTCAAGTTGGTGTATTATGTTTAAAACTGGATGTGAATGTTTATAACATAGTTTTTGGTACATAGTCAGAACGTTTTCCTAGTTTCACCTTAAATATTGCAGATTTCCCCCTGAAATATTCCTTGTTCCAAAGTGAAAAGAATCCAATTTCTTATTCCTAATGAAACATGAGAACAGTGTTAATCTGATTTAAACTGGAGAACGGGTTGAGAGAAGATGCAATATAGTCCAACAAGGAATAAAGGAATGAGTACGCTTTCTATCTCTTTTCACAAGTCAGGATTTTCTACCCAGATTTTCTTTCTGATGTGTTAAAAGTCCTGTGGGACTCACTCAGCTGAGTTCTATTGACTTAGAATCAGAAGGTTTTACAGTTGAATCCTAGTGGTTCCTCACAGCCCTCACTCAACCTTTCAAAGCTGATGAGATGAATACTGTGTCTAATTGCGACAATCCTATCCAAACATGTACTGTATCACAGAACTTCTCCATGTTTCATGCTGGTGAGCTGCTCGTGTTAATTCTACGTTGACGTGTGTTACTGTGGCTTTTAGCTGTAATGGGAAGGAGAGCAGCCACTTTGCTTTGACCTTGGTGAATTAAACATTTAGACAGAGTGCAAGTGACATTGCCAGATCTCTCTCCGCTATCGCCGCCGCAGGCAGTAAATTATCGGCCTGGGAGCATGTAAATCTCCAAGAGGTCTTTGTTGTGTGTATGTGTGTGTGTGTGTGTGTGTGCGTGAGTGAATATATAACTGAGACCATTGTCCATACTATTGGAGCACAAAAGTCTTTTTGTCCATTGTTGTAGTGTCTGGTAATGGCTACAAACATTTCTTGAGGTTCTGTGAGCCCAGGCTATAACGAACAGAATTTATTATCTATATATACACAATTTAAATAAACTGAATGTAGTTTTCCAGTCCTCATCTTTTGCAGCTGTATAGACATCAGCCTCTGTTTAATACACCAAGACTGATTCTGGTCTCATGGTTTTTCAATCTGAAAATCTGTTGATGTGAAATCTGCTTATAATAATTATGTGTTTGATGCTGTAAGAAAATAAGCGTTGCTTCATGCTATAGACTTTGTCTGGAAATAAAGAAAGAGGGGTTTCAAACCAAGACTGCAAGATCAACCGTGCGAGTTTATAAAGGTTAAATAGAGGAATCCCTCATTTGCTGTGTGGCCGATCTCAAACAGCTGCATTTGAAAAAAGTGCTGAGATACAGAACACGCAGAGTACTTTCCTTGAGTTTTATTTTTTAACGAGAAAACCTTTGTAGTTATAAAAATTATGAACATATTTCGTGAAATAAAGACGCCTAGAAATTAGAAAGTTAAGGTGTTTTGCTGTCGGCATTTTTTTTATTAAAGCAAATGTAGATTCAGAGAAATTTACATCGCAGAAGCTGCTCTCAGAATAAGTTCTCCATTTAGTCTCACTGACTCGCTCTATCCCCCTTCCCCTTTAAGCCTTTTTCTATCATATGCCTGTCTACTTCACTCCAGTGCTGTCATCAGCAGTGATGTCCCGGGCAAAATGAAATGTTGCCTGTGAAACAAACATTCTTCCTTCCTCCCTCCACCCATAATGAATCCAAAGAAATTGTAGCTTGCACACAAGGTATCAGTCTGGCTCAGTTGGCAACACTCGATTCTGAGTCAAGGTTGTGGATTCAAGTCAATGAATATTTGTGGGATGTTCTGTGTGCAAAGAGGTTGCGGCGATTGTTTACAAAATCCACAGTCATTCCGCTTTACAGTGAATCCCGTGAAGTGCTTTGGGATGTCCTCTGAATATTAAAGTCAGTGTGAAATACAAAGATTATTATTATTCATTATGGGTGCCTGCCCACCTCCGACACAAAGAATGAGCTTTCCAGAGCTCTCCATCATTGGATGTGAGCTGGTTGCATTGAGAATAATATTCATTTGGATGCAGAGCCACACTGAACACTGTACTCACGTGTGAGTAAGACAGGACAACCATTCTATCCTGGGACAAGATCCATTTTCTTCTGGGCTTTGTTTCTCTTTTAGCACATGTTCATTTTTTTTACCCTGTTGTTTTCTTACTTTCTTTCCCACCCCCCACTCTCTCTCTCTCTCTCTCTCACACACACACAGACATCTGATACATGCACTGATCACTGACACTGGCAAACGTTTTCCTCATGCTTCTAATGGGAAATATTTAACTCATTAATAAGAGCAGCTACAGTGTGTTACTATCAACACTGCCATTTGAAATAAGGTCCCCAAATAAACAGAGACCGCTTCCTGCAATATGTCTTACAGTTCCTACTGTTTCTCTTTCACAATCTCCCCCAGATCATAGAGAAAGCTGAGAGCTTTCCCCAATTACTGTTGACAGAAGTTGTTGCTGGATTTGGACACTGAGATAACCATGCTCACAGAGACGTTTGCATGAGTTGCAAATGTTCAATGGCAGTATCAATTTTACAGAAAGGTATGGCTACCAATCCAGGGAACAGAAGTAGTTACAGGAGTTTCTGGAGGCAATTAAAGCAAGAGGTGTTTTGAGTAATCTTATGCATTTCCTCGTGGTCAGTGGTGGCACTGGGTGAGGTCTGGGATAAGGCTTCTTACTCAATCTCTTAGCTGCAGGCAGTATCGGGAAATGACAGGAGGGAAGGGAGAAATTAATCCAATTGAGGAAATAATGACTGTTCATCTATTGTGATCACGATGTAATTATGTCATCAGTTGATTGAGCTGTTTCCTGAATCTCACAAGGAATGCTAAAGTTAATGCTAAGGTGTTAGTTCAATTAAATTACTCTTTGGCAAGAGGTTGGAGATTTGCCTCAATTGTTTGCAGTGAGCTGTGATTGAAAGAGGCTATTGCTGGTATCATTGGCTGCATTAAGTTGGCTGTTCCAGTGAATATTGAAGATCCCATCCCATGTTTTTGGAGGGAAAAAAAAGGATTTTCTCCCAGTGTTCAGATCAACATTCCTACATATAAAATTGGCCATTCACTTAATGGATGTTTGTGGAACGTTGCTGTGTGCAAATTGGCTGTCCTGTCCACTCTCACAGTCACTACACTTTACAGTAGATCCTGTGAAGCGCTTGGAGATGTTTAAAGCACACAAGAGAGAGAAAAGTGGTGATGAATCAGATTTGAGGGTGTATTATCACACAATGACATTATACAATGATTCATTAAATTTGCTTTGCCCACAAAATACAGTCACTACACTTTACAGTATATTCTGCAAAGCGCTTTGAGACGTCTCGGAAGACGTGATGACGCGCTGTATCAAATGTGAGGATTATTATTATTATGATGCAATTCTAAGCAGGTTATTATAACCTCCCACAACAACAACTTGGATTTACATAGCGCCCTCTACGCCGGACGGCATTTCAGAGCGCTTCACAGTAACAGATTCCCGGGACCGAGCCGGGGGGAGGGGGAGGAAGGTGACCAAAGGCGCGGTCGAAAAGAAAAGTCTTCAGAAGAAGGGACCTGAAAGTAGGAAGAGAAGGGGTGGCGGGGGGGGTAGACGAATGGAGTGAGGCAGGGAATTCCAGAGCCTCGGGGGGGTGTAAGTGGCTGAAGGCACGGCTGCCGAGAGTGGGGCGGAGGACTCGGTGGGGGGGGGGAACGAGGGGGAGGCCACCAGACCCGGAGTATCAAAAACCGAGATCGCTGGGAATGGACTGGAATGGCCGGTCAGGTCAGGTCAGGCAGCATCTATGGAGAGAGGAAAGGGAGCCAACGTTTGGGGTCTACGCCCCTTCGTCAGAACTCATTGTTGCGTAGGCTCACCCTGCACTGTGATTGGCTCAGGTCGGCCTCCTCTGATTGGCGCACGGCGGCGGTGGCGCTGACGCGATTGGCTGGCTGAGCGAGGACTCACTGGCGGCTTCCCATTGGCCGGCGTCGGAGACGCTCCAATTGTGCCGATTGTGGCTCATTCCGCCGCTCGCTATTGGCTGATGCGCCTTCCACCCGCCCTCGCCTTCGTGATTGGCTCCGCCCTCCAGGCCCCGCCCCTCAGCGCCCCGCCCTCCGCAGCCCGTCATCCACTCCGCCCCCTTCAACCCCACCGTCCCACCCCCTCCTCCCCCCCCCTCCCCCCACCCCACCCCCGGCTCTTATAGAGGCCTCGCACCCGGTTACCGCTCGTACCCACCCACCGTCCGTCCTATGGCAGAAGTTGAGTCACCTGCGAAGAAGCAGAAGATGGCGTCGGTGCTGGAGCAGCTGAAGGGATTCACCACAGTGGTGGCCGACACCGGCGACATCAACGGTGAGAGAGAGCGAGACCGAGCCCGCGCACTGCACTGCAGCCCTCTCCGCCCCGGGACCCCCGGTTACACCCTCGGCGGCTCTGCCCACCCGCCGGTCCAATCTGTCTGCACTATCGCTGCGCGGCCTATTTGCCCCACTCGAGCCCGCGGCCCTCGATTTATCCCTCAGCCGCCCGGCGAGGGAGACAGAGAGGGGGAGGGAGGGAGGGAAGGAAGCACAGCTTGTGGGTGGACCCGCGCAATGTAGCCCAATTGGGCGTTTTGTGTTGTTGTCTTGGGCGGGTTTGTGGCGTCTTGGGCGGGTTTGTGGCGTCTTGGGCGGGTTTGTGGCGTCTTGGGCGGGTTTGTGGCGTCTTGGGCGGGTTTGTGGCGTCTTGGGCGGGTTTCTAATTGATTAAACCATTTTAATTTAATATTGCAAAATGTTTTTCTTCCCCCCCACCACACACACCCTCCCCTCCTTTTTGGACACCCTTTCTTACACTGTTTCATAAGTAAATTGGCCGCTCTGCTACTATCCACAGAAGAGACTGTGCATGTTGTATTATTGGGCTACTTTGGGGCGAGGGTCTGGTTTAACTGAAACCTTTTTTTTAAAAAAAATTAGCCAAAGCTGACTTTTTTTTCCATGCACAGTCCGATGAAAGATGCCCAATTTGGTGTGTTGGATGCCGAGGAGTGGAATCAGCAACAGTTAATGCAGTGGGAGAGGAGGGGAGGGGGTGGGGAGAGTGATGGGGACTTGCCCCCAATGTTTGGCTCACCCTCTTTAGTATTTATCAGTAGGTTTTGGTGGGGAGGCTCTGGAGTGGGGATGAGGAAGTACAAGGTTTGTCTGGTCAACGAACCTTGCGTAAAGGCCACTTTGTTCGAATCCCTGAATAGTCGCTGGAAACAGGTTTGACTGTATTGTATTATTTCAACATTTTTTTAAGAAAAAAAACCCACAGCAGTGAGGCAAGAGCTCACGCTGGAAGGGAGGGCTGTCGGATCTGTGTGCCAAGCTCCCCCCCAGCCTCCTGGTTATTGCTGCACTGCTGGGCTGCATATCTTAGTGATTATCCACTAATTATCCGAGTAAAGAGAGATGGGGCCTGTGCACTATACTCTGAGCTGTCTGGGATTACTCTGCCCAGGGAAGTGGATTAACTGAATCAACAGGACTTTCTGGTTCCGTGATCAATTAATACAGTATTTGTTGAAGTTCAAAGTTTTGACTTATCTGGATTATGCGCTGATCTGAGCGAGCTTTGACTGGAAACACAATATTTCAATCTATCGGTTTCCGTGCTGAAGTTTGAGCAATGCATATTGCTTAATGCATTGCAACATTTGTCATCTGTTATTTAATTTTGTCGCAATAGGAGTGTTTCCTGAACTTCCGATAAATATTGCACCCACGCCCACTGGAACCAAACACTTAGTCAGCAGTGTCAGGCAATATATTATTTGGATGACCAGCGCTTTGCCAAATGTGTAGGAAATGTTGAATAATCTTGCAGAGCTAACGTCTGCTCAAAGGGTTCCTGCTGCTTCTGTTATATGTTCAGATGCAAGTTTTTACAACTGTCCTGTCTTGGGAAGTTTAGTGAATGAAATCAAGACAAGTCAATAATTTTGCAAATTTGTCCAGATTCCCTCTTTCTCCCCAACTAAGGAAAGAGAAAGTGTAATCTTGTGGAAGGTTTTAGTATGAGCTTTATCTGAAAGCAGTATCACATTCTGAATGTCCTGTTTATTTATAAAAATCGAATTTAGCTTGGCTTAAATGAACTGTCCTGTTGACACTAGTTTGTCTACCTGGGTACATAATAATAATCCTTGCATTGATCACACCTTTGAGGTGTCTCAAAGTGCTTCACAGACTATACTGTAAAGTGAAGTTAGTGTATATTTTATGGGTGAAAATATTTATTTGGCAAGGTTCTTCCCTGGTATGGGAACATCATCTCAACAAAGCAAATGTGCTCTACAGTATTAAGTAATAACTAATAATCCTTGCATTTGATACTGTAGTTGGCGCAGGTTATTCCATGAAACATATACCACTTGTAACTTTTTTAGTGTCCAGTTTCCAGTGTTATGTAAGGCTTGTCAATACTCCTCAAGTCTTAGCACTGACCTTTTTAATCTTTGGGGGAAATATTTATTTTCAAAAATAACTTATCAGATCACATAGTGATCCAGTAGATGCATCGGAAAAACACAAGTGTACAGTGTTGCATAGTAGGTTGGAACTGTTCAGGGTGAAATATTTCAAGGGTAACTAACTGAGTACATGTATGCAGACAACAAGTGACTTTTAACAGATCTATTTACATACAGTTGTGTCTGGTTCAGTTGCACTTTCCCTTTATTCCAAGTACATCATATTTTGCTCTTTCAAATTCACAAGTGTAAATTGCTTAGTCACCCTGACTTTGCGGGTAATTGTTTTGAATGCAAATTTCTGTAATGTTTTGATTGCCTGACTTGCACCATGGCAAAGTATTTAGAAGAACAATTCCTCACAGCACTTGTAACAATGTCCCCCACCTCTCTAAAACTGGTCTGTGCTACATCAGACTGACTGGTGTTTTCTGTAAAGGATGAACTGTATTTGGAGACTTTGTTTCCATCTATAACAGTATGTTAATTGTCAACTTGGCTGAGTTGGTAGCACTCTCATTTGAGTCCAATAGTTGTGGGTTCAAGCCCCACGTCAGTACTTTGAACCCACAGTCAAGGCTGACCACCCAGTGCAGTGCTGAGGGAGTTGCGTGTTACCAGAGATGTTATTCTTCGGGTGAGACGTTTAACGGAGGTCCCATCTGCCTGCTCAGGAGGACGTCGAAGATCATGTGGCGCTTCTCAGAAGGGGGTTTCTTCCAGGGACCTAGTCAACAAACAATCACCCAGATTTTATTGATCACTCACATCATGGCGTGTTTGTGGGACATTGCTGTGCGCAAATTCGCTGCTAGTTTCACATACAAAATGCACAGTCACTGCACTTTACAGTAAATCCTGTGATAATTATTCTTATTTAATAATTATTTAATAAAGTATTATTTAATGATCATATCACAATGTTATTATTATTTATTATTAAATCCTGTGAAGGGCTTTAAGACATCTCAACAAAGCATTATCAAATGCGACAGTTATAGTAGCCTTGGAAAGTTGGGGTGGAGGGGTGAAACTTGTTAGTGTAGATTCTCAATTCTTAAAGTGATGAAGTTAACATCTGGTTGATCAGTGGTTCATTAAATGTCTTTGATCCACAGCCATCAAAGAGTTCCAACCCCAGGATGCTACGACCAACCCTTCCCTCATACTTGCTGCTGCTCAGATGCCAGCCTATGAAAAACTTGTGGAGAATGCTATTGAATATGGAAAGAAGCTTTGTGGGTAAGAAATCTTAAATGAAAGGCCTGAAAGGGGGTTGGGTAAAAGTGTTTGTAAAAGATGGTGTGAACCCTGTTTACTGTAACCCCCTTGCAGAAATACAAATTGGAATAATCACGTTCTTCTCAGGATTAGCTTACCTGCTGTTCAATAGAACTCCTGTTATCTGAACATTTTATATACTAAACTGGTGGAACAGGCTGGAAGGATTGAATGGCTCCTTGTCCTTGCCTACGACAGCAACCTGCATTTACATAGCGCAGTGTAGCGTCCCAGAGCTCTTAAACCTATCCTTCCGGCTTTTCTGGCCTAATCAGAAATGTTGGGTTTGTTCACGCCACTTATGTACTCGAGTCGCTTCAATTTGACTGATTGTGAGTCAGTAGATGCAACTTAGCTGAAGATATACAAAATTGTCCTATGGTTACTGTTTAACCAGGCAGTTTATCATTACTTATCACTACTATTTATTCAAATGACCCCAGTAAAGTGTAGTACAATCAGACACACCCAATTTCTTGGCATTTAAGCAGGAACTATTTGTTCAGTTTAAATCCATCTCGCGTCACCTTTTGAGGAAGATGAGATCTTTGTTTTGAAAAAATGTTCATTTTAGAAGCAGTACATCTACAAGGGATTTAAGCTTGTGTGTTAAGAGATAAATTCTTATCTCTTTATGTAGCTAAGGAGCATGGTTGCAGTGTTCCGTTGTGAAAATCACTGCTCATGTACTTTCGAACTTATCTAAGATGTGTCTGTTCAGATGGATGTTAAAAGATCCCAAGGCATGATTTGAAAAGAGACTTTCTTTCAGTGTCCTGGTCAACCATCCTTCAGATTTTGTTTTAATAAAAAAAGGAATTTCTTCATGGCTGTTTATTTAGGACATTGATGTGCGCCTACAAATTCAATCACACCACTTGATCATAAACTCTTAAAGTGCTGTGAAGGCTTTATCTGTAAATGAATCTCTTGCAGGACCGAGAAGGAGAAACTCAGCAACGTGATGGACAAGCTGTTTGTCAACTTTGGGATGGAAATTCTCAAAAAAATCCCAGGCAGAGTTTCAACAGAAGTTGATGCCAGGTAAAACAAACTAATACTTAACAGAAGCTTTTAGTAACCTGATTGAACTATTTTAACTCCACTTAGATGCCAGTTAATTACAGATGCTTTTTTCTAAAAGTTTTCAGTCACACAAAGTACGTGGCCAATATTTAGAAAAAAGTCAAGTCTTGAGAGAAGCTGCTGTGTAGGAAAAGAGAAATGCTGTATCAAGGCCAAAGTGAACTGAAATAAATGTGACCCCTTTTTCTCACTAGGTTGTCTTTTGACAAAGATGCCATGATCAAAAAGGCCCAGCATTTGATTAAACTGTATAAGGATGTAGGGATCTGCAAGGACCGTGTACTTATCAAACTCTCTTCTACGTGGGAAGGAATCCAGGCTGGAAAGTAAGTGCCGTTTGCAACTTGTGCAAATCAACAATATAAGCATCCCCAGTCACATGTCCCATTTGCATTTCATAACTATGCTGAAATTGGATACACATAGAACATTTTGCATTGGATTTGTCTTAAAAACTGGTAGAAATAGTGAGGGCCCCATTAATCATTAATTTTTTTAAGAATTAGTTTATAGGATTTTTGTCTGCAGCAAAGGGCGCTGTTTGAGCTGTGCCAGGTGAATTTATGGGCATTTTGTGGGCAAAATGCAGTACACAATTGCACACAGCAATGTCCCACAAACAGTCATGGATTGAGTGACCATTTTTTTATTGAGGGATTATTACCTCTGGAAAGCAATCTGCTAATCGACTAACAACCTTGTTCCTACTTATCGCTAACAAGACATCAATCTAGCTAAATTAAAAAGTGATTTGAATACTTTCTATCCATGAAAGAGTGATTCCAATTTGCATACTTTCAAACCTTTCTTTGGCAAAATGCAGTTAATATACAGGATTGGGGTTTGCTCCTGAATGCTATTTATAACCAGGCCCAAGCGAGGAATGAAGGTCAGGTCTGCAGATTTTCTGCATTCAAATATGGATTAGTTCTCCCTCTAGGCTAAGCACTAAGCTTCTTCACTGGTTGCAGGCATCCTGACTCAGTTTGTTTTCCCAACTGTAGATGAGTGATGGCTCTGTACATTCTGATGAGATCATATTTGATAATACTAGTGTCTATTTTTGAGAAAGGAGTCTGTTTCTAATCCCCTTAAACTAATAAGGAACCTCTTTTGGCACTCCAGGAGAATGTGCATTTGGAATGGCATCTGGTTTCTTTCTCCTGCCCTCTCCCTAAACAAATTGAGATGAACTTTCAGTCATTCTGTCCCTGTTCTGTGAAGATCCATCCTTGAATAGGTGTGTTTACACCAACCTTCCTCCCTTCAGACCCATCCCAAACTTTACATCTGTATAACTCTGCTTTTGGCCACTCTGGGTTGTCAGCTACGTGAAGAGCTTTGAGATGGCCTCCTCAGGTGAAAGGAATAAATAAATATAAATTTGTTTAAATTGGCCTCACCGAAGTTTGGATGTTAACTTGCCCATGAAAATCTAATAGTGAATCCTATTCCCCTTTTTTGCACAATGTTTTCATAGCCAATGTTCTTTGAGTGCTTTGATCTGACTGTTGTTGTTCGTGGTTAAACTTTAGCAACCCTCTATTATAGGATCCTTGAAGAGCAGCATGGCATCCACTGCAACATGACTCTGCTTTTCTCATTTGCTCAGGCAGTTGCCTGTGCAGAGGCTGGAGTAACGTTAATTTCCCCATTTGTGGGCCGTATTATGGACTGGCATGTGGCCAACTCAGATCAGAAGAGTTTCAAGCCAGCAGAGGATCCAGGTAGTGTGGTGTGTGTGTGAGAACCTTGTTTGTAAAACAGCAACTTGCATTTAAATAGCGGCTTTCAAATGGGGCAGAGTCTCGGAGCGCTTAACACTTGATGTCGAGCCCAGGGGGTGGGAGGAGGTGACTGGAAGCATGGTCGAAGAGGAAGGTCTTCAGTTGTGATCTAAAAGCAGCGAAGTATCGGGCAAGGTGGAGGGATTGGGGGGAGAGAAAGTACCAAAGCTTCGGGGTGCAGTCAGTGAACACCTTTGTTAATCATTCGTCACACATTGTTCTGATGTAATGTTCAGATATCGCATTTTAAATTGCTACATTGAAGTGGTTTGGGGTTTAGTTCTTCATTCAGTTTAGTTGCCTGATTTGATCACTGTTGCTTTTGCAAATCAAACACTAGGTGTAAAGAGTGTGACCAAAATCTACAACTACTACAAGAAGTTTGACTACAAGACCATTGTCATGGGAGCATCATTCCGCAACACCGGCGAAATCAAGCAACTAGCTGGCTGTGACTTCCTCACAATCTCTCCAAAGCTGCTAACAGAGCTCAGCAAAGATGTTGAGGAGCTAACTCCCTTCTTGAGGGAGAAAGATGGTAAGTCTTTCACTGCCTTCATGAGTCCTGTAGCGTAGTGGTTAGTGCGCTCGCCTCGCAATCGAGAGGGTTTGATTCCTGGGCGGAACAAAGCCTTAGGCAAGTTTCCTCACCCCACACACCTAGCAGTGAGTAGGAACATGGCTGTTAGTTGATAGATGGATCACTTACGTGGACTAATAATCCCTTAGATAAATAAATACATTTTAAAAATTGGGTCACTCAATCCAGGACTGTTTGTGGGAGACTGCTGTGCGCTATAAATCAATACTGTAGAGTAGTCTAGAATTGTAGTTGGGATTTTCTTGAGTTGAGCTGCTTTTCAATAAATTGCTCATTGTACAAGAGTAAATTGATTAAACATCAATAACACATGGTGGGTTCAGCAGCTTGCAGTTTTCAATAACTAGCTATATAGGTGTTTCTCTGGCTAGAGAATAATCCTCCTTTTTTTTACACTCGAATTCTCTGGCATTGGCTTTGCACTGAATACTCAGAATGAAATGTTTAAACCTGCTTGTTATTGGCCAACTCGCCATTCATTCTGTTGAATAACTAACTGGGACTTGGCATGTCATGTTGATGACACTGCCCAGCAAAGCTAACAGAATGGAGATGCTTCTGTGTTGTTGTACATCATTTGTTCAGGGCATGTGGTCGTTTTTAAGAGCTAACAATATCTGTAGGTTTTAGTTAAAACTGAATTTGTCAACAATGTAAATTGACCTTAATAACTTGCTCTTGATGGAACAGCCCTTGTCTGAAGTCCTTAACGAAACACTCATACTCCACTGTGTAACTCAAATTCTGTTGCTAACTAATGGCTTATGTCATTTAAAGTCATTTGGTCAGAGCAAAAACGAGGGGGAGGGGAGAGAGAAGGGGCTTAATGTAAAATTTGTATTATAACCTCTGTTTTCTGTCTACCAAGTCTGAATTTGACTTGAATTATGGGAAATATGTCAGGTCATATGGCATCTAACTTGTCTGCTATTATTGTTTTTACAGTTACTAGATATTATTACAGCTTTGATTACATAATTGTGGTCGGTGCTGAAATAACTGAAGGTTTAGCACTTGCTACTGAAATGGGCAAGTTTACTAATTGCTCAGTACTTTTTATTTGTAGTGTTTGAACTGCATAATATTCTCCTTCTTAATTTGCTATTTGTTTTCCTGATAACTGTGCTCTTGTATTAAAAGTCATCTTCCTTGTTGCATCACATCCTGTTTTGACACATTAACGGAAACTTGTGTTGACCACTTTCAGCAATTTGTTTCAAATGTTTTAAGATTTCTAGTGGCTGAAACTTCACCTAATCTTAGCTGCAAGGCCTTTTCAAAAGAACAGTACTTTCAAATTCCACAATTCTGTATCCATTTGAGATTTAAGAAAATGGTCACTCAGGGTGACATCAGGCCTCAAGCTATTATCTGCTTACAGCCAAGGAGCTTGACATCGAGAAAGTAACCATGGACGAGCGGACGTTCCGCTGGGAGCACAATGAGGATCAGATGGCGGTGGAGAAACTTTCTGAGGGGATCCGCAAGTTTGCAGCTGATGCTGTTAAGCTGGAAGAAATGTTGAAGGTACCTATGTTCCATTGAGCCTGTTGAGCAGTTTATTGGGACACGACTTGTCTTTTAATTGCTATTCCCCAATATTTCTCTCCCAATTATTTTGACTTAATAATAATAAGCCTTGCATTTGATGTAGCACCTTATCACGTCTTTGAAATGTCTCAAAGCGCTTGACAGAATATACTGCAAAGCGAATTGACTGTATATTTTGTGGGCTAAATCATTTGGGAGATTTGCAGCAATAAGTCAAAATGATTGGTGGCTTCAATCATCCTAAAAGCCTTCGGACAAAATAATGTAAATGCCCAGTCTGTATACAGAATTGTCTTAATCCCTTTGCTTCCAGTCTAATTTGGAAGGAGAAAGACCTTGATCTTCTAGGAAATTGAGTAATGAAAGTGGAGAAGTGTCTAGTAAATGATTAACAAATTTAATGATAAAAATTGAACAGGAAGGAAAATGGTCAAAAATACCTAACTGGCAAAAGGGAAACTCTTAAGGAGATGAGAAGGGAGCTGGGTTCACCCACAAAATGCACCACTTGACAGCATATTCTGTGATGCGCTTTGAGACACCTCAACAATGTGATAAGGAGAAATATTAAATGCAAGGAATATTATAAATTGGGTAGAAATGCTGGCTGCCAAGGCAGTTGGAAAACTATAAAGCGAATAGAGTAAAGATTTATGTCTTATTGCACATCTTTTTCAATTTGGATTCTTTGGGAGAAAATTTCAATGTCTAGAATTTTGCCCACAAAATATAGTCAATCCACTTTACAGTATAGTTTGTGAATTTTACTAAATCATTGAATTGGTCACTTCAATCCACAACTGTTTGTGGGACACTGCTGTGCGCAATTGGCTGCTGCATTTTGCCCACAAAATTTACAGTCAATTCACTTTACAGTGTATCCTGTGAAGGGCTTGAAGACGTGACAAGGCGCTATATATCAAATGCAAGGATTATTATTATTAAAGCAGGTATCACTTCATACCAGCAGAATGATAGTGGGATCAATCCTTTACCAGGTACAGCTGGGTAATTTTGAGTACTGTAATGTACTTTATTTTTTTTCATACTGTTCTGTGAAAATCATTGCTAGTTTGGATTTTAAAATGTGTTCATTCTAATGCCTATTTAATTCTTTTAGTGAATAAACTTTGATCATTTCTATTTGAAACGGGTGTGCGCAGTTGTCTCTTCACCTCATTGAAGAAAGATTTGGAGCCAATAGAGTGACACCGCTGTGATCTAAGGAAATTCCAGTGCAGCCGTATTGTCTGGCTAGGGGCTTGTCAGTCTGAGAGAGAGAAAAGGCAGATTGCTTGTGTGTTCAGCATCGGCTAATCAAAACCCAGAGGGTAAGCTGACACACAATACAGCCTGTTGCTGTCCATGAGCAGTAGAGCTGTACAACACGACCTAAAATTAACAAACCATAAATTGCAGAGTTCTGTAGCATAATGTTTATGACTGGACCCAGGTTTGATTGACTTGGCAGGACAAAACCTTACGCAAGCTTCCTTACTCCACATGCCTCTGTTTACCAAGCATTAAGTAGGAACCCAATTGTTATTCAATTGGAAGATTGCTTTCCAGGGGTAATGATCCCTTCCAAAAATAAATAAAAATAATAACTTGGTCACTCAATCCACCACTGTTTCTGGGGACACTGCTGTACACAATTGCCTGCTGCATTTCCCCACAAAATATGGAGGCAAATCACAGTATATTTTGTGAAGTGCTTTGAGACATTTCAAAGCTGCGATAAGGTGCTAGATCGAATACAAGGATTATTACTTTGAATATCCATTTTTAAGGTCCAGTTTATTTTTGCTTTGTGTATTCCAGTAAATGTTTTTTTCCTTTTGGGATTTTTCTTTCAGAAATCAGCATTAGAGATCAAGATTTTGGGGGTTTGTGGATTTAAAGTATTAGAAATCCTGAGGGTTTGCGATGCGTGTTGAGTAATATTGAACTCCACGGATTGGTTTCTTTGCTGGAGATTGCATTTGTTTTTTTTAAATGCTAAGTGGAACCGTTACAAAGTTACACTGGCTTCCATTCCCCATCTAATCTTGCTTTTAGATTCATCCGGTTAACAGTCAATGGGTGATTATAATTGTCTGAATCAATCCATTATTGCATTTCTGCTGCAACTGTAATTGACTTCAGTAGCTTGGACACTGTCCAAAACCATTGAGGCCAAAAAAATACATGTTTTGTTTTCAAACCTTTATTAAATGTACCATAATACACAAAGCAGGTTTATTGATAAATATTACAAGATATTTTAAAATTGGAAATATCCAGCTAATAATTTTACAACAAGGGAATATTGTGCTCTACTGAGATGTCCTTTGTGGGTGATTAAACAAACTGTTGACTAACCTCATGTATGAATCAGAAGAAAGTTCTAGAGTATGATTGGAGCTGTACCTCAGGGGCTGAAAATATCTTTGGGGAAGGGGGTGAGGCAGGTGGAACCACCAAACTTCATGGCATTGTGACTGGTCACATTTAAGGCTAAAGTCCAGTTACCTGCCCTATTTTTGCAATACTTTGATAGCTCAGGCATTGCCACCGCAGTCGGCTTGGAAATGAAGCTAAGAACTGATATACCCTAGATATCGACGGATTTAACACTCTTAGAAACTTCTGTTCCTCTTGTGCAGGATTTGTATGTGTGAGAAAGTTTCCACATCTCTATGTTTTGGTTTAATGTTTGTTTTTTATTCTCCTTCCTTCCACCCCATAGGAACGGATTCAGGATATCGAGAACGGAAGCTAAGATCCACATTTGCACTTCATATGGGAATTGAGGATAGTTTGACCAAGGATCAACGAGCAATACTCAATTCACCTACCATGTAAAAGGACCACATCCTGTCACTTCATTCCTTCACACATCATTGAACAGTGATTAGAAAAGCGGGTTTGTGTAATTTGTAAAACTTTCTAATAAACTTGAGAACATCCAGTGTGTTAGCAATTTTTTTTTAATCTTGCCTAATCTGACTAAGTACAATTCTATTGCATTCTTTTTCCCTCTTCTCTGGGTTTCTGGTGAACAGTGTGAGGTGGCAGCTCGTGATCTGGGATTTTAAGCGAATGGCTGACACCAGTATTGTGTAGTTAACGTTGAACGTGATCAGCACCAGAGAAGTCTGAATTGGTGCGGGTAAATGAATGGTAAATTTTGGCGCAGTGGTTGAACTAGAAGAATCTTTTTCAGGGTTTTGAGCTTTTGGTTCACAGGAAAGGCTGAAGAGCTGCTATTGGAAATTCCATTTGGAGATCCATGTACTCATGTGTTACAACAGCTTATTAACAATAATAGTAAGTCATACTATGAGGTCTTACCTGTGCAAAGCCAATGAAAGCAGCTATTTCTGGTTAATGAGGGTTTTCGCAATCCTCATTGAGATCGGGGTTTGCATAAAGTTGAAACCAGTCTCTTCAACTTCCTTCTAAACCAGTGGTCAGTCAGCCCAAAATGTTTATTTTTTGAATTTTTCTTTATTTCTGCCACCATGGGTATAGCTGGGTAGCTCCTGAAAACACGCAGACTTGTCTGGACAGATGCAGGTGTTCGGTAGTCCCCTTTCGGGGTGAATGTTTTGTATTGAGCCTTTCATGGCAGGGGTGCATTTTAAAGTGCTTCAAACAAATGATTGGAAACTAAAGTGAATTTACTGTATGTTTTGTGGGCAAAATGCAGCAGCTGAAGTGCACACAATTTGCTTAAAGCAATAAAAACAGAGAGAGCTGAGACAACTCAGCAGGTCAACGCCAGTTTTAATGAAGGGTCGTGGACCGGAAACGTCGACTCACTTTCCTCTCCATTGATGCAGCCTGACCTGCTGAGTTATCTGGTTTTGTTTCAGATTTCCAGCATTCTGCAGTATTTTGTGCTTTGCTTAAAGCAATGTCCCACAAACCGCCCTGAACTAAAGGACGAATTTTAGCTCTTGAGTATTGTTGGCCAGGACAACAGGAGGAATGCTCTTCTCTTGTCAAATAATGCCATGGGTTATCTAATTTGCCCCTGAACAGATTAACACAGAAAGGACGGCACTCCCAACAAAGAAGTACACCACTGCCCTGGAAGCTCAGTCCAGACTGTGCACACTGTTTGAACCCAGACACCAAAACTTTCTGTCTCAGGTGAGAGTATTACTGAGCCAGGCTGACAATCTACATAACGTGCTATATAACATACTCTGACAGACTGGGCCATGCAGTATGAGTGGTGGTGAGTCAGTTCTCTGAGCTGCTCTGGACCACCATCTGGTGGTTTATTTGTGGCAGTACATTGCCCAAACTCTTGGGGTAGGTGCAGAGCTCAACCCAACACCATGAATGACATGCAGGTAAGCAAAGGATACGTCTTTATTCTAAAGTCTCTCCCTGGACAGCCACTGACCCCCAACCCTCACAATACACTGTCCTGGACTGAGAGTGTTCATTGAGAACGGAGCAGCCGGGGTTGTATTAGTTCTGACGCTCAGTACAAACTTAATCCAAATTTGGCTACAATTTAGGATGTTTCCAACTAATAAGACTGGCCTTAAATTCTGTTCTCTTATTCTTTTGAACCTTGCTGATGTCCTCCTCTTTGACTTTGGCTGTTCTTGTGAATGTACGCCCAAAAGCTTACTTGGCTGCTGTATTTCCCTACACTTCAGAGCAAAGGATACGTCTTTATTCTAAAGTCTCTCCCTGGACAGCCACTGACCCCCAACTCTCATGAATGACCAATTTAGCACCGTTTGATCTTTAATTCCCACTTGAACAGACACACTGGAGCTTGGTTTTAACATCTCACCCGAAAGATGACAGTTCCATCAATGTAGCACTCCCCCAGCACTGCCAAGACTGAACTCGGGCTTGAATCCAAAACCTTGAAATGAAAGAACCAGTAAACTTCAAGCATGTCAGTCTGACTCCACCACCACCTTTTAATTGCAGGGGGATAAAATAATTGGCGTGTGGAGTTCCTAAGTGCGCGTGTGAGAAATGGTTAAAGACTTGAAGGGATGCAGCCCTCAAATGGTTAAGGACTGCAGCAGAATTACACTTATTTACACTAGAAGTGAGCTCTGACGAACTTCATCCTGGCAGCATCCCAAGCGATAAATACAAGATTTTTGGTCGCCTTCTCTTCAAACCAATTCCAGACAATCTGTTAACCAGCTCGCATCACACTGTGCAATGTGTCAGCTCTTCAGCACCAGCTCCCTTGTGGGTCTTAACTGGATACCACATTTTGCTTTCCTCAGAGTTCTCTTCCTATCTCGTGTATTGAACTAGAATCTCTTGTGTGCCTCTCAGCTCAAGAAGTTCCTCCTTTGTTGTCAGGGTATAGTAGACCTGTGTGGAACTATGTGTTTCTGTGTGTTCACACTGGTTCTGACTGCTGTCCTCCTTCACAGCTTCTATCCTGCCAGATTCTCCTGTTTGGGTGTGAGCACTGACATAGTGATCCGTGACCTGTTGCAGGTAATATTTGATGTGTTGGCTGAATGTGGCAGAAGGGGCTGCCACTTCCGTGGGGATTGGAGGGGAGATTGTTTTGTGGAATGGTTTAAGTGGCTACGCTGTAATGCTTTTGTGAGATGCATGTGCTGGCGTGATTTCTGTTCTGTACAGTAATTCTTGTGTTTGCAGTGTCAATTAGTGGATTGCTTTTCCAGCGGTAATCCCTTCAAAAAATAAATAAAATAATAATTTGGTCATTCAATCCACGACTGTTTGTGTTAATTCACTTTACTGTATATTCTGTGAAGTGCTTTGAGACGTCACAAAGACATCACAAAAACGCTATATCAAATGTAAGGATTATTATTATGGCTCTTTTAACGTCACAACATCTCAACACTCTTCACTGGGAATTATTGTTGATGATAATCTTGCATTTCATATAGCGCATTATCATGTCGTTGAGATGTCTTAAAAGTTTTTCAAAAAATATACAGGTAAGTGAATTGATTATTTTGTGGGTGAAATTCTGCATTCAACAACAATTTGCACTTATATAGTGTTCTCCATGTAGGGTAGTGTCTCAGAGCGCTTAAGATCTTCAGACCTAGATTAATGTCACCAATATCTTCTTTACAGGAACCCCAATCTCACTCCATCTCCATTAATAAACCAGTCACCCGTCGCACAAGGGAGGCAGCAGGCCAGCCGGTGGGAGTGATCAGCCCGGTGACTTGTAAATCCCACCACCCGTCCAGGGACGTGTGGAACACCACTGTGGGTAATGCGTCTGGAGATTATAGTTTAGAGATCCAGTTCAGTAGAGAGCTCGGCTCTAGAGGGAGGGCAGCCAGTGCTCACACCCCATTCAATGCTACAATTCAGGACTCTTTATACATCAAGATCATTGCACACAGCAATGCCACACAACTCTCACTCTACGTGGACTCCTGCATGATATCAACAGAGGAAGATTCCTCAGTATCCATCACACTTCTTCACCAAGGGTAAGCAGGTGATACTTTATAAAATATATTTCCCAAATTAGGTGCACAGGATGTGTCCCTCCAGGGAGAGTGCGATTCCATTCCAACAATCTCTCTGGAATTTCCATATGTACATGGGTTGCGTGGAATTCTCAGTTTGGTTTGGGTACGGTTAAGCACGGTGACTGCTTTTGTCAGACGCCTGGGTGACCCAAAAAAGCCAACCTAATACCAGTCCTGACTGAATTATCTGGGGATTGGCGGCTAAGGACACCAGGAGAAACTCTTTTTTGAATAATGCCATGAGACATTCAGCTGAAGAAGCTGGCAGAATCTTGCTTTATTTTTGGGATGAGACTTTAAGCCAACAATCCCCCAGTCTTACCTTCAAAGTACTGTGCCATGGGATCTTTAGCGTCCACCTGAATAGGCAGACGGGTCCTTCGTTTAATATCTCATCCAAAGGATAGCACTTCCGACAATGCAACCACCCCCGCTCAGGACTGAATTAGTGTCATCTTAGACATTGTGATTCCAAGTCCCAACGTGGGGTTTAAACCCACAACCTTCTCACTCAGAGGCAGAAGTGCTATCACTGAGCCAGGTTGACACAGGTCAATGGGTTTGAGATCAGATTAACGTGTAATGTGTTGATAACAATTGATTCTGATATATATGTATATGTGTGTTTGTGTTTTTTACAGCTGTTTAAATAACAGAAGAGTGGCAGAGCACCCTAGTGGAAATGGGAAGGAGAAGGTTTACTCAATAAAACTGTCCTCATTACCAAAGGGCACCTCACAGGTATGTTTCCTTATACTGAGGCTCAGCTGTGCAATAATCCCAGCACAGAGTTTAAATTCACTGGTATTTGAAGCCAGGGAGTAAACCACTGCTTGGTGTATGACTCGCTCCAAAACCCAGCTAGACAGCTGGCATCTAAACTTTGTGCTGTCAGGTAGAAGTAATAATAATACCTGCATTTGATACAGAGCCTTATTACGTCGTCAAGACATCTCAAAACACTTCACAGGATTTTACTGTGAAGTGCAATGACTATATTGCATTTTGGTGGCAAACATGGCAGCCAATTTATACACAGCAATGTCCCACTAATAGCTATGAACTGAGTAATCAATTTTATCTGGGGGATTGTTGGAGTGTCATCTTAAACTTCCACCCAGGTCTAGATTTACTCTATTAAGTGAGCATTTCAGTTTCCAGAATTTGGCGAGTTGTAGAATTCAGCCTAAGTTTCTCAAAAGAAAGTTGCAGAAAAACGGCAGCAAAATGAAGGTTGTGTTTATGAATTTGTTGAATTCTGGATGCTGTGAAATGCCGCGTTAATAGAGTGAATCTAGACCTGGGTGGGATTTTCCCCTCTTCAGTATACAGATGGGTGCGTAATGTGGGCAAGAGGCTGGATATGATGGAAAATGTTTTCTGTCAGAATAAATGGTTGTATTAAACTACAAAGCACTCAATAATCCCATGAACTAAGTTCTCCTGTTTTATAGGCAGGGAGGCATCCGATCACTTTTCTTCTTGCCCCCTCACACACACACACGATTGATATTTTGTCTAAGTAATTGGAGTTGAGGTACAGATCAGCCATCATGTCATAACAGGCTTGAGGGACTGAATGGCCTACTCCTGTTCCGATTTTCCTTTGTACCTATGTACGGGTTCCTTGCCTATAACCAGCCCTTTTCTCTGCTCTCTTCCGCCAGATATTTGTTACGTGTGATGTCCAATTGTGTCCTGATGTGTGCAGCTCTGGCCCATGCCTCCTGGGATGTGCGTTGGTCAGTGGGACCGAAGCAGAGCAGCACAGCACACAGCGAGTCAGGGCAGGACCCATCCACATCAGGAGCAAAGAGGACCAGTTTGGTGAGGGTGGAGTACGACGGGTCTGTAAGCTTATTATAACACTACAGTGATATTTTTTCCCTGGAGGGACACATCCTGCTTACTTCATTCTGGAAAGTATTAGGCCCAGATTGGCAAGAGTCGAGGCTTGGGAACCCCAAAGTGTGTGTTGGGGTACTGCTGGAATCTACCAGCTAAAAACGCACAGCTTGCCATTGAAATAACATTCCTTGCACCTGTACTGCCAAAATTATTATTATTATAACATCTCAAAAGAAATTTCTGTTAAGGCTTAATGACTAGTGTGTTTTTGGAGGTGAATGTGGCAGCCAATTTTGCACACAGCAATGTCCCACAACTGCCACGAAGTAAATAGTCAATTTATCTGGTGGATTGTTGGTCAGAACATCGGAAGAAACTCCCTTCAGATTTAACCTAAACACTAGGTAATAAATCCCAGGTGTTTAGCACACAGCCATAACCAGTCTTCTTTTACTCCTGCCTATGAAATAGGTTGACACAAACTCAGGCTTACAGCTGATTGTCTGGCAGTGCAAGGTGCTGGTAACAGCTTGAAGCAGTATGTTCACTCTGAAAGTGTCTAACCTTTTGCTTCTGTATGCTGGAATTTTCCATTTTGTTAATAAACAGGCGCTGGGAGTCCAACAGCCAAAGCTGCCAAGTCAATGCGCTAACGTATCAATTTAAACAGAGCATTAGACCTTTAAGTATTAGATCATTCATTCTTGCAGACTTTGGAGACGGGAAATATTTATAATAATAATAATCCTTGCGATTGATATAGCGCCTGTGCTACGCCCCTAACCTCTGGAACTCCTCAATCACTCTGTCTCACCTCCTCTTTGTCTCTTTAAATCCCACTTTAAGACTTACCTCTTCAACAGCACTTATGGTCACCTCCCCCACCCCTTTCTCTCGCTCTGTGACCACCCATGTCTTTGTGCTCCGTGATGCTATCCATCCTCAAGGGTGCTATAGAAACATGAGTAGGTTATTCAGCCCCTCAAGCCTGTTCTGCCATTTTATAAGATCATGGCTGATCTTTACCTCAAGTCCAGTTACCTGCCATATCCCCATATCCCTTAATACCCTGACCTAACAATATAAATGCAAGCTGTTGTCATTTGAGACATTTCAAAGGGTCTTCACAGGATTTAATGAGAAGTGCAGTGACTGCATTTGACATTCATAGTTCATAAGGTAAGTTTTGGTGTGATAATGAGGCTTTGTAGTGATGTAGAAATGGAAGATGTTGAATGACTTAGGGTCTCACAGTTTATCCTGTGAAGCGCTCCCAATGTGAGAGTATCAAATATTAGGATTGCTGTTAACTCCACAAATGGGGCTCTAATCTCCGCCAAAGTGCCCCTCACTCAGCCGGGAGTTCAAACATTTTGGTCTTTCTCTCCACCCCCAGACCGTAACTATGCAGCCATGACGGTGGGGCTGGTGCTGGGAGGTGCGGTACTCTACGTGGTACTGGTTTTGGTAAAGAAATCGTTTGCGGGGTTGTCGCACAGAAGCATCATTCGATCCCGAGCCCGACTCACAGTGTGAGGAGGTGAGAAGCAAAGTGGACGCAACGGGGAGCATGAATTGTCTGGCCACGCACCACTGCATCAATGGGATTCGGGGGCGAGTAAAGAGGCGTTTTTGTGTTTCCTTTGGATCAGGACATAAGTGGGGAGTGTTTTGTATTTCTTGGGTTCGGGATGTAATTGGGAGGTATTTTTTGGGGGTGAGCTCGGGACGTAAGAGGAGGTGATTTGTGTTTTTTGGGTTCGGGATGTAAGGGGGGGTGGTTTTAGGCTCTGGATGTAAGGGGCTGTTTTGTGTTTTTTGAGCTTGGGACATAAGGGGGAGGTGTTTTGTGTTTTTGGGGTTCAGGACGTAAGGGGGAAGAGGAGGTCAAGTCTGGTGAACCATGTGCTGGTTGAGCCTGGGGATCAAATTAAGGTTTTGCATATGCTCAGTTGGGTGCATTTGACTGGAAGCCCGTTGGGACCCACTCATGCTTTTTCGGCGTGAGGTAAAATAAACACGTTATAACTTTTACTCAGTGTGTGGATTAATTCCTTATAACCCCCTTTTGCTTTTATATAGCGCCCCTCATGTAGGAGTGTCTTGTAGCACTGCAGTGGTGGGGTTAGATGCTGAGAAAGGGGATGGGTGGAGATGACTGGATTAATAATAATAATACATGCATTTAATACACAATACAAACTGTAGCACCTTACCACACTGTTGAGACTTATCAAAACGCTTCACAGAATGTATGGATTGACTGTATATTTTGTCGGCAAAACTCAGTAGCCAATTGTGCACAGCAATATCCCATAAACAGTTGTGGATTGAGTGACCAATTTATTATTTTTTTGATGGGACTAGCCCAGAAAGCAATCTGCGAATCGACTAGTAACCGGGTTCCTACTTACTGCCAGATAAACAGGAGTGTGGAGTAAGGAAAAACTTGCCTAATGTTTCACCCTGCCCAGGAATCAAACCCAGGTCCTCTCCCTTGCGAGGCGCATATGCTACAGAATTCCTACCATTGGTGTTAAGATGGGATTTATAGGTAAAGAAGGGGCAAAGCAATGTCAATAGGGTCAGCGAGAACCCTTCCCTTACTTGGGAGAAACGTTATAAATTGGTCGTGAATTCTAGCACCGAGCGTGCCTCGTATATCAGAGCACTGGAATTCACCTCCTCCCACTCACCCCGCTCTCTGTTCCAGGTCTCGAAAGCTGGTTTATTTCATGATCATTGTACACTGCTCGCAGATTGGAATTTTTTTATTTAAAAAAAGTTGCTTCTTGTAATCAAACAAGCTTGATTTGGGGGAAAAACACAAATGCAAAAAGTTTTTTTTTAAACACACGCACATAAAATTGGCTCAAACGGTTATAATAATCCTTGCAGAGCTCCTTTCAGGAAGACATCAAAAACCCTTCACAGGCTTGACTCTAAACGCATAGTGATTGTGTGTTTGATAAGCCATTATAGCAGACATTTTACATATAGCAATGTCCCACAAATAGACATTAAGTGAACAACCATTCTTATCTGAGGCCAGGTCACCTTGTTTTAACGTCTCATCTGAAGGACGGCATCCCAACAGCACGGCACACCTTTGTCACTGCAGTGGAATGTCTGGCTAAACCGAGTTTAAAGCCCCAAAAACCCATCGTCCAACTAGACAATTCCACATATCCGTGCACTGGACATGTGGAATACATTCATGCAACTTTCCCTGAATTTAGAGAGCACTCTTTCCTAATTCTGGAGAGTATTAGGTGTAGGTTGTGGACCAGAGTGTTTAACTGGAGTTTTACCAGCTAAAACCACAGTTTAGTATTGAGAGCTTTGTTGGACAAGACTTGATGGACCAAACGGCTTCCTTCTGCTCTTCACATTTCTATTATTCATTAGTGCTTTGAATTGTTAAAACACCCCCATCCCGCACCCCCTTACGTCCTGAGCCGAAAAAACACAAAACACCCCCCACTTACGTCCCGAGCTCAAAAAAACAAATCCCCCCTTGCATCCCGAGCCCAAAAAACACAAAACACCCCCTCCTTACGTCCTAAGTTCAAAAAAAAACACAACCCCAACGCCCCCCCCTCCGCCCCCCTTAGGTCCTGAGCCCAAAAAGCACAACACCCCTCCTTATTTCCCGAGCCCAAAAAACCTGATCGGTTCTTCATTCTCTCACAATCATAGCAAGTGGCTTAAAGGGAAATGTTCCAGTACCTTGTTCAGGATTTCACCCCTCAACGCCCGGGAGGAATGGTTAAAGAAATACATGTGCAAATAAGAGATTGATTTGCTTTGTTTTGGTTTCATGCAAACAGCCCTAGTATTACAAACTACAATGCTTTTATTCCTGTTGCTGCAACCCTGAATACTAATAATCATTGCATTTGATATAGCACGTTTCATTCAGGTTGGAAATCTCAAAGTGCGTCTCACAATTTACTGTAAAGTGCTACATTGTGACTGTATTTTGTTGGCAAATTAACCTCTCAACTTGGAGCCTGGCATGTGAATGCCAGTCTCGGATGGTATTGGCCTTCCAGTCTCACTGCGACAGAGGAGAATAAGAAGAGGAATAGAATCAGAGAGCAATTTGCAATCTTAAGTACTTTATTCAGTTTCAAAGCAGATAAGAAATCCTTGAGGGAGGGGGAAGAATGGCCAGAGAGGTTCCCATAACAGATAGGTCTAATATCCACTACTTTAAGCCCCAACACTTCACCAGCAATTTGTCAATCGTGTTCTTATGTTGTGGTCACATCCCTCTTCAACAGGACTAGAGTATCATCCAAGGAGACTGACTCCCATATTAAGCAGTGTTTCTGGCTAAAATACAGATGAAAAGAAAAACTTGCATTGTTTTACAGCACCTTATCAGGGTTGCAACATTTCAAAGAGCTTCACAGTAATTACTGTCAAGTTTAGTGCCTGTTTTTGTCGGCAGATATTTCTGCTGGCGAGGTCTCATTGACCCCTCAAGAGGAATGATCAATACATCTGGGGGATTGCAGGCCTCAAGTAAACTCTCTCCATCAATCACAGGGAGAATGTCATAATTAACAGGGATACAGTCTTAAACAATAGTGCATTAAGAGTGGAAAAAGCCAGGAATGTATAAACCAAAACCATTAACAGGGCTTTCCATCTAGTCACAGTTGACGTGGGTGCAGTTTTACTGGGTAAGAATGACATCAGTGATCCTGACCAAAATGATTGTTGTTCTTGGCTTGTAAAAACGTTCAGAGTTTGGTCCAGCAAGCTATTTCCACGAAGCCAAGGTGGGGGGGTGTGGGGTGAGCCCATGTTTGATGGATGCTGCTGGTTTCATGGGGGAGGGGGTATCCACCAGCGATATGCCCTATAAAGGGTGGACAACGAAGAGGTTGGGATCTTGCTCTGCCCTTGATTCACTTCATCCAGCCCAGTCACATGTTCTGCAGACTCCGCACACCAGCATGGACTAAAGAGGAATTATTTCCTGAAAGGTCAAAGAACTTGGATGAGATCAAGCGATGTAACTTGTATAAGGGAGGTTTAAAATAACAAGCAGATCAGGGAATCTAGAATACAAAATTTCCAACAGATTTCCTTATTAAGAAATCCCATTCGCATTTGGGGACTTAATAATAATAATCCTTAAGCACTTCACAGAATATGCTGTAAAGTGATTTGACTGTATATTTGTGGGCGAAACGCAGCAGCAAATTGCACACAGCAGTGTCCCACAAACAGTCGTGGATTGAAAATGACCCATTTATTATACTTTTTTTGTTTTGGAGGGATTATTATTAGGCGTGTGGAGTAAAGAAACTTGCCCAAGGTTTTGCCCTGCCTGGAATTGAACCCAGTGTCTCGCTTGCAAGGCGAGTGCTCTAACTGCTGAGCTACAGAACTCCACGACTTGGACTTCTTCCAATACCCAGAATTATGTCACATTGACGCAAAGTCAATTGTATTGACTGACCGGAAGTCTATGTAGACAATCTACATATGGAGCAGAAGGGAGGGTAACATTTATTGGAGAGAACCATCCCGAACTTCTTTTGTTTCTTCATCGCTCTTCAAAGCATGATCCAGACATGCCAAGCTTTGTTTGCATCAATTTATTATCCCCCACATCCACAGGTCAGGACACAGGGGCCCATGAGCTGCACTTTCATTCTTAGAAGCCACTTCACACTATGAACTATCACACAGAATATACAGAGGCACTTAGGCATGTGATGGACTGCATGCAACAGCAAGACAGCCAAAACAAGAGGCATAAGTTCAGGAATGTAGAGAGCAATTTCAGGACAGACAATGAGAAGCATTTCTTTACCCAGAAGATAATTAACAACTAACATTCCTGGGGTTACCAGGAATGATGGACGAGGCCAGACAATGGAACTCATTTTTGAAACGGTTTGGTAATAATAATTAACAATAATAATAATAATCCCTGAATTTATTATAGTGCCTTTCATACTGGTGGGAAGGCTCAAAGTACTTAGCAGGATTTACAGTAAAGTTTAGACTATGTATTTTGGCGGCAAAATTCTGTGATGGAAGGATGAGATCAAAGGGCCTTCTTCTGAACTCCTCATGACCCTGACATCGGCTGAGACATACCCACCTGCAATTTAATGAACCCGGTCACTCCGTTTGGGAAGCGTCCTCAAATTCCATGGCAGGTTTTGCTTTTTGGCTGGAGGTGCCGCTCACCTTACATTGCAGAGAAGAATGAGGTTCTGGACGGCGGTGAGAGTTGACTGGTCGTTCTGTCCCGTTATCAGGTGCCGATCAACCACCACATGGACGGCATCAGGTTCACTCGCTGAAAGGAAATTCAGATGTGACTGTGTGGACGTCATAATGGGAATCATTGAAGAACTATATTCAAAACATCTCAAAGCAATTCATAATAATTCCTCTCAAGTGTAGTGACTTTTGTTTGCAGCCATTTTGCGTGTAAGAAAGTCCCAGTGACTGAAAAGACTACCATAATCCATGGTACACGCTAAGTGTCAAAACAGCCCAACCACCACAATCATCAATTTTTCACAAAGATCCTTTACAAAGATGTCCTCCTGATGTGAATGATGCTTTTATAAAATTCAAGGATTATTATTATCATCATTATAATCTTGAAGCAGAACTAGGCAGTGAGTTAATGAAATAATAATCCTTGTATTTGATACCGAGCCTTTCACGTCGGTAGGACATCTGAAAGCGCTTGACAGGATTTAGTGACTGTGTACTCTGCAGGTAAGACTTACCACTAAAGGTGGCTCCGGAGTCCTTCACAAAGTCTTCCACAATAATTGGGAGGCTGGCAAAGTCTTTCCTCCTCACCAACTCAAACACAGACATCTGTAAAGAGAATTGGACAATTGAACCGAGGATGGAAACAAACTGGGGATTTCCTCTGGATCGCACTGTTTCTGCCATGGCCTATACAGGACTGGCATCCACATGGCACATCTGTTACCCAGCTCAGCAATTTCTTGCGTCAACGACAGGAACATCATTACATCTAATTCATTTCTCTAAAGTGCAATACCACCAACACATTGCATTTATTTAACAGCAACAGTGACTGCTGTGCTTTAGCTGCTCTAAGAACTAAAAAAAATGTGGGCACTCAATCCACGACAGTTCGGCTGCCGCATTTTGCCAACAAAATACAGTCAATCCACTTTACAATATATATTCTGTGCAGCGCTTTGAAACAACTTATTGACGTGATAAGGAAAGGATTATTACTGTATTTCCACTGACAGATAAAACTGAGAGGTAATTCTAGTCTTACGTGTGGTATGAGCCGAGCTTTCACATGGAGACCGTAATCAAACTTGTTTAACAGGCTCATCTAAACAAGAGCTGGAGCCATCCAAACAGCGCTAGGCAGGTCTCCCAAGCAAGAGCCAAGTCCCAGGGCTCATTAAAGCAATCTGAGGTCAAACACTAATATGTATTCTGTGCTCTTACCCCAGTGACACTGTATCCCTGGAAAGACCACGACTTGTCCTCGTTTGTAGCGCAGCACAAAGCAGCGACTCCATGTCCCACGGCACAAATCAGCTCTGCAATTGCGCCAAATAAACATTCAGAAACTGCAGGTAAACCCACCTCCCTCTTTTGAGCAAACATCTTTGTGAGTTCGGATACTTAAAAACTTACAAAGATACAGAATTGAAGGCAGCCACTCGCCCACTATGTCTGCGTTTGCTCTTTTAAGAGCAATCCTTTCAGTCTCTTTCCTCATACACCTATAGTTGACTTCTTTTCAGATATTTATCCAGTTCTCTTTGAAAGCTAATATGGTTTCTGCCTCAAACACAACTCCCAGCAAGGCATTCCATATCCTAACTAACTACTCTGTGTGTAAAAAAAAATGTCTCCTAACCTCCCCATTTGCTTGTTTGCTAGGTATTTTGTATTTATGCCCTCTAATGAAAAATAAATTGATGAAATGTTGCTGTACTGTGTAGACCTTCTGAACCCATCAGTGCCAGGAGTCAGGAGTGCACCTCACTACTGGGACCACGGTACAATAATGAACTGAGCCTGTATTAAGGTTTCTATTGAAAACACATGAGCTGCAAAGTAAAACTAAAGACCACGGTATGATTTAACAATACAGATGGCAGTGGTAAAGACTCACAGGGCCAAATGGCCTCCTTCTCTGCTGAAAATCTGTTTAATTATAAACTACACTATCAACACGTAGCGGATTAGACATGGCCCCAATAAAGGTAAAGCTTCCCCCAAAGAACCACGATTGAGTTCGTCATTCCTCATAGCTCACTTTTCTAAGTCTGTAAGGACAAAGAAACCAACATGTATTGAAAATATCAGTACATTTATTCGAGTGATATCTGTCTCCAAAGACATTATCACAAACACTATAGATTGTTACACATATCTATTGTAAACTGTAGTCCGGGTTATATCATAGAATAGAATCATAGACTCGTATAAGCACAGAAGAAGGCCATTCGAGCCATCATGCCTGTGCCGGATGTCTGAAATGCGGAGTATCCAATTAGTCCCACTCTTAACCCATTGCCTTGTCATTTTTTTCCTTTTCAAGTACATATCCAATTCCTTTTTGAAAGTTATTATTGAATATACTTCCAACACCTTTTCAGGCAGTGCATATATATAGAGGTTACACAGAATACAACGCTCACTTTTCTCAGTGTAGAAGTGCTGAAGAATCTTGGCCAGGTATCCGCTGGTTGCTAGATCCACCAAAGCGCCAGGACAGTTAGGGATGAGGATTGCATTGTATCGTGCTCCTGGGAATGGAAAACAGCAATTAATAGGAAGCTCCATGACAGAGGATTAGCACTGTTTCTGTTCCAAACTTTAGCTTATGATTCTTTTTCCTGAGTGCCTCTCAAACTTCTTAAAACTTGCAATTTGTCAGCCAGGAAACTATGAAGCGCTCCCTTTCTTTTCAAAGGCAAGTTTCCTTACTCCACATGCCTGGTTATCCAGCAGTAAGTAGGAAGCCAGGTGTTAATCGATTGGCGGATCATTTTCCGGTGGTAATTATCCCTCCAAAAAAAAATGCGGTACTCAATCTACGACTGTTTGTGGGACACTGCTGTGTGCAATTAGCTGGTGCATTTTGCCCACAAATACATTTAATTCACTTTATAGTATATTCCCCAAAGCCCTTTCACGCATCTCAACGACTTGATAAGGCGCTATGTCAAATGCATGGATTATTATTAATAGGATCATGCACCTTAGTTTACCTTCTTGTCTGAAGGATGCCACCTCTTCCCACAATGTCCGACAATGCAGCGTTCCCCAGCACTGCGTCAATGTAAACTACATGATCTCAAAGAGTCAGAAGCCAGACTGCTACCAACAGAGCCAGTCAATTGTTTGAATGTTCATTTTTCCGCATACCAAAGCAGTTAACCTGGGACCTCACAGTGGACAAGAATCTTACCATCGATGGACTCCAGTTTGGCTGGGTTTGAACATGGTTTCATGCGAAAGTCCTGAATCCAGCGCAAGTTATTCTCATCCAGATCCACAAAGTCCATGGGTTTCCCCTGTTACACACACAGATCATTGTAGGAAAACATAATTCTATAATGTTGAATTTTTAACAAAATATTTGAGGGTAAATATAGGAGGTAACATGAACAGCCATTAGGTGAATGTCTGATTCATCTGGTCAGAACACTGGTAGAAACTGCTGTCTCGTATCCAATACTGTCGCTGGATCCTTTAACATCCACTTGGACAGGACTGGGTCTTGGTAAATGTCTCATCCAAAGGATGATAGCTCTAAAAATGCAGCGCTCCGCCCAACTCAGCACTGGGATATCGGCCTGGACTGTCAGCTCTAACATGGAAACTCAATCTGTAACCTTTTGATCCATCGACGAGAGTGCTATCAATTGATCAAACTTAGAGAAATGAGATTCCACCCAATGGCTGATAATTTGCAGTCGGCCGCCCCCTCCCTCACACAACAGGAGAAGGACACAAGTTCATCCCCTCTTAGCTTAGAATCAGCTGTGCTGCTTTCTGTTCTTTCTCAAACATAGACACATGGCCTTTGTGACCAAACACAGTGTTCACAGTGGGTCTGACCAGCGAACTTAAATAACACCAACCTGCACTTATACAGTGCTTTTCATATAGGGTGAATATCTCTCAAGAGCACTTCTCTGACGATGGAGAACACTAAGTTGGTAGGAAAGGAAGGAGAATTTAAAAACGTGGACTAAAAACATGGTGAAAGAAATATGTTTTTAAGAGGGTTTTGAAATCAGGGAGAAAAGGAGTGAGGCAATGGGAATTGGGGAGGAGGTTCCAGAGAGAAAGTGGCTCAGTGACTGACAGCTGGTGGGGCAAAGGGAGTAACTTTCATTCTAACGCTCTGAATACCATCCTGGCATAAAGAAAGAATCAAGAGCACTCACCCCTGGAGTGGCAATCTGCAAGTTAAAGGCTGTGCTACATATTGTATAGGAGTGATAAAGTGATTGGGCTGACACACCTGAGGGGAAAAACAGAAAAGAAAACACAAGTGTAATAGTTCAGTACATTCTCTTATAACCTAGCCTTCATAATCCCTGCGTAACCGAGACCAAATATGATGAGGTGAATTTGCATTCAAGATGGGCTGAATGGCCTCTTTCTGGGCTACGGGTGCCAACTCTAGTTGGACGTGGAAGTCAGAGGGTGGGAAGTCCTCCTGACGTGAAAGGCGCTGTACAAATGTCATTTGTCGTTGAATGGTTGGTATCATAAAGTAAGATATCCCTTCCAAGTCCTGCCGGTGAGCCAGGCTATGCTGTGCCCGCCATCAGCAGTGCCCGGGAGTACTGCCAGGCTTGGGAAGCGGACTGTAGGCCCCCACGGAGGGCTGGTCTGGTTACGACATTCCGTTGCCAAGCGCGTCACCTTGGATCCAGCTCAGCTCCACGAAAACCTCGCCTACATCCCCCCCCCCCCCCCCGCCTCCCACCGCCCCCGAGGGTTGGACGAATTGGAAATTGACCACTCCTTGCTACTCCATAGAGGCGGCGAGGCATAATCTTGGGGCTACGTTTGGGTTAGTGTTTGATTGACTTTGATCGAATAATAATAATAATGACAACAACAAATAATAAGCCTCGGATTTGACGTCGCGTCTTATCACGTCGTCGAGGCGTCTCAAAAGCGCTTCGCAGGATAATACAGTGAAGCGGATTCGACTGTGTTTAACTTACCTTGTGCCGCGGAGCTCAGCACGATCAGGCAGGTGGGCTTGGCAGCCATGGGGGTGGGGGGGAGGTCTGCTCAGCGCTCGGTGGTGGTGGGGGGAGGGGGAGGGAGAGTGTTGGATCTCTGAGGCTGGACTCAAGGCCCAGTCGCTAATTGATAATATTGTATTAATATATTAAAAGGATTTATCGATAATAAACCACTCATCAATAATAATAATAACAACAATAATAAGCCCCGCCCCAGCCTGTCACACACTGCCCCCCCCCCCCGCAGCCTCTCTGATAACGATTTATTATCTTTATTTATCCTCATAAACCTTATTTACTATCTTTCCTCCAATCTCTGCCCCTCCAACACCCCCCACACCCCCCCCCCACACCCCCCCCACCCCCACCCTCACACACACACCCCCCCCACACCCCCCACACACACACCCCCCACCCCCCACACACACACCCCCCACACACTCCCTCACCCCCCCCCACCACCCCCCACCCCCACCCCCACACCCCCCACACACCCACACCCCCACACACACACACCCCCCACCCCCCCACACACCCCCCCCACACACACACCCCCCCACCCCCCCCCCCCACACACACACACAGACCCCCCACCACACACACCCACACAGTCACTCCCCCACCCCACACACACACACACACAGACCCCCACCCCCACCCCCACACACCTCTCTCCCTGTCTGTCTGTCTGTGTGTGTGTGTCCCTCTATCCGGTCCCCCCCGGTGTCCCCCTCAATCCCGTCCCCCCGGAGCCACCCGACCCACTTCCTCGCGTTCCTCTTTCTTTTCGTCCCCCCACTCCTCCCCTTCAATGTCTGTGTCTCTTATCTGTGTGTATGTGTTTGTGAGTGTGTCCCTCTCTCTGTGTCTGTGAGTGTGTCTCAGTATCTATTAGTGTGTCTCTGTCTGTGAGTGTGTGTGTGTCTGAGTGTGTGTGTGTGTCTCTGTCTGTGAGTGTGTGTGTGTCTGAGTGTGTGTGTGTGTCTCTGTCTGTGAGTGTGTGTGTGTCTGAGTGTGTGTGTGTGTCTCTGTCTGTGAGTGTGTGTGTGTGTCTCTGTCTGTGAGTGTGTGTGTGTCTCTGTGAGTGTGTGTGTGTCTCTGTGAGTGTGTGTGTGTGTCTGTGAGTGTGTGTGTGTCTCTGTGAGTGTGTGTGTGTCTCTGTGAGTGTGTGTGTGTCTCTGTGAGTGTGTGTGTGTCTCTGTCTGTGTCTGTGAGTGTGTGTCTCTCTGTGTCTGTGAATGTGTGTGTGTCTCTGTCTGTGTCTTTGGGTGTGTGTGTATCTGTCTGTGAGTGTGTGTGTGTCTCTGTCTGTGAGTGTGTGTGTGTCTCTGTCTGTGAGTGTGTGTCTGTCTCTCTGTGAGTGTATGTGTGTGTCTGTCTGTGTCTGTGAGTGTGTGTCTATGAGTGTGTGTGTGTCTCTCTGTGTCTGTGAGTGTGTGTGTGTGTCTCTCTGTGTCTGTGAGTGTGTGTGTGTCTCTGTCTGTGAGTGTGTGTGTGTCTCTGTCTGTGTCTGTGAGTGTGTGTCTCTCTGTGTCTGTGAGTGTGTGTGTGTGTGTCTCTGTCTGTGAGTGTGTGTGTGTGTGTGTGTCTGTCTGTGAGTGTGTCTCTGTGTCTGTGAGTGTGTGTGTGTCTCTGTCTGTGAGTGTGTGTCTGTGTCTGTGAGTGTGTGTGTGTGTCTCTGTCTGTGAGTGTGTGTGTGTGTCTCTCTCTGTCTGTGAGTGTGTCTGTGAGTGTGTGTGTCTCTGTCTGTGTCTGTGAGTGTGTCTCTGTCTGTGAGTGTGTGTGTGTGTGTCTCTCTATGTCTGTGAGTCTCCCTGTGTCTGTCTGTGAGTGTGTGAATCTCTCTCACTGGGTCTCTGTCTCTGTGTCTGTGTGGAGCGCTGGTCTCTGAGAGGCTCCTGTAGCTCCCACCAAGTGGGCCACCCATATTTTGTTGAAGAAGAAATTAATAGAATTGTTTTGCGACAATCCAAACTGTGTTATTTCCCCATGTTTCGTTTTGATCAATAAAGTGAAAAAATGTAGGTTGGCAGTAAAATGTACCTCAATCGCATCAATCAACCCTCCACCACCCCCCGCAAGTTTCCACAAAACAGGGCAAATATTTCCACACTTTCCTATTGACCCAGCTCATAGCTCGTTCCACAAACACTCGGCATCCTCCCGACGTGAAAGGCGCTCTATAAATGGAATCTTGTTGTTGTTGTTGTTGTTGTATCATCCAGTTGCTCTCCTCTGCACTGCCTTCAAGGCCTCAATGTCGTAATGGTAAAAAAAAACGCTAGCCACTTTTTTATACGTCTAAAATCCCGAAATGTAAAAAAAAATTGTCGCTTCAAAAAAGTGGAACCTATAAATTTTCTTGTCACATTTCTATCCTTGGGCTTCAAACACTTTGCGGGATGTCAGAAATGGAAATAACAAACTGATCTGCTGGCTACAGACTGGGCTGTCCAGCATCGGATGTGAATGGAGCACTATTTAATAATAATAATAATAATAATAGGCATCTCAAAGCGCTTCGCAGAATACTGTGAAGTGAATTGACTGTACATTTTGTGTTCTCATTGTGGATTGTGAGTAAAGAAAGAGATGTTTATAGCACATTATCACATAGAAACTTCCCTAAATGTAGTGACTGTTGCTGAAAACAGACTCAACAGTTGTCCTTCGGAGGAGATGTTAAACCAAGGTTCCATCGGTGCCTTTTCAGCTGGGAATAAGAAATCCCATGGCAATCCCCAGATACAACTATCATTCACTTTGTGGCTATTTGTGAGATATGGCTGGGTGCAAATTGGCTGCCGCGCTCGGCCACTAAATTTTACAGTAAATTCTATGAAGCGTTACCAACGTGAAAGGCAATATATAAAATGCAAAGATTATTATTTTTATTTGCTTCTGCAATAACCCACAAAGAGTCATGATTTGTGTGACCAACTTATATAGGGGATTGTAATAATAATTATAATAATGATGTTTTATTATTCAATTACTTCATTAAACAATGTTCAGCCTCCAGTTTTATTACTGCCTACATTGCAATCCTCTCGAATTGACAACCTGGGTTTGGTGGAACATATTCCCTATTTGCTACAATCTATATTAGAGAATACAGTATATAACATACTTGTTGTGGGGCATCTCTATTTTAATAAGAATAATCGTTGCATTTGTTATAGCAGTTATAAGGTCTAAACATCTCAACACGTTTCACAGAGAATTACTGTAATAGTCTGTGTATTTGTAGGTTAGTATGGCAGTCAATTTGCATATAGCAATGTCCCACAGGTGAAGCGAATGATTCCTTGCTTTCATCAGGGGGACTATTAACCAGGACTGCGAGAGAAATTCCCTTCACTTTTCGAATAGTTCCATGGGATCTTTAACATCTCCCTGAATAGATAGGAACCTTGGTTTAACATCTCATGTTAAAATGTAATGCTTTAAACGGACGCAAATATTCCAGTCAGAGAGGGAATAAATTACATGCCACACTTTATTTACAAAAACGAGAATGATCAAGGATAAAACTGTTGTTATAGGAGAAGAGGGGCACTGCAGGATCGTGGTAAATAAAGGGTTAAGTTAACTGCCAATAAGGTCCAATGTCTACCATGAAATAAGATAGAGTAGTGGATGGTTTCTAAGCCTTGGACATAATGGTGCTGTAGATTGCTTTGGCTGCTGATGAAGCCCCAACCAGCGAGAATCCAAGCCATGGAGCCACACAATTGGGGGGGGGGTCATGCTGCAGCAGGCATCACCCTCTTCCACTGCTTACTTCCAGCGGCCTCCAACTTTGCCCTTGCCGGCTCCCTTCTTGCTGCTGCAATGCGGATCACACACAAAGAAAACCAAGTCAACTGTTTGTGGAGGAAACTGGAACTGGGAGCCACTTCCCAATATGGCAGAGCAACCAATCTGCACTGGGTTGGAACATGTGATACCGTGTTGTGACATGAGAAGCATTGATGCACCATTATTTTCTTCCCTCCCCCAACCCCCAACTCAACAACTTTTCATTGTGCACCAAAGAGGAAGATGGACAAGTCTTAGAGGAAACTGCAGCCTGCCCCGGGGGTTGGTGGATTGAGGTGGATGCAACAGGAGAGGAAATTAATCAGTTGGGCGCTGAATATGAACAGTTGAAATGGTAAACAATCAGGATTGTATCCCCATGTCAAAGGTTCTGCTCCTTTCACTCCCAGTTACCTGAAGAGCAGCTCATTCCTTTCACACTGTCCTTTACGAGATTCATCCAAGTTCCCTTTTCAAAGTTTGCACGTTTGAAATATTAAACCAAGTCAGCATGCACAGCAAACTCAGCCTCTGAGAAAAGGCATGCTTTACTTACCAATCTACAGCTTTGGCAGGCTTTAGTGCAAGATTAATGAATTACTTACGCTGGACAGAGGAGCGATTTAGACCTAAAGGCCCTGTACATTTTCAGAGCGATTGAACAAAGCATTTGAAATGCATGTGCTCCCAGCAAGGATCTTACCTCCCTTTACTTGGTCCTGACCCATCACAGGAACTTTGCACAACTAAGGACTGGGTTTGACTCCATCGGAATTACAAGGGGGAAATTCCAGCTTGATTATATTACTGTGTAGTGCAGCAGTTAATGTGGAACTGCTCCATACATAACAAGGAATAACAAGATCTTTGTTTTTAACCCATACATTTGAATGCGGTCCCCGGTTAAGAAAATATTGTATATTCAATGTATATATATCCATTTACATATACAGTAAATATATTTCATATTTGAACACTGAAATGCACACACATACATATAATCTATATATATACATGTATCTATAATATATATATATAAAATCCTTGCATTTGATATAGCACCTTATCACGTCAATGAGACGTCCCAAAGCGCTTCACAGTATATATTGTAAAATGAATTGCCTGTGTATTTTGTGGGTGAATGTATGTGTATATATATATACATATATATGTAGTGAAGGACTTTAAAATGCAGGGGTTACTGACTGGATTTGAGAAACAAATAATTAGTGACAATGAAGTCTGGCGGAAACGGGATATATATCAGGCCGACCTTTGGGAACACTGCTCCAACACACTCAGAAGGCGACGGTGTGAGAATTGCATTGCCAAAGAGACACATGGAAGATTCAAGTCTCGCGAATTCTTTGCAAATCCAATGTTTTCGGGCTGACACCTCAATGGAATAGATTTCGTACTTGGGAAGTGGAAATTTTGAAGGACACGGTGAGAGGACACAGATTGCAGGAGATGATAATGTGTAGTGCCACGGAATGGCCTGCATCCAATACATCCCTGGCCTTCCCTTCTGTTCCTTTGTTGTGGTTATTCAAAAGACTCTCAATATAGACAGCAGAGACAAATCATATGCTGAGTTGTGATTTAAGTGTAAGTGATAGCACCATGTAGGATGGTAGAGAGATTAAACTTAACAATAATAACACCACACGTTGTAAATGGATTAACACAGGGTAGGGAATGGAATTTAGCATGAAATTTAGTGAGGTTAAAGCCTTTGTGGCGTCTCCACACAACTGGAATTCAGGGTCGCTTTGCACAACTTTAAAAAATGTGAAACATACATCTTTTCCACTTATATTGTGTTTGTCGCATTTTCTCCCTTCATCTTTCCTCCACTTCCTAGTGGAGCTAACTCCGTGCTGGGCTAAGGTTCTACACAGGAAGACGGACTGGACAGTGTGTGTCAATGGTGAGGGTGGGTACAGGTGGGATCATAGCCACACTCCGTCACGTCATCATTGAAATCCATACAAACCTGCTCTATTCCAGTCACGGATCAGTCGACCTCCTCAAAACACAATCAACTATCTACCCTGACACTGAACAGTACAAGTTCACAAGTATGAAGTTCAAGCAGAAACCAATGCCAAAATGAACCTGTTGACACTGGCAAAGGCAGTCAAACAGGATGATCCAATTGTGTGGAGACGGGAAGGTACGAGGTTTGGGTTCTTGTCGATTCTACGTTCTATGAAGGTAGAATGACATTCCAACAGGCACCACTAGGTCGATGCAAAACAAAAATAATACAGTAGTCAATATTGTGTGAGTATTTCCCTGCAGACCTGTCCCATGCCTGTTGGAACAGAATTTTGAGTTAGCTTCATCCAATAAGAGATGTGTTAGACGTCCATGCTTGTAGGGTCGTTTGGACTGATTGTACTGGGAAAGGGTATCAATGTACTTACTGCTTTTGAAGTTGATCAATGCGATTTCTGGCTGTAGTAATCTGAAAATAACATACGTTTGTTAGTTTACACCAATGCCGGTACCTGTGGTTGCTGGAGCCTGGGATCTCCTGGCAGTTGAATATCTGTGTCGATCACAATTCTGCAGAAGAATGACTGCTGAGAGAAACCCCAAGCAGTTCAAGAAATGACTTGTTCGATGAAAAGCGGGTTACTGGTCCCAATTTTATGCACCTAGAGCTCACTTACTAGGCTTTCATGTGGTCCTGGAGTAAAACAGAGGCTGAACAATGATCCTGGATGTACAGAAGAGAGCCGTGGATCTGACTTGAGAACTAAACTGTTGTAGCTAACCTGAAAGTAGGTTGAAGGAAGCAGCAGGTGACCAAAGGACAAAAGAAAGATGCTGGACATTAATGAATGAGGGGGCACTGGAAAGGTAAACGATTTAGTTTACCATCTACCCGTGTCGAGGAGATTAAAAAACAAAGTCTTTAACCAAGATGTTCCATTGTGTTTCTGGTGGCCATCATTCATCATCTTGTTGAACCTCTGTCTATCTGCTGTTATGAGCATCTTCACAGGGCAACCTTACACAATGTTATGTCAAATGCTGTCTTCGCCAATGCAAAGCACAACTCTTCAATAATTTGAAACAATGTGGTAGCTACAAAGATCTTAATCTGAATGGCTGCCTGCTGCCCCCTCAGCCTAGATAAATTCCTTGGAAGCTTACCATGCAACCAGCCCATGCACGTACCAGGCAGGACTCCTGTAACTGCAATCTTTGACCATGACTGTCTTTAGTACTTACAACTTAGATAGCTCTTCCACTCTCTTACGTGCTGTTGTAATCTATAAGAAATTACAGTGATATGTATTTCAGTGGAACATTGAGTTCACAATTAAGTATTGTGCCAGGAGGTCACCATTTAAATATGATATATGATATGAATTACACTGCAGGAAAAAGATCTTCTGCTTTTATTCCATGTCATAGAACTATAGAATTTTACAGGTCAAAAGGAGGCCATTCGGCCCATCGTGCCTGTGCCAGCTCTTTGAAGGAGCTATCCAACTAATCCCAATTCTTCACTCTTACCCCATAGCCCTGCAAATGTATTCTCAGCATAGTCCCAGATGCAATGTTAAATTCCAAAGATGGTGCCAAGTCAATGGGCAAGCAAAGGATTTAAAGATTGATTTGGCTCAAAGACCTGAGAACAAAAGGATGAATGATGACTGAAAACATCCTACACAGTAAAACTCACATCAGTCTGATCTGTATCAATCGTATAATACATCTTCCCAAGTCCCGTTCAAGAGTTTATATACTATGCAAGTTTGACATATACTCATACTTTGCATAAGTCACATTAAATGTATGGCCCCAATAGATACAACTTATATGAGGTTTACTTTAGTTGAACAAACAGGACTAGGAGCTGTGCTTCATTAATTCTAACACTGGAATAGTTTTCCTTTTACCAAACACATTGAACTGGACATTGTAAATGTTGAGGGTACTTTTTGTCTGTAACTAGACGCAGACCACCTTTTCTGACCGCTTTGGTCTCTTTTGAGGTGCTCGGTTTTAGACAACAACAACTTGCATTTATATAGTACCTAATCAGGTGAGGCAGCGTCTTGGAGTGCTGAGATATAGAATTAGCTCTGTGAGGGTTGGGATACATACCTCATACTTTTGTCTCTTCAGCTTTTCAGCAAAGTCAAATTTGTCTGATTCCAACCCACACAACCACTGGAACATTTCATTGGCTCTGTCCCTGCAGGTAACACAGATGGAAAGAGTACAGGTTTAACAATGTCAAAATTGCAGGCACCCCCATCACGATGATATCAGTTTATATCACAGTGTGTAAATGGAAACCCAGTCCTCCATACAAAAACATGTTGAATCCATTGCTTAACATGCACAAATTTGCAATTATCTAACTGCAAATTATAGCAAGCAAGCTATTGTTTGAGGTAGAAGGCAGCACAGAGCAGAGTACAGCTTGTTTTTTACTTTGAGTTGGGCCAGATGGTAAACACTGATCTTTTACAGTCCTGTATATTCCTGAGGAAGAAAATTAATTTATACTAGAGATGAACGATTAGACACCTGACTTACTTAAGCTTCTCCTCGTTGAGATGGTCAATGTTAAGTGGCTTGCGTCTCTCTGCCAGGATTTTCTTCTTCTTTTCCCTTTCTGTCTGCTTCTTGCCTCTCTTCTGGTCAGCCTGATACACCAATCAATTAGACAAGGTTAGCACATTTCTGTACGTGAACAAAGGAGCCAATTTGCACATAGCTCCACAAACTGTTATGAAGTGAATGGGGAGAAACTGGGAGAAACTCCCTCCTGTTTACAAATAATGCAGTACTCCAGATGGGGTCTGACCAAGGCTCTATACAGTTAACAATGTTGGAGCCTGATGCCTGAGGGAGAGAATTCCATCGTTCAAAATTCCCAATGTGGGACTTGAACCAACAACCTTCTGATTCAAAGGCGAGATTGCTGCTAACTGAGCAAGGCTGATGCCCAAGAGCTAATGCTACGTAATAGAGTAATCCAGACACAGGTGGAATTTCTCCCCAAATGACCTTAAGATAGCTAAGGCGACGTGAAATTCTGAGCCTCTGATTGATGAGTAACAAAGTCAGCTGTATCCCCAGGACAATTGAGCTTCTGATCTCAGCTACAACAAGAACTTGCATTTATATAGTGCCCTTCAGTGTCTCGGAGCAGCTGTGATGCAATAGGAGAGGGCAGGCACTTCCTCATGTTGGTGTCACCCATGTTGCCTCTTACCTTGGCAAGGTAGCTGCCATACTGAGCTCCGATGTTGGTTAAGGCCTTCTTCTTCATGGCATCTCCCTCAGCTCTCTTCCTAGCATCACCTTCCTCTCTTCTGGCTTTATCCTCCTGTAGAATAATATTGATGACAATAATAATATTCCTCACATTTGATATAACGCCTTATCACGTCGTTGAACGATTGTCACACAATTTGTAGAAGTTAGGAGACAAAGCTTGGCTCAGAATTAGTAAAGAGACTCTAGTCATGAGACTTCTATAATTCTCTTTAGGGGTCTTCATTTCCCCTTTTATATTACCCACCTGGAGTCTGCAAACACAGAGCGGAAGAGGAGACAGCACTGTATTTAAGAACTCCATAACTTTTACCTTCCCCTCTCATAGATGGCATTTTTTTTTCGCTAAGACCTCAGGAAACAGAGACATCTCTGATAGGCTTTGCCTCAGAGGCAACTCCAATAACTTGAAGTTCCAAACCACTGGCTTCTCCCAGTGTCAGTGAAGCCACTGGGCCAGTTCATCGCTAAGACTTGCAAACCAAACACTCCCAAGTTTCCAAGTCTGACCCAGTCGGCGATGTGGGTGACTTACAGCAATCCTGTTTTGTCGTTCCTTTTCCTCCTCAGCGCGAATCCTCTGCTGCTCTGACCTCTCCGCTCTGCGTTTCTCCTGCAGTTTGAGCAAAACAAAGGAGTGAAGATTGATTCTAAAAGCAGCCAGCACGCATTGACTTTTAAGTGCGGAGTAAGGTGGGGTGGCGGGATGTAACAAGTTGGTGTTTCGCTGTTGGTGTATTTGAAACTTTTTTTAAAATTTACATCAACTTGCACTTGTAAAGCAACCTCCATGCGAGGCCCCGTCTTAGAGCGCTTTACGTAAAGATTAAGCGTGCTAGAGAGGGCGTGCGGAGGAGGTGGTGGGTGGCGGAGAACTTCAATCATTTATAATATAATAATAATCCTTGCATTTGATATAGCGCTTTTCGTCTTCTCGACGTCTCAAAGCGCTTCACAGAATATACTGTAAAGTGAATTGACTGTATGTTTGTGGGCGAAACACGGCAGCCAATTGTGCACAGCAGTGTACCACAAACACTCGTGGATTGAAGGACCAATTTTTTTTTCTTGAGGGATTACTATCTGGTGTGGAGTAAGGAAACTTGCCCAAGGTTTCAACCTGCCAGGAATCGAACCCAGGTCTCTCGCTTGCGAGACAAGTGTTCTAACCACTGAGCTATAGGACTGCATATTTAGGGTGTAATTAACCAGGAAGGTTCCAAACTTTGGAATGTTTCCATATTGACCACCCCCCCACCTCCGACACACACACACGCACACACTCACAATCCTGTCTTTCAGAGCAATCAGTTCTTCCTCCTCCTTCTTCCTCTTCTCAAAGTGAATGTCAATCAAGTACTGCAGCTCATTGAGATCTTTGTTCTGACGTTTTTTCTGGATGTCCTGGAGAAGACAGAGAGGGAGAGGTCATTCATCAGAGACTGCAGTGAGGCTGGTCTGTGGGAAGCTTCCACAGCCTTTGGGAGAGAGAATTCCAGATTTCCAGATAAAGCGATCTGCCAATCGACAAATTAAGTAGGAATGGGTTCCTATTTACTACTAGGTAAACAGAAGTGCATGGAGTAAAGAAACTTGCCTAAGGTTTTGCCCCGCCCGGGAATCGAACCTGGGTCCTCTTGCTTGTGAGGCGAGTGCTCTAACCAGTACTATACAGGATTCCACATTTACTTGTTAAGGAATTCTGTTAAGGAACATGTCAAATTAAGAGCCCTACTTTTTTTATAAAAAACACTTACAGGAAAATATCCATAAAATGAAACACACGGTTAACGATTAGGGAATTGGTTTCACACTTACATCAAAGTCAACCTTTTCTCCTTCTGGGATTTTAGGGGCCGAAATTCTGTAATGGAAGGACACAAGTTAATGGTTGCATGGAACCAAATTCAATGCAAATACAATTACTTTACATTTCAGAACATCCCTGTTATTTCAGTTTTATCCTGTACATCATCTGTTCCATTTAATTTCAGCCTTCAGTGCCCACAACACTCCCGGATCAGCCACGGCACAGGTGAAATAAAGAGTAAAGCTCGCTCTACACTGTCCATCCAGAATTCCCAGACCAGTGACAGCATGAGTTAGAGACACAGTAAACCTCCCTCTACAATGTCCGTCCAACACTCCCAGGTCAGCGACAGCAAGGATTAATGACAGAGTAAAGCTCCCTTTATTCTGCACTGACAATGTGCTTCAGTCAGTAGTTAAAGGTCAAATCACTGCATTGAGAGTCAGAGAGAGTTATCTGTCACTTAGCTCCAACCCTGTTCCACACTGCATGCTTTACAGACGCTCCCATATTCACAACCAACTCACTTTGTTTTGGGCTTTTCCTCCTCTGAAGCACGGTGGAAAAAGTAGAGAGGGGAAAGAAAAGTCAGAGAATGGTTAATAATAACGGTCCAACTGTTTGTGATATCAAAATACTGTTTTTTTTAGTTTTTAACGAAAACCCAAAATTGGTTTCGTTTTTAAAGAAATCTAAAATAAACAGTTAAATCCTGATTTCCAAATCATCACAACGTCAGTAGAATGATTTAACATCAGTGAATGTGCAGGTTAAGAAACAGGCCTGTGTGTTAATCAGTATCAGATGTTACCACAGATGACTGAATACTCAGCATTTGTGCTTTGCAGCGAGATGGTGACTAAACACATCTCAGCCTGTGGTCCCCAACCCCCGTCCGCTCACCCACCCAGTAAACTCCATTCAATGGCTCCGACCCTGTGTTGCCTCCAGCATAAAGTTCCCTCTACACTGTTCATCAAGCATTCCCATGTCAGCTAGAGCATGAGTTAGAGACAGAGTAAAGTGGAATAGAGACTAACACCTTTTTTTTGTCTCCCTTTGTGTCAGGCACACTTGTCTAGAGACCTCTGAAGGAGGATTTTGTACTTGTTGGTGTTAAAGTTCTGGTTCTGCTGTCCCCTACGCTAAGCCTCATGATTTCCCCATACGGCAAAATGCAACACCCCAGGATTAAGGAGAGGCCTGCCAGATGTCTCCCACAAACAGAAGCCAGGGAGCTATATAGCTCTAGTCTAAACCCCCCCACCCCCCCATCCTCAATTCGCAATCCAGCTCACACTTATTTCCTCCACTTAGATCCTGCCCATGGGACAACATCAGCTAGGGACCAGATCACCTGCTGACCCTCACAGATGATAAGGAAAGTTTGGCATGTAAAATATGACTATAAAAAATAGGGACTGTCCTAGCCCCACTTGGAAAGATCTCCCATCTGCAATCTACAGTCTGGAAATTCACTTGCATAAGCTTCCACGAGTTCTGAGATCTATGTTGAGGCCAGTGCATTTACTTCAAAAAGACACAGCTGGGATGGGGTGCAGGGGTGAGGGTTGAGTATCCCGCAAAGATGGGATCAGATGGGCTGAAGGGCCTTCTTCATCTAGACCAATCTTGGGATCATGTGATATTACACCTAGAATTACATGAAATCTATGACATTGAAACAGGCCATTCGGCCCATCTAATCTGTGCTGGTGCTTCTATTCCACACGAGCACTCACCTCTCCTGTTCCCCTCTCCTATACCCCTCTATTCCCTTTTCCTTCATATATGCACCAAATTTTCTCTGAACCAGACTGATGCTTTCTGCTTCAATCACAGCTTCTGGCAGTAAGTATCACGTTCTCACTACCTTCTGAGTCAAGACGTTCCTTAAACTAGCGATCTTTATGTTGATTCTTGAATAGGAAATCTCATTATAAAAAGAGCAACGAGGATGATTGTTAGTGTTAGAGGAATGAGCTACGAGCAACAATTAGTGGAGACGGTAGGGTGGGTATCATGGAAGGATGAGATTAATTTGGCCAAAGGGCATCCTTCAGCCGGACTGATCTTAAATAATAATAATAATCCTTGCATTTGATATAGCTCCTTATCACATCTTCAAGATGTCTCAAAGCACTTCACAGAATATACTGTAAAGTGAATTGACTATATTTTGTGGGCAAATCTTGTGAATTTATGAACACTAAATGGAAAGCTGCTATCATAGAGTTCAGCACACAGCATTCAATCATTAACTAGTCTTGCAGATTGTCCATCAGTTTCTCTGATCTGAGGGGAGGGGAGGGGAAGAGAGAGTGCAAGGAGAATCCTTCTTAACGGACATGCTACACATATACATTTGCTATAAGCCAACTTAGAAAAAAAAACATTTCCAAAGCACAATCACAAAGGTACCGCTGTTAACAAGTCTGTACAACTCCATTGTCAGCTCTAAACTGGGTTAAATTGTCTAAGAGGCATTACTTTGAAAGTATGAAACATTTAGACGTTAATAATTTAGTAATTCTAAGAAAAGGTTTTAATATCACATCAGACACATGTAAATTCAACCATGAATAAAGTGGGGGCAGTGACTTGCTAACGGGTGATTTTCGGTAAACTTGGATTCTGCCCACCTCAAGCCTCGCTGTCTCACTAACATGGCAGTTGCAATATAAACAATTCGAGAAGTGTTTTTGGTTAAAAGGTTGAGCGGAGAAGTTTTCAATGGTCTCTACACTCTCTCCCCTGAGGTCAAAGCTTACCAGACATTGATGGGGACATTTTGTTTGGTGGCATGTTGGGAAACCAAGGTACTGGGTGGTATTTAGATCCCATTGGCAATAATATGTGGACTCTTCTCAATGACATCACACGTGAAAAAATTAAAGACATGAGTTGGGATAGGAACAGAAAATGCCAATATTTTTCAAGGGTAGTGGTCATAGACTTGTCACCTGCCATTTAGATGTAAAGGGGTCCAGGGATCAAATAAATAGTGTTCACTCTTTTCTGTTTTGAGTTTTGTTTTAAGAAGAAGCCACTTTCATTCACCAAAAAAGTGTTTAGTGATTTTTTAACATATGTATGATCTCTTACTTATATTTGTTTCCAAGCTCATTATTGGACAAGAGCCTCAGGATGTTTGTTGTCACAGGATCTATCTGCGTTGCTATTGGGGTGAGATCACGCATTGCTTTGATCTCAGATACTTTGGTCCTGTGTTTTTTGAGGGCTTTTGCCGTACAATTTGGTGACCGAACTAGACAGATGGAAAAGACAGGCTGGTGTTTCAGTGTTGCCTGCTTGAGCCTCCCTCCATTGCTCATTCATTCTCTCCTTCCTTCCCTCCCTAATTCGCTCACTCCTGCCCTTATTCTTTCTCTACTTTCCTCCCTCTCTCTCATTCCTTCCGTCATTCCTTCCTTCTCTCCTCCCTAATTCCCTCCCTCCCTAATCCCTTACCTACCCTCATTCCCTCTTTCTTTTGCTCTCTTATTCCCTCTTTCATTTCTTCCCCGCCTCATCCACTCCTTTCCTCACTTATTCCCTCATTCCCTCCCTCCTCTCACCAAACACACTAGGGAATGTCTCTCAGTGAAGACCACAACAAATCTCTGGAGAATGAAGGGGACCAACAATAGGTAATCAAATTGCACAGGACAATGTTCAGGTTAACAAATCACCACTGAAAGGCAACTAAGATCTAGGTCAGAATTGTTACATGTCATTAATGCACTGAAATCTGTTAGTCAAAGGATCTGTTCAATCTTGCGGTTATAGATCGCTTTTGGAACACCTCAAACCACTACATTCCCAGGAAGGATTATTCCTAGGGAATTGATGGGGGGGGAGAGAAAGGGAACTGTTAGAGTTTGGATTGGGTGAATTTAGATTGTGAAAGTCAACAACAAATACCGTCTCCATCTTCATCTCCGTAACCTGTTGGGGGGTTACCAAAAAAAACAACACAGAACAAACAGAAATGAATAATAATAATCCTGGCATTTGATATAGCGCCTTATCACGTCATTGAAACGTCTCAAAGCTCTACACGGAATAAATTGTGAAGTCGATTGACTTGTGTATTTTGTGGGCAAAACCACGTCAGCTAATTGCACACAGCAGTGTACCCACAAACAGTCGTGGATTGAGGGACCACATTGTTTTTCTTTTGAAAGATTATTACTGCTGGAAAGTGGTCTGCCAATCGACCTTGGCTCTTGCCAACCTGCATTTACTAATCTCTGGGATTAAGTGAGTGTGTGCTTCCCTCTGGGGAGAGAGTGCACAGTCCATTCTAGACAAATGGAAACCATATATCCACGTGTGGAACTCTCGGTCTGGGTGTTCACCGTTAAACATGGTTTCCGAGTGGTCAGATCTCATCTACCCTATTGTGTTGATACTGTATTTGGAGGAGGGATACACTGGATTTATGACAATTCACCAGGAGGAGACTTGGTGACTAAATGCAAGTTATTTTGTCTGGAGCTCAGGAAGTTGAGGGGTGATCTGACAATGTTCCTGAAAATAATAATAGGAATTAAACCAAGTGTAAAAGTCCATCTGGGTTTCTACTTACTCCGAGGTAACCAGAGGCATGTGGAGTAAGGAAACATACCTAAGATTTCATTTCGCCCAGGAATTGAACGTGGGTCCTTTTGCTTGCGAGGCACATGCACTAACCACTACCCTACGGGACTCCACAATTTGCCCACATTACCCGAGTGCCAGCAATAGGAACCCACTGAGACTTAAACGAAGAACCTTCAATACCAGTTTATCTCCACCTGGTCACCTCCCCTCATTACCCAAAGACAACCTGCAGAAACTGGGTTCCATTAATGTATCTGATTTATACTTTTGGTTGAAGTGAAACATTTGTAAGAACAGAAAGTCACATACCTTCTTCCTGTTCAACTTCTATGAGCGGCCAGGGCATGCAGCAAGCAGGAAATGTAAAGATGCAAAGAGATTAATGACTTAGTTAGCAATGAAGAGCATAGCGCAGGGCCACTGGCCAGGCTTGGAGTTCACCAATCATTGCTGAGCCAACTATTGGATCAGAGAGCTTAACATTAATCATATTTGCCTTTGATATCACGTCTATAATGTTGGAATGCCTCAAAGGCCTTCAGAGTGGCGGCTATTAAGTTCAGTCAGTGTGTACTTCATAGGCAAATGCGGCAGCCAAACAGCCTTGAGGTGAATGACAACAACATCTTTATTTATACGGTGCCCCTCACATAGGATAGTGTCCCAGAGCACTTAAATGACCAATTTCGTCATGGGGAGGGGGATTATTTGCCAGGACATAGGGAGGAACTCCCTTCTCTTTTCGAGTAGTGCCACTGGATCTTTAACGTCCGCCTGAACAGGCAGACGGGACCTTGGTTTAACATCTCATCCAATGGACAGCAGTACACTTCCTGGAATGTCTAGACTACGAGTTCAAAGTCCCTGATGTGGGGCTTAACCCACAGCCTTCACAATCAATTTATCTCCTTCTAGTCACCTCCCCTCATACCCAAAGACAACCAGTTATTAATCACCACTTAGCACTAAATGCTACAATACTGGGGCATTGTATCCAATGCCTCTCAGTGTTAATTCATGGGGTGGGGAGGGGGAGTACCTGTCTCTCCACTGGTGGATGTGACAGAGAGGGAGAGACCGTAAAACAATTTAAAAAGAAATTACCTGAAAGAAAGGAAGGAAGGAAGGAAAGAAGGGTGGGTGGGATTACTGTCTACAATACATACCTCCTTCTTCCTCAACCTCTTCGACAGCTGAGATGAACATGCAGCAAGCGACAAGAAGCGGAGCAGTGAGTAGGAGATGGAGAAGAAAGACAAGAAAGGCACAACATTGACCAACATAATTCACAGCCCGAGAAATATTATTGTCGCCCATGGGAGCAAAGTGCAGGCATTTAACCTTCTGTTCACTTAAATACACTTGAGCAAACATCTGAAAGGAAATGTGTTGCAGGTGAACTACACAAACACAAAAGGCTTTGCTTCAAAATCCCTAGGAGATTCAAGAAGGCATGAAATTCCAGCTGATTGTACCCTGATGGAGCATTTCAGCTGAAACCTGGCGCAGAATGGTTGAAAACTACTTAAATTCAGTCTTAACTTAGAAGCCATTTTTTTTCTTAACAAGCAAAGCTTCCGAATTCTGAATTTTCTGAATGTGCAGGGCTGGATCCCATCTCCCACCCCACATCCCTTACCTTGTTGGGGAAATGTGATTAATGGATCTGCCGCAATCTAATAAACTGTCGGAACAGGCTCAATGAGGTGATTGGCGTCCGCCTGTTCTTATGTTGCTGCAGTGCTGATGGTCAGTGATGGTTCAGCACGAGGCAATGTCACAGGTCAATGAGGTCTCAACACTCTACCATGCCAATGTCAGTGATGACTTGGCATGAGGCAGTGTTAGTGTCAGTGATTACTCGGAGCTAGGCAGTACTAATAGACAATGACAGCCCAGCGCAGTGCAGTGCCAATTACCTGTTCCTTCATATTCCTCCTGTTCTATAATTCAGCAAAAAGATAAAAGCTCTGTTTAGTTACAGCACAATCAATGATGAGCATTCAGTGTTTTCTCAATGCTTATCTATCACTGGGTTTACACATTGCTATGAATCTCATGTAACTTGCTTAGACAATATATTAATCACTCCAGTGTTGTTAGCATATGTAAGATAAATTAAACACATTCAACATTTGCAGTTTAGGTGTGTCGGTTACTGACTTAATCATTGGCAGTTGTTGTTTGGTCGGGTTTTCTGATTTTTCTCCAAAATCGAGGAAAGTGAGTTTCCATTGTTGACTTGTTTTTACGTATTTTGTATTGTTTTATCTAGAGAATGGCCAACATCTAGGATATAAATCGCCTTGGTCCCTCTGACTCGTTTCCCTCCCTCGCCTCATTCAAGGTCCATCTCAAGACGTAACTCTTTGCCCGCCCTTTCGGTCATCTAGGATATAAGATCACTTCCTATGAGCTGCACAGCCGCACTATGAGCAGGCAGCGCCATTGACAATACAAAATAATGTTTGTATAACGCCTTTCATGTCGGGAGGACGTCCCAAGGCGCTGGACAGTGACCTTGTTGAAGTCACCTCGTTCGCAGTGTTGCCTGCTCACAGCATGCAAGTGCAGCACAAAGGAAGTGCAGTCCATGGCCACTTTACAACCCATATTTTCTTTCGCGATCGAAAAGGCCACTAATTATCGACCAAATATCCCCAAATAAATGAAGGTTAAACAAAGGTCAATATTAACCGTGGAGAATTAAAAACACTAAACAGGATGCAAAGTCTACGTTAGTTATCAGTCAGTGCGATGATCCAAAATGAAAATGGATACATATTAATCTGGTACACGTTGAAAGGTTACGTTACAAAGTAAGTCAGCAATGGGTGTAGATCTTCACTAGATGGCGCAGTATCAGTTATTTACAAAGCACTCGTTAATTAAATAACTAAAATGAAAATATTTCAAAATGTACTTTGAAAGAGAGTGCCACTTTTTCTACCATTTTATTGGGATTAGGGGTTTGAAATCCCCATGACGCAAAGTAAAATTGTCGCTCTTGGCTACCGCAAATATATTTTTTTCATTTCTCTGAAAGAATCGGATCATTCCCGAGAGCAAAGAGTTGCTTTTCTTGTGCAAAGCTGAGTTTCGGCTCAATTGAGCAATATTTTTTGGATATTGCGCAGCTCTCTGAATGAAGGCAAAACAGCGAGGTGTGAAAGACTGTTCGGTAAGGATACGGAGGGCGGGCTTTCAGCCACTCTGAAAATTCCTGGAACTTCTTCCCTGAGTCCCTCTGACTCGTTTCCACCCCCCTCGCCTCATTCAAGGTCCGTCTCAAGACATAACTCTTTGCCCGCCCTTTCAGTCATCTTTCCTCTCCCCACCACCCTCGGCTCCCACCCCCAGCTCAGGTACCTATCAGTCAGTGTCAACCACTTTCAGATATCCTCCCGACGTGAAAATAGTTACAAAAGTGTAAATAAATTGTGTTGTCTTGTATACAGTCATTTAACAATGCAAGAAAATCTATACTATACAACTGGAATCCTGGTTCAAGCATTATACTTGCAATCCATAGGAAAGGATGGGGCAAATACCTTCATATTGTTCCCTGTAAGAGATGGGGAAAGAAGATCGAATTAATTAAAGGTTAAAGACTAACAGTACCTAACAGCTGTACAACAACAACTTGCATTTATATAGCATCCTTGACAAAATGCCTGGAGAACAAAATATCAACCTTCTGCAAAAAAGTAGCTATCTTAGGAAGTTCAAATATAACAATATATAATAATCTATTATTGTCATTATTACGTTATTACGGTTTAAATCTCTCTGTAGCGGTCATTTCTAAATGGTTTTCAGACCAATAACACTGCCACTTTACATAAAAATTTATGTTACTTTTCTTGATATGTTTGAGCTTCCTAAAGTAGTTACTTTTTAATAATAATGTTATTATTATGATTGTTACAACCCGTTACACATCAAGCCATTCTCAATTGCTGCCATAACCTAAGCAGTTGGCTTTTCTCTAAGCAACAAAAATTGCTGATGGCATCCTTTAAGTTAAAAAATCTCCAAATATCAACAAGCACTGCCAAAATACTGCACTTACGTTTCCTCGGTGTCAGACATTTTGAGCTGGACCTTTTAGATCTACGAAAGGAAAAAAAGGAGAAGAGAGTATCCTCAGAAGCAGCACTGGCAATTAAGCTCCATATCCTACTAAGCCCTGCCATTTAAAGGGAGTGACAGTTCATTAAGACCCTCTGACAGAAATAGCACCCGCACCCCCTTAACATTGAACAGCTCAGCCCATCCTTGTGATGTACAGGCAATGGGACCCCTTAATACATAGGCGACACCTGCCATCTCAGCTAGATACGAACAGCAATACAGTATTTGCAGCTGTCCGTACTTAATGGGATAGCTCAAAGATTTTTTATCATTCTGCGATAAATCTGCTGGTCAGACAAGCACAGAGATACTTCAAAGTTACTGTTACTTTGTATATTTATGCTATGCATATAGAGTAATAATAATTAAAAAATGACTTTGACAATTTCAACCGCATCCCAACCCATTGCTGCAAAACGTCGTTTCAAACTATAAAAATATTAAAATATGAATTTCTCCCCATATACACACTCAAGCATACACCACTCTGCAGTTTTCTCCAGAGCTGGTTTTCAAAAAAACACATATGTTTCATATTAAAGTGTTGTTCAGGCTCGTAAACTTTCTCCTGTTATAAAACTTAACGGGGTTTAAAAGCAGACAAGTGTAAAAAATGTGTGTTCTTTTATATATAGTATATAAAAAAGCAGGACGGAGCAGGTCTTAAAGGAAAAGTGTATGGCGAGAACTCAAGTAGAATTCTTGATGCCAGTGTACAGGAAGGAGTGATTTTATTTTAGATTCATTCCTCAGATGACACAGGAGAAGCGTCTATTTAAAGTCTGGTTGCAGGATTAACGTCGCATTTGTCATTCGCCTGTCCAGTCAGGCAAATACACGTTTTTAAAACTGAATAACAGACACGAGTTGATCGGCAAATTTACCCTTTCAAAATAAGAACATAAGAATTTGCGAGGTAAAAGAAGTCCAATGTCCATCTAGTTCACCTTCCAAAATCCAGGGCATCGCCAGGATTTCTCCTACATATCAGGTGGTTCACTTTAAAATGACTTATGTGGAGTAAACTTCCACCTGTGGCTACACTGACTCTGCTAACATAGCATTTAAGAACGTCCAGAACTTGGCTGGTTATTGAATTCAGTCTTGACTTTGAAGTCAAGGTTTGCAGTGATCCGTCATATGAAATGGTAAAGTAATATTACGGTGTTTACAGATTATTAGCCACTACCCTTGAGAGATTTCTCCAACACTAGCCTCAGAGGTCAAATGATGTTCAGGGCGCCTTGGGTTAGTTTAAGTCTTAGCGTTTTAGTTATACGTTTGCAGAAATGCAAAATCTCAATAAAAAAGTGTTCTTCCATTGTTCTGGCAAAATCAAGTATTTTTGCACGTGATTATATAATACGTGTGATACTGCAGCTTAGACACACATTGACTAACCAAATGCATGCTTACCCATTTACGTCCTTCATACTATAGCAGTCTTACATTCCCCTTCATGAGTTATGTCAAACTTGCATAGAATATAAACTCTTGAAAAGGATTTAGGCAGACGTATTACTCAGGGGTGCAATTAGAATTTGGCGAGTTCTAAAATGCAGCCTTTCATTCCGAAGCTGGTTTTCTATAAAGTCTCCTTAAGAAACTACTGAAAACCGACTTCAAAGATGAGACTGAATTGAACAACTTGCCAAACTCTGGATATTCTGAAATGCGACATAAATCCAGGTGGAATTTCTCCCTCCCTCATTTCTTGGGAAGAAATCTGTAGTGAAATATCACAAATCAGAAACTAGATCACAGTCAATTCGTAAAGAACACTTGATATACTTTGTTTTTCTCAATGTCTTTGAACGCTTAGCACGTAACCAAGAAAATGGAAGCCAACAGCTGGGAATGTGTTACTCTGCTCTCTTGGGGATTATATTTCTGCGTCTTCAGCTCCTGCCGATTACTGGGCTATTTCTTAAGTGCACATTCGCTTTCCTAATTAGGCCATTGCTTTTTAATGTCCAGAAAGGAATGGGACTCTGGAGCCAGACTACAGCCCAGCTGCTTTTCAGTGTTACTGGTTTACTATCATCTCTTGCAATTCTGGGACAGTATAGTCAGTCATTCAATCTCCTAAATCTTTTATGAGGATCTTATGCATTCTGTTGAGCTAACCCCCACCGCATCCCTCCATCCCCATGAAGCAATGCATTTCCCTGCCCCCTGCATGTTTCACTAGAGAATGGTGCCCCTAGTGTAAACATCAATACCCACAGCAAGCCATGAGGGAATTAGTTAAACACATCTCTTTAAAATCTCTCAGATGTTGACACTTGCATTTACTGAACGCGGTTGCTTATTCAGAGCAAGACCCCAGAGAGTACCAGAAAGAATCACTGTGACAGCAATCACTTGCTGACTATGCAAGCATCGCTGCCTACAAAACACACAGTCACTACATGTTACAATAAATCCTGAGAAGCATTTCAAGATATCCATCTGATGTGAAAGGCACTGTATCAAAATACAAATAAACAAAGATTTTGAATAATAATGCTTGAATTTGACATAGCGCCTTAGCATGTAGTTGAAACGTCTCAAAGAGCTTCACTGGATATACTGTGAAGTGGATTGCCTGTGTATTTTGTGGGTGAAACACACAACTATTATTATTATGATATGTGAAATAAGTGCTTTTTGAGACTTCACTCACTCCCTGAGAGTATTCCTTAACTCCTGCTCACAAGAGGAAATAAACTCACAGTAACCCATCCTCTCACAAATCTAGGAGCAGAGCCTTGGAGGAACTGGTATTTTCTTTGCTGAAGCAAAAAAGGTTGAGGGTTACCTGATAGAGATGTTTAAAATTAGGAAAGGTTTGATAGAGTCAATAGAGAAAAACGACTGCCACTGGTCAATGAGACAGTAAGTAAGATAGCTAGAAAATAAGCATTTTTTTTTCATGCACAGTTAGGATAGTTAACTCACAGTTAACATGAGTAGTTAGGATATGGAATGCCCTGCCAGGAGCAGTGGTTGAGACAGAATCCATATTAGTTTTCAAAATGGAGCTAGATAGATATCCAAAAAGGAGTAAACTACGGGAATATGGCAGGTAAACGGGACTGAAAGGATTGCTTTTTAAAAGAGCCAGCACAGACACGATAGGCCGAATGGCCTTCTTCTATGCTGTAAATTTCTTTGGATCTAAATCTTGATTCCTCAGGAAAATCTAATCTGGTTACCTTCCTTCTATTCCAATCCTTTCCCTTGCATTACATTTCTATCTTTCCCTTAATGTATTGTGCACTCTCTTTCTCTCTCTCTCTGTGATATTTTCATTTATTTTAATGCAGACTTTTCTGTTTTCTTTTCCTGCCTCATTTTTACACCAGTCTCTCCCTTTTTTCTCCGGGTGTCTTTCCTTTTCCCTTCCTCCTTCTCTATCTTTCTTCCAAGTCTGTCTCTTCCTCTTATAACTACCTTGTGCACTCATTCAGGATCCTCTACTATACTCTTTCTCTTTAATTCTCTTTTTCCCAGTCTCCCTATTCCAACTCTTTCCCAAATCCCTCTCCCCCAGGTTTTTTTTCTCCATTTCTCTCAAGCCCCTCTCTTTCGTTCTCTCTCTCTCTCTCTCTCTCTCTCTCTCTATCTCTCCCAAGCCTCTTCTCTCTTTCTCACTGACCCAATTAATTTCCAAGCAGGAATGGTGATAACAAGGGACGATCTGTTCATTCAGTAAATGGATCTCACTCTGACCCTCTCTGGGACACAGGACTGGCAGACAGATAGACAGACATACACACTCGATGTGCTGTTATTGGAATATACCCGAAGGTCACCTCTACACCCCCACCCACACCTATCCCCATCGTCCCAATCAACCACCCACACTTGCCACAGCTCAAAGCGAAGGGCTCCACCACAAATCCCATTCAAAGCATTCCCACCCCTCACTGTGTGCTGCCAGCAGACACCGATTCACGATGAGGCATCACCCTAGTCCTTTCACATCAGCCTTCTAGTGAATTACGTTGATTTCAAAGAGCATTTCACACATACACAAACCTACACCTACACACACAAACAATGATACAGTCAAACCTCTTCAAGAAACCACCTCCATTCAGCAACTGCCCCCTGCCAACAACCACTGGAAAAAGCCTAGACAGAAATTCTACACACAACCAACGCTTACTCAGAACCACCCTTATATAAAGGCCATGTTGGCCCAGTCTCCTGAGATGAGAGGTCGTTCAAGCCAGGTTTGACTGTGCTTATTTCTCCAAATGAAAGGCAGCCTTTAAATAACTGTGATCATTCAGGGGCTGTCATGATAAAAGACCTGTCTCATTGAATGGCCATTCAACTGCAGGGCATACAATAGCTGTATCTCTATACAGCTCTTCAGCCGAATAGTTGTTCAATGGGATATATAGTCATAGTCCCTGAGAACCATACCACACCACACCAGACATCCCTTCACCAGAGTTCAGTCGTCGTGGATAGAAACAAACAATAAGGTGCAAGTGAGAACTTGTGGTACCAATCTCATTCTCAACAACATTTATATAGCACTTTTCACATCAGAAGAGCATCTCTCGGCACTGGACAGTGATGGGTTTCCACCCCAGCTGGCGATTGGAGTCAAAAGGGTTGGAGGGCAAGGGATTGGGGATGGGAGGATGACCGAAGGCACGGGATTGGGGATGGGAGGATGACCAAAGGCACGGTCAAAGAGGAAGGTCTTGGGATGGGCTTTGAAGAAAGCGACGGAAGTGGGGTGGGGAGGAGGTGAGGCAGAGTTCCAGAGAGGGGGCAGGTGACCGTCAACAGTGGAGCAGGCAAGGTGGGGGACAAGATGAATACAACACAGAACAGTTCAACCCGTGCCAAATGTCTCCCAATAGGAATGATATACAAAGTGGACAGAAACATCCACCCACCTACCCCCACCCTCACCCCCACTCTGTGCTGATTAGTTGATGGCCTTTCTTGCTCCTTTGGGACCAGCACATTTATAATCTTACCTCTGAGGAACGCTGAGAGAGAGAGAAAGAGAGAGAGAGAGACACACACACCTCCCTGGTGGCTGCGATTGATCGACTGGTTTGGTGCGGGTGATGGGGTGGATCAGTGAGGTTCTTATAGTGAAATCGGATCCTCAAACACATTCTATTGGTGGCACTTTCCCAAACACCAGCCAGAAATTCAAATCGGCGTGATTTTTTTTCTAATTATAGCAGAAAAAACCAAGCCTTAAGGAAAGCGAGCGATGCAAAGGCAACGTTGGCTGAGAGACAGACGTGTATGGGGATCAGACAAGCAAGAGGGTGGGAGATATTTATAGAGCCTTAATTTAAGCAAAAGTGAACTTAAATTCTGCTGGAAGTTGAAGTGTTTGAAAAAGGATCTTTGAGACGGGGCAGGGGGCAAATATCACTGGGCAATGTCAATACAATTGAGGGTATTGTTGTAGATCTGAACACGGGGCACACATGTCTATTTCATTAACTTAATAGACTGGATACATCTGACTGCAATGTTCGCATTATCTGATGTTTCTAAGTGGGTTTAATAGATAAAGTCTTAGTTTTATTCTAAATCACGATTTGCCAAACGCCCACCTGTTCGCCCGTCTTTACATCCATTTCCAAATTTGAATGTGTTACTTGTGTTAATTAACAAATCCCGTCAAGTATGCGGAAAGCGCAGAGATGTCAAAGTCTTGATAGATTAGGATCTTGCTGGGAGCAAGAGTTGTCGTTTATAATCGAGATCTGTTTGAAATCTACCACACTTTGACATCTCTGTGCCTTACACCGACTTGACTATTCGATATGGGGCATCATTTGCAGGATTTGTTCATTAACACAAGTAACAAGTTATCAAACGCTTGGGATTTTACCCCCACCTACACCCCAATAATCCCGAGCCACCTTTTCTCCTTCAAATGCCCCCTTTTTAAGAAAACACTCCACTTTATAAAACGCAGAGCGACACAGAACCAGCCATCGATTGCGTACATTTTTCTCAATAATCTTTTTTAAAAAGCTCTCTCGTCTCTTTTAATTCCCCGAAAAAAACTTTTGAGAATTTAAAGTGTGTCACTTGGGAGTTTGATGGGATGTATGATTGCAGCTTCGGGAGAGAATTTCTTAAGAGTGTTTTTTTAAATTAATTTTAATGAATCTAAATGTCTATTCATTTTATGAATATAAATCATTGACTGCCCAGTGCCTTGGGACATCCTCCCGACGTGAACGGCTATCTATACAGATGTAGTAGTTTGTTGTTAAGTGGTGGTGGGGTGGGGGGAGTCCTGATGGCATTTGTTTGAACAAGAATTTTAAACATTTGCATTAATTGAATGGATCTGGAATGGATCACTGTTAAACTGGAGGTTGCCCATGTGTATGTGTGTGTGTGTGTGTGTGTGAGAGAGAGAGAGGCTTGTGATCTCAGCCCCTACCCCAAGGAACATCCAACCTCACCTCCCCAAGGGTGAGCAGAGGCTCAGTTGTCTGCGTCTGTGCGTAATGTTGCAGCAGTTATGTTTGGAGAGGAAGGGTCTGTGGGGGTGAAATGAACACGCCCTGTGTTGGAGATGTGGCGTTGCTTTCTGCTCAGTGCCAGAGTCGGGGCGCTGTGCTGCATCTAATGTGATCTTTATTCTGAGCAAATGCCAGTTTGACCCTTTCAATTGCAGGAAGCCCCGATGAGTCTCCACTCTGGAACCCCGAGCTCTGAGCCAGTGATATCCCACTGAGAGCACAAGCGTTCAGCACTCTGCAACAGGCGCATTTAACCCTTTCTGCCAGGCTGCAGGTAAATAGCTTTGATTTAGCACTGCGAAGGGCATACGAACCCCTAGTCGAGCCTGTGGAGAGAAAAGGGCAAGTGGAGGTGGTGGGGTTGGAGGGTAGAGACAGGGCAATTCTTAATGGGAATGTAATTAATGAAGCTAGCTTTACATTGGAAAGACCAGGGGTTAGCATAACTCAAGACTTTCTCTCTACTGTGGATGCAAGTTGCAACCCAATCGATTTAAATAAAAAAAATAGCCTGCACACATCTTCTCCTGCAGTTATATATATATAATATATATGTGTATATTGCACTGGATTTTACTTGCGAACTTTTCGAAAACGTTTATGCCAATTTGATACTTTGTGGAAAGAATGGAAGTGTTTAAAGTTATTGTTTTTAATAATAATAATAATAATAATAAGCCTTGTATTTGATATGCTGCCCTATTACGTCGTTGAGACGTCTCAAAGCGCTTCACAGGATATACATATTGTAAAGTGAATCGACTTTATTTTAAGGATATGCGGTGTTTCTGCAGTTATTTTAATGTTGGTTTTGAATATGAAATAATCTTTTATCGGAGAATATTGTTACATGTGAACAGTGAACTGAGACTGAAAGATACTCGGTGCTTGGTTTGGCGTCTGATCACCTGCAAAAAGGCATTGTAGTTAATAGCAAAAAGCATTAGCTTGCCTCAGTCGGTAGCACTCTTGACTTTGGGGCAGATTATTGTGGGCTCAAGGCTCAAGTCGGGACTTGAGCACATTATCAAGGTAGATGTTCCAGGGAAACATTGTCAGGACTGTAAGTGGGATAGTTAAAGTGTCTGCTTGACCAGGTGGATTTTAAAGATCCCATGGCACTATTCGTAACAGAGAAGGGAGTTTCTCCCTGTGTCCTGGTCAACAATCTTCCTAGATTAAAAAAAATTGGTCACTTACTTTATGGCCTTTTGTAAGTCTCGCTGTATGCAAAGTGACTGCCACGTTCGCCCACAAATACTTGTGTTGTGTGTGACTGTAGCAATTGTTCATGCTGTCAAATTGCAAGTTCAATCTTTCTAACACTGTCGAACGACACCAACAGAATGAGGGAATGGTTGCATTGTGGATCTCTGTAGTTCCATGGAGTGAAACTGAGATGAAAAATCATGTAAATGAAAAGAAACGGGACTGATAAGCTCTTATAGAGAACTGGTCTATATGATATTATTATTAGTAATTGATGGTCAAACACCTGGTGGTTGTATTGTATTTGGTGAGTGGGTTGGTCAGAAGCGAGAACGACAGCATAGGCTGAACAGAAAGCCTATCTTCTAAGGCCGCAGATTGTAATACGGGGATGCTAACGGGATGTCTTTCTCAAGGAGAATTTCCTCATCCGAAGGATAGCACCTTCGACAAAGCAGCTCCACTCCCCGACCCCCAGCACTGCACTGGCGTGTCAGCCGAGATTGTGAGCTCAAAATCCCGACCTGAGGTTTGAACCCGTAATCGTCTGACTGGCTAATAGTGAGAGTGCTACCCACTGAGCCAGGCTGACACCTTACAGGAGGAAGTAAATGGAGAAGGGGAGAACAGGAAGGAATTCTGAGTCACAGCAGCCTCGGGCTCTACTTGCACCAGTTTCCTGCTGTCCATAGAGTAAACACAGCATTTTCCTGAGGCAGATAATTTTACAGGCTGTCCGCTCCATTGAACACTCCTGAAAGTAAATGACCCTCAGTTTCACATTCACTGGCGCTAATCTGTTAAATAACTCCTTAAAATGAGTCTCTTTATCACCTGATAAGCCACTGCCCGATAACTAGTGCACAATTATTATTATTCATTTAGGTTTGCCTGCAAACCGTTCTCCTACAAATACACTTTATAATAAGGCTTGCATTTGATATATTAATAATTATTATTATTCTAATCTTTGCATTTGGTATAAAGCCTTAACATGTCATCAACACATCTCAAAGATCTTCACAGGCTTTACTGTAGAGTGTGTTTTGCAGACAAACGCCGCAGCCAGTTTGCACACAATGTCGCACAAACAACCATGAAATGAGTGACCGATTTCTTTTAGGAGATTGTTGGCAAGAACACTGGGATAAACTCACTTCTCTCTTCGAATTCTATCATGGGATCTTTAATGTCCCACCTGAACAGGCAGACGGGGCTTGGTTTAACGTCCCATTCGAAGGACGGCACCTCCAACAGTGCACTGGAGGGTCAATCTAGACTGTGTAAGTTCAAAGTCTCAACGTGGGACTGGAACCAACAACCTTTTAACTCAGAAGCGAACGTGTTACTGAAAGGTATCCGCGTCACTTGAAGGGCGCTTTTTAAATGCAAGTTGTTGTTGCTGCTAACAAATGAGGCAGGCTGACACCCTAGCACTTTACAATAAAATCATGTGAAGCACATTGAGATTGTTCGACGACATGATAAGATGTTCTATCAAATGCAAAGATTATTATAATATGGAAACAGTCCTTCTTCTTACAACACATACCTGTGAAGCACTTTGAGATGTCCCAAAATAAGATGCCAGAATCGTAATAATAGTTAAATTTGGTATAGTGCCAGGAGGATATCTCAAAGCGCTTCACAGGATTTACTGTAAAGTGTTGTGAATATGTGTTTTGTGGCCGAACACTATAAAAGGCAGTTTTCTTTTTTCCACTTGCGTTGAAAATTATTTTCCCTTTTCTACACATTGGCTGAGACAAACCTGTAACTGATAAGCTGGGCTTGTTCTCCTGGAGCCATCGCCTGTTCCCCACACCAGCAAAGCTCACTTTTTACTAGATTTCGAGTTTAGCTGGATTTTGGATCATAACAGGTCAAGCCTGCATGCAAAATCTGCCAAACTGCACTGAATGCAGTGGAACCGGCTCTTGAATACTGCAAGTTAAACTACCCCCATGCAACTCTGCCGCTCCTCGCCCCTCATTCTGTTGTTGAGGAAGGCTGTCCCCTAGTTGCCCAACTAGGAACTGCTGTAAAATTCATAAAATCCTGAGTCGAATGAGTGATCCATGTGCTATCAACAACAACAACTTACCTTTGTATTCTATCCTTCACATGGCGTAGTGTCTTGGAGCGCTTAAAGCACATTGAATGGGCCAGAGGCCATGCCAACCCAGAGCTGGCAGGGTCAAACAACAACAACTTGCATTTGCACAGCACCCCTCACGTAGGGTAGCATCCCAGAGCGCTTGTCAGTGCCTGAACTGAGCGGAGGGGGTCACAGAGCAGAAGTAAGTAGGGTCACGGAATAAAGCCAGTGTCATTGTGATGACTGCTGGAATTGAACGGATTTTTATAACAGAGAATGTGTACAAATGACCTGGATTCGCAACGATGAAGCCTGGAAAACTGAGTCCACGGATTTCAAACCATCGGTTAGCGGCATTCTGGTTTTTTGAGCTTTTTGTAAATGAAGGACTCTCTCCTGTTAGGTTTCATGTGAGTTAGATGTAGAGCACATATTGGGGGAGAAATTCAGGGCAAATTTGATTTGCTCAGTCTTGCAGACCATCCGAATTTGGCAAATTGTTGAATTCAATCTTATCTCTGAAGCTGTTTTTTTAGTATTTCTTAAACAAGCTTTAAACAACAGCAAGATTACATATGTATGGCATCTTTCATGTCGGGAGGACGTCCCAAGGTGCTGGACAGAGTAAGGTAAAGACTTTGTTTAAGAATTTACCAAATGCTGAACAGTCTGAAAAGTCAAGTAACTAATAATAATAACCATCTTTATATTTGATATAGGGTCTTATCACATTATCACAAGAACTCAAAATGCTTCATAGCTTCATTTACTGTGAAGCACTGTGTATTTATAGGTGAGTGTGGCAGCCTATTCAATGCGCAGAAACTTCCCACAAACAGCCATGAAATGAACAACCAATTTTATCTGGGGGATTGTTGACCAGAATACTGGGAGAAACTCCCTTCTCTTTTCAATTTGTGCCATTTAACCAGCACCTGGACAAGCAGATTGGTTGGTTTAACATCTCATCTGAAGGATGGCACCTCTGGCAATGCAGTGCTCCCACCGGCACTACACTGGAGTGTCAGCCTAGATCGCAAGTCCGAACCTGGGTGGAATTTTTGCCTCATTGGATGTTCCTTTAACACCATCTTTTGGGGTGTGGTTGTTGAGCATTGCTCTTTTGATGTTGATTGCCAGAGCAAGAGAAGTGTTAGCTTTTCAATTTACATGGGAGAGGTGATCAAGTGCGAGTGAGGGGCAGAGAGAGAAAGTTTTGATGCTATCAGGGAGCATAGCTGCGGTACACTGAGACACTGCCAACAGGTGACAGTGTCAAATATCCCCTTAACTTGACTTCTCTGTCTATAATTAGGTCAAGTAACTTTCCACCATGTGAGGGGGGAGGTTATTTAGAAAATGGCTAAACTTAGCTGGTCCTGATTTGAGAAGACATGATAGGGATGCTTGTTTGGAAATGCTCCTTTTTGTCAAGAGTAGTATTTGCGTCTTTGGAAGCGAAGGTCAATTGGATTTTGCCATCACGGATCTAGGTACCGACGCTTACCATCGACAGGGTCAAAGAGCAGAATTCAGTGGGATCACGGCACAAAACGCACCTTCATGAGACTGTCAACTACTGGAATGTAACTTTTTTTCCAACAGTTGGTGCTAGGCTGAATTTACATAGAATTTACATACAGCACAGACTTAGGCCATTCAACCCAACGAGTCTGTGACGGTGTTTATACTCCACTTGAGGAATGTGTGCAAATGGACTGGATTTTCACAGCTTTTGTATTTCCTCACACCCAGCAATCAGTGAGAGGTGCAGACGTGAGGATTGTAGTTTTAGGATGCTGGGCGTTTCCCAGCAGGGCTATAGCTTGATCTGAGTTGAACGAATGGTATATTGGCTAATGTAAGACTTGACTGATCCACTTACAGGCTACACCCTTGTTATTCTTTACAATCTAATTTGCAGTATTTCTTAACGTGATTTCTTAATAAGGAAGCTGAGCAGTGCAATTGGGAGGAAGCCTGGAAGGTGTGTGTGTGTGTTTCTGTGTATGTGTGTACGTGTCTTTGTCCGCTAACTGTTAATAAATCACACTGATCCGGAGTGACCAATTCCGGTTACTTAATCCACGACGGTTCGTAGGACACTGTTGTGCGCAATTGGCTGCCGCATTTTGCCCACAAAATATAGTCAATTCACTTTATAGTATATTCTATTAAGCGCTTTGAGACGTCTCAAAGACGTGATAAAGCGCAATATCAAATGCAAGGATTACCATTATTATTGAGACAAAAGAGTCTCGCAGGTTAAGATTAGGTGGAATTTCAGGCTGATAATGTACCCAATTGTTGAAAACCAGTTATAGACCAGGTGACAGTACCTTGGGACGTCCTTCCGACGTGAAAGGCACTATATAAATGTAATTAGTTGTTATGTCATCCTGTCTCAGTTTGCAGCACTCTCACCTCTGCATAAGAAGGTTCAAGTCTGACTTTCGAGTCATTCATGGTCTCGACTGACATTTCAGGATAGTGCAGATGCTTTGTCAATGGTGCCATCCTTTGAATGTAACGTTAAACCGAGACCCCTTCTGCCTGTCCAGGGGGACGTTAAAGATCCCATGGCACTATTTGAAAATTGCACAGAGTTTTGTCGGTGTTCTGGACAACAATCTCCCAGCTAAAATTGGTCATTCACTTCACGGCTGTTTGTGAGACACTGCTGTGCGCGAATTGGCTGCCGTGTCTGCACACTCTATAGTAAATCCTGCGAAGAGCTTTATGACATTTTAAATTACATCATGAGACGCGATATTGGACGCAACAATCAGCTTACATGACTATCCAGCCATTGAAACAAATGAGACAGTGGTCTTCCAGAGAAAGGCTCATTCATTGTTAGGATTCTGACAGAACACTGAGGAGAAGCAATTATATGACAAGCGACATACAAAATTACAAGCACAGTAAACTGTTGTGCAGGTGGCCCATCAGTGCGGCCCTGTTTGACTCCAGTTGGATCTTCAGAATGAATTCCAGTATTGACCAAATTGGATAAAAGCCTTTTGCAGGCTGGTCTGAATAGCACCAGGTCCTGGGTGTTGCCAAACTCCCTCGGAACATGAATTGTGGAGTATATTTCTCCCGCCCTTCAGCCATTTCATCAGCAAGTGACTTCGACCAAAACGACGGGTTCCCTTTAGACTTCCTCAGCTAAGTGTCATTCATCACCTGTAAGGCGAAACAGTGAGTGCTGCCTGGCTATTTGTCTACGCAGGAGGAGTGAAGGAAGATGGCATTACAGTTAATATTCACACAATTTTAGCCAGGGTTTTTTTTTGGCCAGCTGGGTGTCTAACACATGCAGAACCCCATCACTGCGCTTAAAGAGTATCCAAACCAGACTGAGCATTCCACATATGTATGCTACCTACACGTGGACCTTTTCCTGTATCTGGAATGGAATAAGCACGCTCTCCCTGGAGGGATGCATTCCTGTTTACATGATTCCAGAGAGTATTAGGCACAGGTTGGCAAGAGCTGAGGGTTGGGGACGTCAGAGTGTGTGTTGGGGTAACTGCTGGAATTTTACCAGCTAAAAAAAAGACCCATTGCTTGCCATTGAGAGCGCTGTATGACATTATTTGGAGTTTCATAAGCTGCAGAAAAACGGCTATCAAATGAAGATTGAATTTAAGATTTTCCACAATTCTTAAATTTCAAAACAAAATGGCCTTACAGCTGAAACCAGTGAAATTTTAGGTCTCAAGTGTTTGATGCTGGCTTTTGAATCGCCACAGTAACATACCGGCCAAAACATTTACACTGAGAATGCTTTGAATTGAAGAAGGCAAGCTCTGAGATGAATTACTTTTGAGACAATCTGCTTCGGAAATATAATTTGAGGAGCTTTTGTGTGTAATGTGGGAGACAGAGGAAATCAGTGTCTTTTAAATTACTGCGCCCATTCAGAAAATAGCAGCCTAAAATTCCACCTTAACCTTTGAGACACCCTCCTTTGTCTTAAAATTGCAAGATCTGCACAGAATTGTGGAACACTCTCAAATTCAGTCTGGATTTGTAAGGATTATTTCAATTTGGAAGTCACTTTTCTTAAAAGGTCATTCACTTCATGGCTGTTTGTGGGACGTTACTGCGCTCAGAATTGGCTGCCACATTTGTCACCAAAGTACACAGTCACTACACTTCATGGTAAAATCCTGTGAAGCGCTTTGAGACGTCTCGACGGAGTGATAAGGCACTGCGTCACAAAAAGAACCGGCTTCTTAATTAAGATTGGAATTGAAGAGTTTTGCACAATTCTGCGTATGATGTTACGTTTTAAGACACGATTCTCTCACAGGCATTGGTGGATATTCCGGGTCTTGGTCTGGGCTGGAATGAACCAAACCAGGGCTATACTGCCCATGAGGTGAGTCTCTGTGTCTCTGAGCATTCTTTTGATCATTCTTCAACCAAACACATCTGTGACTAATGCAGCAGCAGAGGGGGAAACATAGCAGTATGACAATATAAGCAACATTAACTGGTTTATAAGTAAACGAATGAAAACAAATTAATATGTAACATTATTAAGCTCGATGGTTCTTGGTCCAGATGCTGGGTCCACAACTTTGATATTCATGACTTGTAATATTCAACTGCAGCTGCTGGGAAGAGAGACAGAGACAGAGAGAAATGAAGGAGAATTAGTAATTTCAATTCCCCAATTAATAGCCAGGCATTCACTTCATGCTTGTATTAAGGGTTCAAAATCCTCGTCCTTGTATTCAAAGCCCTTGTTCCTCCCTACCTCTGTGACCTGTTAACTCCATACAGACCTGTCCGCTCCCTCTGCTCAGTGGGCTGCTCCTGGCATACCCTGCTATTGTCATCGGGCCTTCAGCCTCTCTGCCCCCATCCTTTGGAACTCCATCCCACAGTTCCTTCGCCTTGCCTCGTCTTGCCTCCTTCAAGGCCCATCTCAAGACTCTCCTCTTACGATTGTGCCTTTGGTCACCCTCCTACCCCTACTCTCACCACAGAGTCCCCATCAAGAGGCAACTCACTGGAGCAACAACAACAAAATTACATTTGTATAGCACCTTTCACGTCGGGAGGACGTCCCAAGGCGCTGAATAATAATCCTTGCTTTTGATATAAAGTGAATTGACTGTATATTTGTGGGCGAAATGTGGCAGCAAATTGCGCACAGCAGTGTCCAACAAACAGTCATGGATCGAGTGACCAAATTATTATTGTTTTTTTTCTTAAGGGATTATTATCTGGCATGTGGAGTAAGGAAACTTGCCCAAGGTTTCGCCCTATCGAACACACATCTGGCACATTGTCTGTGTGTACACTAATAACGTTGCGTCTTGCTGACTTGCAGTGGGTTGCTGTTTGGAGAAGTTGGTAATCAGACCCGGACTGGACATGCAGGGTAAAGGACTAGCTGAGTCTGCACGTTACCAGTCAGTTGTTGGGATCCGGCCTTTTAAATTATTATGGGACATTCATCTAAGGTCAAAGGTTCCTGCTGTTAGCTCATGTTACACATACTCGCTACGAAACAGATTAAGACAGTCTCCCACAGTCAGATGTTACATACTATAACCAGCAAACTATGTCAAACCAGCATTCACTGGAGCCACAGACCAACCATGGTTAAGCAAAGGACTTTTATATCTTAATCTCTTATGTATCTTATTTCTTAACATTCTATAATAAATACAAATAAATGTATTATTGATTGATTTCCAGATCGGCCCTTTCATTTCAGTGAATAGGTTTAGGACCATCTACTCAGGTGAACATTAAAGATCCCTGCATTTGACGTAACAACTTATCACATCTCACATGTCTCACGGTACAACACAAGATTTTACTGCAGAGCGCAGTGACTGTGGATTTGTAAGCAAACGTGGCAAGCAATTTGCAACTCCCTTCTCTTTTTGAATACTGCTACGGAATCTTTAATGTCCACCTGAACAGGCAAACGCAGCCTTAGTTTAATATCTCATCCAAAGGTGTCAATTGGCTCAGTTTTGTAGCACTTTTACCTCTGAGTAAGAAGGATGTGGGTGCAAGGCTCACATTGATCTATCTCACAACGTCAAGGCTGTGCAGTGCTGGGAGTAAGTGCATCTTTAGAGGCCCAATCCTTTGGATGAGACGGTTTCTCCTTGAAATACACCGTCCAACCACTTTACGGTATATCCCGTGAAGTACTTTGAGACATTTCGATGACATAAGGTGCGATCGCAAATGTAAGGATTATTATTATTAGTACTGTCTGTTCAGGTGAACGTTAAAGATTCCGTGGCACTATTCAAAAAGAGAAGGGTGTTTTTCCCTCCCGGTGTTCTAGCCAACAATCCCTCAGATAAAACTGCTCATTTACTTCATGGCTGTTTATGGGAAATTGGGACAGCAAACTGGCCACTGCATTCACCTACAGAATACAAAGTGACTACACTTTACAGTAAATCCTGTGAAGCGCTTTGAGACTTTCTCTTGAAAGATACTATATCAGATGCAAAGATTATTAACATTATTCTAATTAATCATATTATGAATAATAATAAATCTCTCCCCTAACTTTACGATGTATTTAATTTCATTTTATTTCAGGGGAATTAATATGCTAATGGCTGTCACCAGTCTGCCAGTTACCAGTCACCCTAAATCTCCCCACCCGCAGCCACCACCTCCCCTGGCACCAAAGCCTGGCAAAAACAACCTCAAGTTACAGAAGATCTTGAAGAAGATTGCAAAGCAGAAAGCAGCGCAGGAATCTCCCGATAGTCTGGAAGCACCAGATAAGTCCCACCCTTACTCCTCCAAGCCTTTCCGCTCCAGCCTGTCTCCTGTCAATGAAGCCAGCCCAGATCTAGAACACAACGACCGTTCCCGCTCGCCTCGTTCTCATCAACCACCACGACTGTCTTACCAACAAGTGCAAGTCTCAGCCTGGTCTCAGAACACCCCAAGCCCCTACCCCACACGCAAAGGATTTAATTTTGCTAAAGAAGAGACACTCCCTAAGATACAAGTCATTGGGCCACAGTCACCAGCTGAGCATCACATCCAGTTGTTGCGACAGCTGCCTGCCCCTCCTATTAAGAGGTTCTTCATTCCAAATCTTCCAGCGATCCTCAAGACACAAGAGGCACTAAGATTCACGGCTTCACCCCACTTTGCCCCGGTCTCTTACACACAGAGATCGTGGCCTACTAACGAGATTCCGCGACTTAACACCCCCACGGTTGAACAACTTACATTCAAGACCCCTGACCCTCTCGTTACTGATCTCGATACCAGTGGTCCACATTTTGCTGTGACCAGATCTTCAGTTCGTACATTTCAGGCTCAAGGAGCAAAGACCCCCATTGCAGATCTTCGTGTAAAGACCCCAACTCCAGATGTTCCCCGAACCAAGACCCCCACCTCAGAGTTTTGTGCGAAGACTCACACTACAGATGCTCAAGTGAAGCCCCCCACTACAGATGTTCACATGAAAACTCCCACTCCGGTTGTTCATGTGAAGCCCCCCACTTTAGAGATTTGTGCAAAGACCCCTATTACAGATGATGCTGTAAAGACCGCCACAACAGATGTTCCTGTGAAGATCTCCACTACAGATGTTGCTGTGAAGACCCCCACTACAAATGTTGCTGTGAAGACCCCCACCACAGATGTTCCTGTGAAGACCCCCACTGCAGATATTCGAGTGAAGACACCCACCGCAGACATCTCACGGGTCATCAAGACCCCCACTGATGAAACTCTTCGAGCAAAGACCCCAACCAGCGATCCTGCTGCTGCCAAGGCCCCTGATAATGAGGCGCCACAAGACCCTATGAGGTTTTTCATCTCCGCAGTTCCTAAACCCAACACTGTCAAGATTGAAATCAACACCTTTGAAATGACCATCAACAGCACGAAGACTGAGATTGCTGCACAAAAGAGCAAAGCAGAGGAACCAATCTCTGTCCCCACCACCACTAACCAAAAGGTGGACAAGTCACTCGCTACAGCAGAGCCTCAGCTTAAGTCGATGGAGCGAGCTAAACCTCCCAGAAAGAAGATAAGTGGCTGGAGCCGTCTTAAGAAACACATGGTGGTGGATGAAGAGCCACCACAGTTTCCAGAGCCAGAGCTTCCTCTATCCACAGTACAAGAGGAGCATCGGAAGAGTACACAGGAGGTCAAGCCAGAGCCTCAGAAGGCAACAGGTTCGCGGGCGACAAAGATGTGGGACGCCATCCTGTATCATATGTTCGCCTCTAAAGAGGGTTTGACACAGGAGAGCCAAGAGAATGGCACAAAGCAGCCACAGGCAACACCGTTCACCAGCCGCCTGCCACTCCTCCTCTTCAGGCCTCGGTTTGACGCCAGGAAGCTGAAGGAGGCAGCGGCGAGACCGCTGAAGAGGATCGCCAGTGTGCTCATTGAGTCGGGGCTGCACCGCAAAGCCATTAATGATGATGAGCTCAAGGACTTCAATCGGAAAGCAAAAGGGTGGCAGACATAATGAAAGCCAATGAGGTGCAGAACACACAATGGCAACGTGGTCAAAAAGCTCAGCCCAATGGTCTTTGCACTAAGGGATGGAGAAAGAGACAGGTTCACACATATACACACAGACACACATTCACGCATATGAACACATAAACAGATAAACATATAGAGACACCATAGACACTTTTATTACACATATATCCCCATTCAAACAAGCACACTCATTCACACACTCACACATGCATTGCCGCCTCTACACTGCCAGTATTTAAGCTTTTTTTAATAAAAGGAATAAAATCCTTGAACATATAACGCAGTATTAACGGATGTAATAAACTGTAAAGTAATTCTGAATGATGTGCAGCTTGCTGTAATCTATGCCGCAGCACATAGATCAGAGGCTCGCACACTGTGGGCCATTTGTTCGTACAGCCTGAGGAAAGCGAGGTGTAAAATGATCATTCATTGGCACCTACAAGGTAAGCGAAGGTGCAGAGGGTTTAGGCTGACGTAGTAATGGATGGGGAAGCCCAATGTGAACATGATGAACTACTGTTAGTTGGGACGATGTGAGAGGGTTCGGCCACTACAGGCAATGGCTGGAGGTGAGCTAGAGCACAGGAGCCTCTCTGTCCAAGCAGCAGTTCCGGGCATGTCTCTCGCTGACCGTCCAGAATCCCGATGCAGATCTCATTTCCGACCTGCGTGATTGTGGCCATATATTGAGAGGGATGTATGAGCAGAGTTTGGGAGGGTCAGCGTCTGACACCCCGGCCCCCCCCCCCACCTACAACAGGAATATTTGCGAATCGTTTTATAAACCCCACACAAATCCCAACCCTATATTACTAATCACAGCCCAAGGGGAAGCAGAAACGTTCAGGAAGCCACCCTCTTGCACCAGCTTGTACCAGCATCTAGACCTGTGCAGGTGAGTGAACCAATATCATGTTGTATCTTCTCCTGTCCATGTAAGCAGACGCTCGTTTTCGTTGGGTCACTTCCTCTGCCAAGCCTGTCAAACCCTCTATACACTGGTATGTGTTGTGTGGAGCAGTGGATCTGGCTGCCCACTCCTTTAGTGGAGTGACACCTAGATTCAGTTGAGATCAGCAACTGAACCAATCTGAGCAAAAAGTCATGAAGCCACAGGAAAGTTAGCAAAAAGAACTAGCGAGAGATTGAGAAGGAATTTCTTCGCTTAGGGTGTGGAATTCATTAGCGCGAATAGTTATTGAGGCTGGATCCATAGTCATTCAATGTGGGAAATGGATAAGCTTCTGAGCAGGAAAAATGTTAATGGATATGGGGAAGAGAGCTGGACAATAGGATTAATAATAAAGAGTATCGATAGAGGGATACAATGGGTTGATTCTGTCCTGAAATTTATTACGGGCACTGTGAACCCTCTCCTGCATTGAATTGGTCATTGGTCAATCACTTCACTGCTGTTTGTGGGACATTGCTGTGTGCAAATTGGCTGCCGCCTTCGCCTGGAAAATCCAGTCACTACCCTTCACTGTAAATCCCGTGAGGTGCTTTGAGACATCCTCACGATGTAAAAGCTCTGTATCAAATTTAAGCATTATTATAATAATAATAAAAAATAATAATACTTGCATTTGATATAGCGCCTTATCACGTCTTTGTGAGACTCTCAAAGCGCTTCACAGGATATACTGTAAAATGTAGTGACTGTGTATTTTGTGGGCGAAATTATTATATTGAACGCTTTTGATTGGAAGCTGTCCCACTCCATCTCTGCTATCCCAAGGAGGTTGACATCCCATAATAGGTTGTCTCGAAGGACAGTCACAACTGTGGACATCACACCACTTTAAATAGATTTAAATGTCATTGTCAGATTGTCCTACCGCTGGTATCTTGTTCAGGGATAGCTGCTACTTAGCCTACTTCTATATAAGCAGCCTGGAGAAGTGCTGCTTTTGCTCGTAAACCAGATACCACTCACAATGTCAATGCAGCAGATGCTTTCACTTGCTCACAAATAGAAGTTAGTCAGGGTGTTTGGCTCTGGGCACTGAGGCAACTCAGTACAGTAACAACTTACTATTTCTGAACCGCACAGTCTGGAGCTTCTAAACTGACAATTAGGTGGAGGACTCATTATTGTGTTCACCGGGGCAGGTTACTGGAAAGGTCTCTCACTTCAGTGTGGTGTGATGTGGATTCGCACTCTAGGGTAGAGGGGAAGGGGAGGAGGGAATAAAACCTCAGTCTCCACATGGTAATAGAGGCTACAAATCTTTGATGGAAAGGCTCTGAATTCTATTCGGTGCTCTTACATTGAGGACAAGTCTCTTACCCCTCATCCTTCCTATTTCTCCCTCTGAATTGTCCTTCCAAAACATCCTCCCAAATATCTTTGCCAATTGTCCTTACCAATAATCGTCACCATCCTTCCTGATTATCCGCATCAATAATTTTGCCCCCAAATCCTTCCCTACACAATTGTCAACTGTAGGACAAGATTGGGATCAGGTATCAGTTAATGGCAGAGCATGCTCACTCACACTGAGTGGCTTGAAAGATGCTGCAGGCATATTAATGGACCAAAACCCATGAACTTTACACAGGCATGTTATTAGAATGAACACCTTGGAACGATTGTCACGGAATATGGGGGCAGACGGTAGCTATAAACTGCTTGGCCTTTATGCTCTCAGAGTTTACGTTGGTAACCAAGTGAGATGAATGTTACAACCTCCTGTTGTATCTGAGGCAGGAGAGTAAAGAGTCTGAGGGCGTAGTGAGATGTTTAAAATGTGATGGGTTAGGTTGATGTGATGGGTTGAACGGCTTTCTCCTGTGTTGTAAATATCCATGTCCATTCGCTCACAAAATATACAGTCAATTCACTTTACAGTATATTCTGTGAAGCGCTTTGAGACGTTTTGAAGACATGATAAAGCGCTATATCAAATACAAGTATTATTATTATGGTTATGTAGGAGATGGACAGGTACTTGTGAAGTCAGGCTGTTGAGTGATGTGGGGAAAATGGCTTAAAATATCTGCCAGGACGGTGGAACAGGCCTGATGCGCTGAATGGCCTCCTCCTGTTCCTGTGAATAAGTATCAAGATATTCAGACAGCCACCTGCTTTCTAAGATATTTTTGTGTCCTGGAACGCTCCTGTACTAATGTTGATGATGAATGTCGCAAAGTCAGGCTAGCTGAGGTTAGGGTCAGTGAAGGTTTCAAATGCCCTGAGCCGGGCAAGGAGAAGGGGGTTGACTGAACTACAAAGAGGGCTTCACCCCTGACTTTCCAAATGCCTCTGATTCAGAGACGACTGGGAAACGTGTCAAAGAGGTGTTGCAGCTCATCGGAATGGAGGTTCAATGACTGTACAGAACTTGTATAAAGAGCAACCGAGGTAGCAATGCGCTGTAAAAGGAATGTTATTTATCCCCCCTGTGGTGTATAATGATCTGTGCATTTGGATTTTTTTTCTTTGGAAGTTATTCAAATAATAAACAGATTGAAATATGTGTTTGGGTGTTCTTTGTCAGTCGATTGGTAGCACTCTTGGGAGTCACAGGGCTCAAGCCCCACGTCAGGGCGTTGAGCTCATAGTCTAGGCTGATGCTCCAACCCAATCCTGGGGATCCACCAGTGTCGAAGGTGCCGTCCTTCAGATGAGACGCTAAACCGAGGTCCTATCTACTTGTTCAGGTGGACATTAAAGACTCCTTGCCACCATTTGAAAAAAATAAAGGAGTTTCTCTCCCGGTGTCCTGGCTAACAATTCCCCAATTAAAATCGGTCACTCCCTTCATGGCTGTTTGTGCAAATTGGCTCACCCACAAAATACGCAATAAAACCATTTTACAGTAATTCTGTACATTTTTGTGAAGCGCTTTGAGGTGTCTCGACTATGTGATAACGGCAGTAAATCAAATGCAAGAATTATTATTATTAAATCCTGTGAAGCACTTTGAGACTTCCTTCTGACATGAAAGACGCTGCATCAAATCTGTGCTGAGTAACTCAGAATAACTACTACTTGAGATTTTACTGTACAAAAGCCATTAGCTGGCTTCTGATTTATAACCAAAGTCTCGCAGCAGATGGCCTAAACTTGGACAAGGCTTAAGTCAGGAAGCCAACGCGGCAGATACATCTACCATCTGCCTGTGCACAACGAGATCAAAACGTAACTTGAAACTTTTCCACCCCACACTTTTAGACTTGTATAGGAGTAAGGAGGAACAGAAAAACATTGCTGTCCATCTGACCAGTCTCAATATAAAACCAGACTGCACACACTGTCTCTTCGACCCCACCCCACACCCCAATGCTTTCTTTGCCAAACAGCTATCCAATTCCCTCTTGAATTTGCTGACACCCCAAAAAAAAACTTGCATTTAATACAGTACACACTCCAGCGCAGTGCTGAGGGAGCTATGGTTTGACGGAGGTGCCGTTAAACCGAAGTCCCATCTGTCCCTATTCAGGTGGACGTTAAAGATCACACGTCACTATTTGAAAATGATAATTAGAATCCTTGTATTTGAAATAACGCCTTATCATGTCGTCAGGATGGCTCAAAGAGCTTCTATTTTGTAGGCAAAACGTGGCAGCCAGTTTTGTGTACAGCTGTAGAGTGAGTGACCAATTATATTTGGAGGATTGTTGGCCAGGACACTTTTTCGAAAAAGTGTCTTTTGAACCTCCTGACATGAAAGGCACTGCATCAAATGTAAAAATTACTATGATTATTATTATTATCGTTAAGAAGAATAAATCACGGGCTATGAAACTGTCACTCACTTGTTATTGTTCCTCGTCACCGATGAGGACTTTCTCATACTTGCCGTGACCTGTTACCACAAACTTGTACCTCACTCCAGCAGGCTGGTTCTGAAACGTAACCAGAGAAATTCAGTGAAGACAAAAGCGCGGGAACGAGGCGAACGAGTTAGGAGCAAACCACAGACTCCACCACAGGAGTTACGACCGCACAATGAGATTTGCGCATTCAAAGCTAGCGTGACCAGACACCAACAAATCCGAAAGCTCATTTCGAAACCCCTTTCAGCACTTTCTCCATTAAAGAAACGGGCATCACCCGCCCTGCCTGCTCCACGATCAGGTCTTCAGCCTGCTTCCACCGTCTCCCTAGGGATCCTGCTCCATTACATTACATTTACTATTGTTTTCTTGTTTCAACTTTATCTATCGCCCCCTCTCAGAGAAAAGTTAATAACCCTTACGTAAGCTATACCACCTTATCAGGGTGCCTTATCCCAAGGCATTACTCAAAAACAAAAGGGAGTTTCTTTCTCCCAGTGTCCTGTCCAACAATCACCCAGATAAAATTGGTCATTCACATGGCTGTTTGCAGGACATTTTGCTGTGTTTCACCTACAAAATACAGTCACTACACTTGGCAATATATCCTGTGAAATGCTTTAAAATGCTTTCCTGATGTGAAAGGCTTTATACCACATGTAAAGATTATTGTAATTTCACTGTAAACTACCATCAGGTCCACCTTTAATCTTCTCATAAAAATACACAAACATCACCCAAGGGTCCTTCCCTGCTACTCATCAGGGATTCACCTTGCTTAGTTGAGGCCAGTGGTTGAGCTCTGTCTGAGAAATAGCTACCGAGTATTTTCCTTTTGATTGTGACGTAGTAACCGACCTAAACCCTCTCCACTCCACTTACGTTGCCACCACCTGGTGAACTGCTGGAGGTTTGGAAATCTGCCTTGTTCTCCCAGATACTCTTTTTGCTCAGCACTTCGCCAGGTTTAATCTCCTGCTGAAAAGATGAGGAACAGTTACTCTCCATTAACTCTCACCACACAACACACGAGCCAAAGTACATCAATACAAAGGTACTCAATGCATGTGGGTTCAAGCCTTGTGGAATCACATAGTCTAAGCTGACACTCCAATATAGTCTTCAATGATATTGTACCATCATTGAAGACTATGATACTCTCTCTAATGATCACCCCCTCTTTATTTAGCTACAGGCTCACTCAGTCTCCAAGCCCATGACACGCATACGTTGGGAGGTTTTTCGGACATTCAATCCACAAATGCACCACCACTAGGTGGTGACATTGTCCCACAACCTTTAACTTGTATCAGACCATTCACTTGGTCAGTATCTCAACTGCTGAGCAAGCAAAGACCCCTGAGAACTGCAGTGGGGAGTCAGCCTGGATTACACGCCACACCTGCTGTGGAGACCGACCCAAAACCTTTTGAGCCAGAGGTCAATGTTGTTACCAGCTGAGCCATTGAGGTGTCCTGCTCTGTATCACAGCACTGTGGACTCGGGTCTTTCACTGAAACTTAGGAAATGCTGAGACACAGAATGTTTTATAAAGGACAGTAGGAAGACGTAGAGAGAGGATTTAGTCAGAGGCAGAGGTTACCTGTCAGAAGAATAGGTAAAGCAAGTCCAAGATTTGGAGAAAGTCTGAAAAGAAGAGAAAGAGGAGCTAATAGCACAGAGCAAAGAATGGCAGCATCACACACTGTACACACACACACACACACACTGTCATTCTCAAACTGTACAGACACTGTCACTCACACTGTACAGACACAGTGTCACACTCTCACTGTACAGACAGTGACTCGCACTGTGCAGCGCTGTGACTCAGCTCCCAAACACAGCTGATAACTGGTTTGGAGACATTCAATGCTTCCCCTCTCCCGCCTGGAAGCCACACAAAATGCACAGAGTGGTGGGTCTCTCCAGGAAGCGGACAGAGGGGAAGACATGTCTAAACAATTACGATCAATCAAAGGCCACCAGACGTGCAGACAGACAGCTGTCACTTACCCTCGATTGGGTACTGCACACTCCCCACAATCTGTAATTCCAATTTGGAGCCATTGGATCAGGTTCCAGATAATATATATACATGTTATATAACTGCTCTCTCCCACCCCCCCAATCCCCTTATTCAGATTCCAGCCTGTACCTCACTCCAGGGGTCCCCCTATTCCATGTAGAATCCCACTCCTCTGAGTGACCTTAAACAGTTAAAGAAAAACAATCGGTGGGATTTCTCCAAGCGTTGGCTGTAGTTGCGGATCGCAGTCGGGATCACTTACCCCTGGTTTGGAAGGACTGGCCTTTGTGCCAGGCTCTGAAGGCTTGCTTATCCACTGGTTAATGAGATTAGAGACGCCCACTTTCAGTCCATCGGTTTCCTGGGTGGAAACAGCAGAGGTGTGCGGGGGAAGTGGGGGGGGGAGGAGGGGTGGAGAGGAGTGGGGAGACAGGGGGAGGAGTGGGGTGAAGATAAGAGGAGAGATGTTCATTCGAAGAGCATTCATTGCCCAAAGCGAGGGTGAATCAACATCGAGAGGCATAAAACTGTTTCCCATCTGACACTGTGAGAGAGGCTTCAATAACTAATTTCCTCAACAATCCTGCACAGGATGCACTCAGCCTAGCAAAGGATAGTGGGACCCCTTCACCAAGAGGTTTGAACAGTGGAGAATAATTGGACTCTGTTATGCGTCTCTTTGGTGCAGGGTCGGGCCTGTTTATAGTATAGAGTGTCATGGACTCAAACTACATGTTATAACTGTATCCAGTGTCCATCCATCCCCTCCACTGGCAGCTTCGCAAACTGGCGATTGGCAATGTTGGCCGTTTGCAACACTCTGCCAACAAGCTGCACCTAGGGGGCGCTGCAGGCTCATTCTGTCCCTCATTAAGCAGCGGTTCACAGTGGACTGGCAGACCCACTGGAAGCTAGCAGGCAGGAAGAAATCTTCATCCTATATTTACGCAACGTGCAGAAAACATCACACGAGTTGGCCACTAAACATTCAGAACAGCCTGGCTCAGTCGCCGGCAACTTCGCCGGAGAGACAGATGTTGTGAGTTCAAATCCCCGCATTTGCACTTTGAGTTCACACAATCTAGGCTGACACTCCAGTGCAGTGCTGGGGAGGGTGGAGTGGGGGCTGCATTGTCAAGAGTTGTCATCCATCACATGAGATGTTAAACCTAGAGATCCAGCTGTCTGTTCAGGCAGCCATCACAGATCGCATTGGGAAAGAGAAGGGAATTTCTGGGAGTGTCTTGAGAGTATCCTGGGGACGTGTGGAGCATTGCCGTGATAGGGTTGGCACAGCAAGCGCCCCAGGGCCAGGAGGGTAGAAACCTACCACTCTGCAAGTCCCAGAGGAGAGCATGACAGCAACCTCCACTCAGTGGGCTCTAGCCTGCTCCATGTCCCTGCCCTGGCCCACGCTACTATCAGCTGTCTGGCCTTCAGCCCTCTCCCCCCACCCATTGGAACTCCATCCCATAATCCCTTTGCCTCGCAGGGCCTCCCTTGCCTCCTTCAAGGCCCATCTCAAGACCCTCCTCTTGGACGGTGCCTTCGGTCATCCCCCTACCCCCACCCTCCCTGCCCTCCATCTCTCCTGATTCCAAACCCCAGATTGAGTCCAAATCCTAAAGGTCCAGACCTTGAGGCATCCTCCCGACATGAAAGGCGCTATACAAATGTAATTTGTTATCGTTGTTGCGAGATCCAGTGCCCATAGTGTTTGGCATACCGTCAGGCAGATAGTGTGGGGGATTGGGGAGGGCAACAGACCACAGATCTCACCACTTGCTCCCTTACCTTAGACAATGCCCCTTTGCTGGATGAGTGGTTGCAGGCATCACCCGTCTCCCACATGCTCTTCTTGGTGGCGACGTCCTCCAAAGGATTTGGCATGTCCAGTGAGGTGTGCCTCAGAGACTTAGTGGTGCTCTGTGGAGTTTGTGAGAGACACAGAGAAATAGGAAACCTAAGACAACTTTCATTACTCCATACGCCTGTCACTATCTGATAGGAACCTAGTTATTAGTCGATTGGAAGATCACTTTCTGGGAGTAATAATCCCTCCAAAAATAAAGTCACTCAATCCGTGACCGTTTGTGGGACACTGATGTGCGCAATTTGCTGCCACGTTTCGCCCACAAAATACACAGTCATTCACTTTACGATATATTCTGTGAAGCGCTTTGAGACATCTCAATGATGTGATAACGTGCTGTATCAAATGCAAAGATTATTATTATATTATTAGAGAGAGAGAGAGGAATAGAGTAATTTAATCAATGCATCTGTAATTTAATGGGAGGGGGGTAATTTTGGGGGTGTGGATGAAGTGTATGATCGCTGAGTCTCAGGTTTACAGTGGGGTTACCTCAACAGCAGTGTTGTACTGCTCCAGTCGATCACCGATCTTATGTACACTGGCTATCGGCTGGCTCTTCTTCAAACTGTTACTGTAATTAAAGAGAGGGCAGTCAGTAAATCAGTGTGTGTGTGTGCACACCATCAGGACAACATGAAGTTAGCGTCAGGGGAAGTGGGAACTTGAGGTGGCCAGCGGTCTACAGCAGCCGAGCGGGGTGTAGACCAGGGGAGGGGGACGGAGAAATAACTGCAGATCTCTAGATTGCGAGATTAGCAAAAGGATTTGGAAATAGCAGACCCCGTGAGTGTCACTGGCCGATGTTTTCGATTGGACACCGATTGCCTGCAGCTCGAGGGAAGAGAAAGGAGTTTCTCTTTTTCGGTGTCCTGAGGCAGGCTGACACCAGGGCCCCCTAGAGACAAGGTGCGAGTTCTCTTACCTCTTCTTGAGTGAACGGTTCAGGGACTCCGTTCTCTCAAGGATCTGTAAAGGGAAACAACTTAGGTTAGGTATGAGTACCCACTGAGACTGGTCTAGATTTCCAACTAACAAGTTAAACGAGCTAAAACCACAGCTTGCCACTGAGAGCGCTGTCTGGGAAGCTTCTCATTGCTTGTCCAGCTAGGACCCCATTACCCATTGAGGCTTTGGCTTACAGAGTTACAGGAGCGGGGTGGGAAGAGTCCCTGCCTCAACCTGTAAATGTAACGCGAACACAGTAAGAGCTTGAGATCCCCATCTTAATGCATGTCAGAATTACTGGTAGTAAAGTATAAGACATCAAATTAGAAAAGTATGAAACATCAAACTAAAGAGTGGACATCACTTACCAAGCTGGTAGTTTCTGGTTCCATCCCAAACTCCTTCTGGAATTACAGACACAGGAAATATGAAACAGCATCAGAGTAGCCCAGTGTGTATGAAATGTGGCGTAGCCTACGTAACGTGGACTGGAAGCTGAGTAGCAGTTGTACAATATATTTGGAGGAGGCCAAGGCCATGCTGCCTAATTTCAGCCAGATGTTTAATATATTGGGTGTGGCAGGGGCGGGCAGTGAGGGGGAGGCTGTTCCGCTACATCTGGCTGGATGAACCCTGGGTCGAAAGCAGGGAGGTCAGGGAGCAAGGGGAGAAGAAGAGAGGTGAGGGCAAGCACTGTGACCTTCCTGTCGTAATCGTTGCTCGGCTACGTCACACGGGACCTCTCCGTACCTCATGTGTTTTTATTAACAGACTCCGGTTCAGTGATACATCATGTGACCAATTCAAGCCGGCAATGCTAAACGAACAATGCTTTCTGTTTGAAAATCGAGCTGTTTCTCCCCTCCCTAGCTAAGGGCACTGAGGCCTATTTTAGATACCTCTGTTAACAGAGATAAAATCCAACACAGACCAGTCATTGATCCTGGTCCATATGTCTCAGTTTCACTCGAGGGTTGCACTAAACGGATGTTCTCGGTGTGTCAATACTGGCCATTGCAGATTCCCCCAGTCAGCGGCACAGGAGGTGACAATCTGTGAAGGGCAAATTTCGGACAGCCACCAAGAAGTATTTCTTGACACGGAGGGTGATTAACAGCTGTAGCACATTGCTCGAAACAGCTTGATGCTATACAATAATAATCCTTGCATTTTGATATAGCCCCTTATCACATCGGAGCTCTCTTGTGATATACTGATGCACAATATTGCTCACACAGCGAGGCTGACATGGAAATGGAATAGAAATCTAAACCTGTATTTAGAAATAATGAGTTATTGGGAAACTGTGTGGGTGTGTGTGTAATTATTTTCCATTAACTGCCCCTCCCAAAGTGTTTCTTTCATTTCTCCTCTCTCTCCCTTCTCTAATAGAAACAGATTACGGAAACAATCCATTTCCCCTTTGGTCTCTGGTCCTTGCCTGTGCTTTGTGTCACTTACATGTTATTTGATAGTGTGTGTCCTTCAGGGGATTCTGGTTAAAGCCTTCATAGAATCACAGAACACTTAAAGCACAGAAGGAGTCTATTGTGCTTGTGCTTGTACTGTGCCTATCTTCCCTCACCAGAGCGCTCTATTCCAATCCCATTTCCCCATAAAGTCTGTGCTGCTACTAACTGCCCGACTGGTCCTAGCTTCCCTCAGTCCTTCTCTCTGCTCTTTCGGCAGCATTCACCACAAAGTACACACAGTCGCACCACTTTACACTATATCCTGTGAAGCGCTTTGAGGGGTCTTGATAACATGGTAAAGCGCGATATCAAATGCAAGGATTATTATTTTTTTTCTCAATTATTACTTATTCCTGTTTAAATGACATTTTAACTCAATGACAATAGTCATGTGTGGTAAATCCACTCCAACACCACTGCAGAAAAAAAAACGTCTTCCTTTTTTTCTAGAGCTAATCCTCAATTTGCAACCACTTTATTACTGACTGTATTTTACAATGGTCAACAACCTCTATCGGATCCCTGCTCTGCTCTGGTGGAAAACCATTTCTGACCTGAATGTTTAATAGAAAAGTGGGTTTTTCATAATCATAAAGAACATCAGAAAATATATATGATTGACTGTTGTTTCATCTGATTTCAATGGCTAGAAATTAATGTCCGGAGGCCATGGTGGCCAAAATTATTGCCGATCCATTTCTCAGTGTTGCTGGGTTTTCCTGTGACATCAGATACTGCATTACATCTTTTTGGTCAGCCGGGTGTCTGACACACTCTTTCCCTGAAGGGTCGCACACCGCACCATCTCGAATTCAAGATCCTCATCCTCACCTACAAGGCCATTCATGGCCTTGCTCCCCACTACCTCTCCAACCTACTCTACCCCTACCTACCTGCCCATACCCTCCATTCCGCTGGCTCCGGTCTGCTCCACATCCCCCACCCTAACTGCCCTACCATCGGTGGCCGGGCTTTCAGCCTCTCAGCCCCTAGGCTCTGGAACTCCATCCCCCAGTGCCTTCGCCTTGCCTCCTCCCTTTCCTCCTTCAAGGCCGGTCTCAAGACCTTTCTCTTTGACCGTGCCTTCAGCTCCCCTCTCAACTCTCTACCCCCTCCTCGCTCCCTCCCTTCCCTCCCCTCACCCTGACCATTTCCCCCCCTGCTCGGGTCCCGACCCAACTGTCCAGCTCCTTGGGACGTCGTCCTGACGTGAAAGGCACTCTATAAATGCAATCTTGTTGTTGTTGTTGTTTGCCTAGTTCTGGAGAGTCATAGTTGCAGATTGGCAAAAGTTAAGGCTTGGGGATTCCAGAGTGTGTGCTGGGGTACTGGTGGTGATTAACCAGTTAAAACTACATAGCTTCCATTCAGAGCACTATCTGGCAAGCCCCCCACTGATATCCAGCTAGGACCATCTTATCTGCTAGGGCTTTGGCTTGCAGGGTTAACACGCGAAGAGTGGGAAGAATGCCAGTCCCCCAGTTACATGACTCTATTGGCATGTCAGCTGAGGGGAAGTCTTGTATGAGACACAGCGTTCATGCTGCTGGGTTTGAAAAAGGGGAACAGGAAACAGGTGCTCCCTGATGTTCAACTTCCAGGGGTGATATTTCTCCCTCTAAAACACTTTCTCTGATATTCTCTCAAATCCAACATCGCAGAAGCTTTTACTCAATGGAATACTTTGGGGGAATGAACTACTTTATTACATCACTGTAAAGGACCATCCAAAGCTTCTACCACCTTCCCCAATGATCTGTTTCAGTCATTGATTACCTTGTGTGCAAAGAAAAACTTTCTGGTGTCTGTCCAGAAATTGCTCTTTACAACTCTAAGCCTTTGTTCTCTTGTTCTACTGTCATGAGACATCCTAAAATATTTAGCTGGGGTTACGTAACTGGGATGCTCACCTGAGGGATATCAGTACTGTTGACCTCTGATCTTACCTCAGCTGGGTCAAGATTCAGGGTCGACAACAGCGCCGTTGTAACACTTGGGCATCCATGGGGAAGTCTTACCTTCAAGGTTGGGCTTCTGAGGCTGAGGGGAACAAACACTTCCTCTGTGCTACTGGCCGAAATGCTGAGTACTTTCTGGCGTCTCTCTGCTGCTTCCATCCTCCGTATCTCAATGTCCTCTTTAACTCTTCTCTTCTCTTCCTACATTGAGAGGCACCCACACGTTCAGAACTCACCCCGTCCCCGAACACAATTAGCATCACGCTGCCACCCTCCCCACCAAAGAGACCACATTTCGTTCAAACGAGGAAGAATTGCAGGGCTATGGGGTAAGAACGGGGGAGTGGGACTAGTTGGTAGCTCTTTCAAAGAGCTGGTACAGGCAAGATGGGCCAAATGGCCTCCTTCTGTGCTGTAAAATTCTATGATTTTAAGATTCTACATCTGGGGGATTATTGTTCTGAGATACTGCCTTCTCCTTATAAATAGTGTTGTGAGATCTTCATCCACTGGGATTGTCCTTCTCCTTATTGGCTGGAATGTCAGCACCCAATAATAAATACAATAAGTTACATTTCTATGGAGGCATTTCACGTCGGAATGACATCCCAAGGTGTTGGAAAGTTAAGGATTTGCATTCGAGTTGGGGGTTGGAATTAAGGGGGTTGGAAGGCACCCCTCGTTCTGCCTCTGCAGAAGGCACAGTCAAAGAGGAAGATCTTGAGACACACCTTGAAGGAGGCGAGGGTGGGACCGAGGCGGAAGAATTGAGGAAAGGAGTCCCAGAAGGTTGGGACAGAAAAGTATTTTTTTTTAAAAAGTTGTAGGCCAATGATAGCGAGGTCAGGATGGGAGACATGAAGCAGGCTAGTGCCCACCACATGGAGGGAACAGGAAGGTTAGTCTGGTGTCAAGAGGTTAAGATGTCACCCTACCTCATCCCGGGCATGCTGCTCCTCTTCCTGTTGCTGTCGGCATAGCTCCTCTTCTTCCCGATGCTTCCGACGCTCCTCCTGTTTCTTCTTCAGCTCCTCCAGCTCCTGCTCGGACTCGCTCTGCCTCCGCCTCAGCCGTTCGTACTCCTCGTTCTCCTTCTCCTCATGGCTCCTCCGGATCTGCTCCAGCTTCTGTTCGGCCTCCAGATGAGTTAGTTCCCCATCATCTTCAGGCTCAGGGGAGTCACTAAGGGATTTGTTTTGGGAAGGGAGAGGGGAGAGAAGAGAGGAAGAGAAAAATAAAGGGACTTATTAACGATTATGATAATATGTCTGAATCTCTCCACGTAGGGAGGGAAGAGGTGGCCAAAAGCATGGTCAAAGAGGTAGATTTGGGCTTTGTAAGTAGTGGGAGTAAGCAAGTTGGAGGACTCCAGGATGGGGTTTCAGAAAGCAGGGCAGACTCATGCAGAAACTCACCTGCTGATCGTACGGAGGACAGGGTGTTGAGCAAAGGGAGTGCCCGGATCGGTTAGGTTGCAGTTGGTCGCAAAGGTAAAGCATTGAGAGAGGGAACATCCCAGCAATACAATAGAAGTCCAGAGAGATAAAGACAGTGTACTGAAGGACAGTCAGAGATTTTGGTTAATTTTTCAAGGATACTTTTTGCTAAGAGTCGTAGGATCCAAATTACCTCCCATCCCCCAGTCCCCACCCTGTTGGTCTGGGAGGAAGGGTGAGAAGATCACTCGGGCTACTAAGTCCTGATCACCCAAGAGTCAAGAACAGGGGTTGCATTCCAATTTACTTCCGGAGTTCTAGGGCCAAGTTCTAGAGCAGAGCAGATTGGCAGTTCAGGGTTTAGTTCCCGGGAAGAAATTCCAGTTTTAACTTGGGAGTCGTTAATAGCGGATCCCATTAATGAACCACTTATATAACCGCTCCCTCCTGGTGTGCTATTAATACCATTTATCAATCCAGGAGAAGCAAATCTACACACAGCAGCCGGTCTGTGGTTGGGCTGACTGATGTCTGATAATTATATCATACCCCAAAGCTTAGAAATGCATAGCCTATATATAGCATACACACTCATAAATACATACATACATAATACATGCACAAAATACCCACACACAAAACACACACATTGGTACACATATGCATTACACAATAAGATTAGAACATAAGAATTAGGAGCAGGAGTAGGCCATTCGGCTACTCTAGCCTGCCCCGCCATTCAATAAGATCATGGCTGATCTATTCTAACTCCACCTACCCGCCTTGTCCCCATATCCCTTAATCCCTTTATCAACAAGAAACACATAACACATACCCAATACTAACACCCACCTACACACATGCGCGCGCACACCCACACAAAATTCCTACAGAATAATAAAAATAATCCTTAATAATTGATACAACGCCTTCACCATGTTATCAAGATGTCTCAAAGGGCGTCACAGGATTTTTGCTGTGAAGTGTGTATTTTATAGACAAACCAGGTAGCCAATTTGCACACAGCAATGACCCATAACAGCCATGAAGTAAGTGGTTGTTTTATCCGTGGGATTGTTGGCCACGACACAGGGAGAAACTCCCTTCTGTTTTCGAATAGTCTGACTGGATCTGAACAGTTTAACGTCTCATCAGAAGATACCTGTATCTCTGACAATGGAGCACACCCCTGTAGTAAACTTGAATGTCATCTCAGAATCCAAAGTCCTGACAAGGGACATGAACCCATAATCTTTTGACTCAGAAACAAGAGGGCAAAGCTTGCAACACAACACACAAATAAAACACACCATGTCTTCAAACAAATGGAAGGAGGGGAGTGGTCATGGTCAGGATCAGAAAATCCAGAACTTGGCATGTTCTTAAATCCATCCTTAATTTTTGGAGTCCTGTAGTGAATTGGTTAGAACACTGGTCTTGCAAGCAAGAGGACCCGGGTTTGATTCCCGTGCAGGACAAAACCTTCGGCAAGTTTCCTTACTGCACACATTTCTGTTTCCCTGGCAGTAAGTAGAAACCCTGTTGTTAGTTGATTGGCGGCTAACTTTCCGGGGGTAATAATCCCTTAAAAAAAGTTTTGCCACTCAATCCACGATTGTTTGTGCTACACTGCTGTGCGCAATTGGCTGCCACGTTTCACTCACAAAATACAGTCAATTCACTTTGCAGCCTATTCTGTGAAGCGCTTTGAGACGTCTCGGCGACATGATAAGGCACTATATCAAATGCAAGGATCATTATTGTTGCAATTTTGAAGCTGTCTTTGTGTAAGTTTCTGTAAGAAACCATAAAAAAAAGCCGAATTCAAGGTCAAGACCGAATTCGACAATTTGCCAAGTTCTGGATGTGCTGAAATGCAATCAATCATGAGTAAATTTAGATGTGGGTGAATTCTTTGCCCACATCTTCCTCTGCCACATCTCTACGTTGAGCTAAACTTGCATGCAATCATTGAAATAACAGGGCGTTGGCTCCAACCGTGATATGGGCTCAAAGGTGGGGGGAGGGGCCGGGGGAGAGGGTGCGAGGGGAGAAATAGAGGGGGAAGGTTTGACAAAACACCTACTGCCTCAACGCAGAGCACCAGAGGATCAGAGAGCTCACACTGTGATCACTCGGTAACGTGCAGAGCAATGGCTTAAGGTGCCCCTCAGTCACCCCCCCACCCCACCCAGCCCCTCTACTTCCCCGCATTCAAGGGGCTGTGGCAGCGTTACCTGCATGATGAGTGGCGAAAGGAGGATTTCCGAGGTTCGGCCATTGCAGATATGGAGCTGAGCGAGCGACTGATGCCTGCGCAGAATGCTGAGTGACAGAGAAGAAACCAGAGAGGAAGGAAGCTGTGCAGGGGAGTGGTGGTGACATCAAGGGCAGCTGCTAACTCTCAACAGCTCTGCAAGGACATGTGTGCAGAGCAGATATTTTTTGGGAGTGAGAAAAAGACTCAACTTCCATTTATTTATTAATAATAATGATCTTTGCATTTGATATAGCGCCTTATCACATCCTTGAAATGTCTCCAAGCCCTTTGCAGAATATACTGTATATGTTTTGCGGGCGGAACGCAGCAGCCAATTGCGCATAGAAGTGTCACACAAACAATCGTGGATTGAGTGACCATATTATTATTTTATTTCTTTATTTATTGTTTTTGGAAGGGGTTATTACCCCCAGAAAACGATCCATCCTTCTGATGAGGGGTTAAATCGAGGACCTACCCTACCTGTTCAGATACTATTCGAAAACTTCTGTCGTTGAGCTGATTATACCATAATTTGAACAGCAAATAAAGGCTAAAGCTAGGTGAAATTCGGTGCCTCTGACAGTGTTTGAAAGATGATTCGTAGTGCGTACAGCTCTTTTGAGGAAGTACCTTGCCACCACTTGACATTACGTCTCCCCAGCCATTCCCCTCCCTTTCCTCAGACACACCACAAAGCTTGGAAGGGGAACTATTAAGAATTAATTACACAGGGAAGCAGTGAAGCTGTGTATTGGATGACAGAGAGAGAGAGAGAGAGAGAAAGAGGGGGGCAGTGGAGGCGGATTTGGTCAGAGAATGCAAGAGGGAACCAGATAGGAGTCTGGTGGAGAAATCGATTGAGAAAGATGAGGGATAGAATATTGTAGGTTTTGGTTTGGGTCAGCCAGGCATCTGGTAGACCCAGTGAACAACTAGCAATCTCTGTTCCTCAGTGGATTGACCTAAGATCATTGCTCTCACTTTCAAATAACTCCATACCTTTGTCCCACCTTTGGGACCTCCTGTGGTGGTGTGTAGTGGATAGAGCTGTAGCTTACATATCAGGTGTGCGCTAATTCGAATCTTGGTTCAGTGCTGAGTTTGCTAATCCCAGGAATAGCAATAATAATGATAATAAAAATAATAATCCTGGTATTTGGTATAGTGTCTTATTGCGTCTCAAAGTGCTTCAAAGGACTTACTATGAAATTAAGTGACTGTATTTGTAGGCAAACGCGGCAGTAAAATTGCACACAGCAATGTCCACAAACAGCCATTTTTTTTATTTGGGGGACACCAGGAGAGAAAAACTCCCTTCTCTTTTTGAATATTGTGATGGAATCTTTAATATACACTTGAACAGGGACCTCGGTTTAACATCTCATCCGAAGGACGTCACCTCCAACAATGCAGCACACCCCCAGCACTGTATTGGAGCATCAGCTTAGACTATGCAAATAGAAGGACCGTTGTGGGATTTGAACCCACAACCTTCTGACTCAAAAGCAAGAGTATTACCACTTAGCCAAGCTGACACACACACACAGTAAGGTAAACCTGCTCCTTGCCAGGTTGCGACAGGTTGGGGCTTTGCAGTCATGAGACTCAGAGGGGACCTTATGGAGACACATACAATATTAAATGGGATTAAAAAAGTAAACCCAGATAAATACTATAAGATGACCCAAGACAGTAGAACAAGAGGATATAGGTTTAGAGTTGCAAAGCGGAATTTCAGGACAGATACCAGGAAGTTTTTATTTATTCAGAGGGTAATTAACAACTCGAACAACGTTATCTGAAGGGCGGTTGAGGCCAGGACTCGGAGAGACTCAACAGCTTGATGCTGTGATGGGGAATTTATTAGAAGGATGAGATCAGATTGGCCGAAGGGCCTTCTTCATCCAAACTGATGTGATCGCGGGAATCCATAAATTTTAAATTGAAGGTCATGAATAATTTCAGACCTCAGACTTCTTTCACAATTGCAGTGTTGGTGAAAACATTTTGCTTCAACACTAAGCAACCAATGAGTCATCGGAAGTCCCAGTTACAGAAATAGTCTTCTAGATAATTGTGGGCTGAAATATGTGCTTGATAAAGTATTTCGCAGGAATTCGTGAAACATCCGGTACATTAGATGGAGACTCAAAGAGACAGCCTCAACGAGGAATCCACCCAAACCTGTGTTTGTCAGACATTTAACGAGCACCTATAATAATGACATTCATAACCCTTGTACTTGTTGTATAAAAATAATAATGATTACACTTAACCATCTTAAGGCCCGAAATTCCATCATCTTGTGTTTTCCTGCATGCTGGTATCATTGGTTACATTGCATTGCTCTGAATAACACAAAAACAGGCCATTTGGCCCAACTAGTCTCTGTCAGTGTTTATACCTCACCTGAACCTCCAACCCTCCTAATCCTCTCTCCTCCCTCTCTATTCCCTTCTCCCTTGTATGCATCAAGTTCCCTCTTAAATACGTTCAAGGGACAATAGCTACATTTTCTTGTTTCTAGCTGGGAAGTCCTGAGACTAAGTGAGACTAAGATGTTTCAAAAATTCAGGATGGCAGAGTAACAGTTCAAAATTCCTAAAATTCAGCCTTGATTTGAAAGCCAAATCATTTTTAATGAAAATTACAATATTTCTGCCATTCTGCACTCAAAATTTGAAGACGCCTCCTACAGCTACGGAAAGAACTCAATATAAACCAGTAAACTAGTCATTATGACCACAGAGTCCAAGACACATGACATACCACAAATTCACAACTTCCTTCTTAAGTTATTGGCGCTCAGAAACATCACACAGCTTCCTGGTGCAGTATAGCTCAGTTGCCGGAGGTGTGTTACAAAAGCCTCGAAGACTGGTTTGTTTATTCCACGGTTCCTTAATGAACCTTCAATGTTGTCCGCTTTTAGCAAAAACCTGAGGTCAATTGCTTGTTCCTATCTTTCCTCTCCCTCTCCTCCCCGTTATTCAGGAAATATTACTGTGTGCAATAATGGGGTAAAGTGTGATGTTTCATAATGCTGAGTTAATTAGCGCAAGAAATGTGTTAAGAAATACCAGTCTTTACTCCATTCGTTGCACACTGGTTTGTTTAAACCTGGTTGCTCTGCATTTCACCCCAAAATTCTTTTTGATAATAATAATAATAATCTTTGCATTTGACCAGCAGCCTTCACATGGGATGACATCGTAAGCACTTCACAGAATTCATTGTCAAGTGTAGTGACTGTGTAATTCGGAGGTGAATGAGCTTCAGGGATTATCGTGGGATTTTTTTTCCTGAAAAGTAATCAGCAAAGAAGAAAGGGAAAATCTCCTTTCTCTTCCAAGTTTTGTTGGGGGTGGGGGGTTGGGTGGGGGTTGAGGGAAGGAGTGTTTACAACAGGACAACTTGCAGAAAAGATCAGAAGTGAAGGTTCAAGGGCCTTCCTACTTTGCCATCAGTGCCTGCTGCATGAACCAGGCTCAGTTGGTAGCACTCTCGTCTGTGTGTCCTGGGTTCAAGCTCCACATCAAGACTTTGAACTCCTGTAGTCTAGGATGACACTCCACTGCAGTGCTGGGGGGAGCACTGCATTAAACCAAGGTACCGTCTGCCTGTTCAGGAAGACGTCAAAGATCCCATTGCACTGTTTGAAAAGAAAACGAGTTTCTCCCGATGTCTTGGCCAACAATCCCCCAGATAAAATTGGTCATTCACTTGATAGATGTTTGTGGGACGTTCCCACAAAATAGAAAGGGTCACTAAACTTTACAGTGCATCCTGTGAAGTGCTTTTAGATATGCTCCTGTTTTGAAAGGCTCACTATTAAATGTAAGGATTATTAATTACTCTAAGTACCTTAGAGTCATCTTGTGTATCCCATACCCATGTTGGGATGTTGTTTTCTCTCGGGCAATGTCTCCATTGTTCTCATAAGACCTGCGGTCGCCCCACGTCCTGGATGTGTAGGAAACTTTGACTTCACTTCCTTTTGGTCCCTGGATGACACAAAAATAAAACTTTACTTAAAAAAAACCCAAAAGGGGTCTTTTGAGAGAGATATCTCATGTATGGTACTTCTTTTTCACTTTATGCACCCAGTCAAAGCCTTCCCAGATCAGATACTGTGTAAAGTTCTTTGCACTCTGCCCCCAGAGAAACATCTGTGTTACACTTTCATTTCCCCTAGCCAGAAGGGGTCCTCAGTGCTCCTGAGCACTGCTGATGATGGACCAGCCAACCTGCTTGTCGGCAGAACTTGGGAAAAGCAGACCAGTCACCCACATTAAATCTCTCACCTCCACATTCAGAAGGAACCAGGAGATAAGCCTGAAGTGAGCACATAATTAAACCGTGGGCTTTGGAGCTTGTCTCACTCAGGCTTCCAATAAAGAGAAGAGTTCTTCTCGGACATTTGGCTTCTGGGAACTGAATGGTGCACTGAGTCAGTATGGTGTGATGCCAATTGGGTCCAGTCCCAGCTAAAAAGACTCAAATCTGTGAGCGCAGCACAATGGAGATTTATTCCGTGTGTTTGCCTCCTGCTTTGGCGTGAAGTGAAAGGAGTTTGTGGGCGTGCTTAACGCAGTGCCCAGTGGCACTAATTTCCAGTGCCAGCTCCCACTTTAAATGGGGATTACTCTCAACACTGGTGTGTGAGAAGAGGAAGAGGTCCATTGATGCAGTGGAAGCTGATTGTTCGTCTGAGTCAGGGGTGGGAGCTCAAGAGGTTGGTTGGGGGGGGAGGGGGGGATGCGGGGTTGTTAGGGGGGCAGGGAAGAGATGACCGAAAGTGCGGTCAAAGAGATACATTTTGAGGCAGGCTTTCAGACTGGGTTAGGAGAGGGCAAGTCGGAGGGATTCTCCGATGGAGCTCTAGAAAGCAGGGGGCAGAATGGCTGAAAGCCCACCCGCTGATGGTGGGGTGGATAGGGCAGGGGGGAGGAGGTAGTGGGGGCATGAAGCTGGCTGGTATTCACTGAGCCTTGAGCAAAGGGAACAGCCAGGTTGAAAAGGAGCTGCTGGGGTGGGGTGGGGGGGCGGGGAGCGGGGGGATTTGTGGTGAAGCTTTGCAGGATTTAAATGTGATGCTGCAATGTGAATCTTGCTGTGAAGTCTCCCTTTCACATCAGGAGTAGAAACAAGATATAAACCAACACAACCACGGCTTTTATTCCTGCTTCTCGTTCCTTACCTTTCCTCCCTCCATTTTTCGCCACTCTCTCTCTTCCTTCTCCTCGTCCAGCTGCTGCTTCTCTTGCAACCTCTCCCTTTCCTCTTGCTCTTTCTGCATTCTCTCCATCTCCTCCTTCTTCTTCCTCTCCCGCTCCCTCCTCCGGCACTCCTCTTCCTCCTGTTCCTCCTGTTCCCTCCGTTTCCTCTCCAGGTCTCGACGTTCCTCCTCCGCTCGCCACGTTTTCCGCTTCCCACCTCTGGCCTCTTCCGGGTCCTCTCGCTCGTTCCCGTCACTTAACACGTAGGGAGGTCCTGGCCGCATTTCCTCTGCCCGGTCTTCCTCCACATGCCCCAGTTCCTCCATACGCTTCTGCCGACGCTCCTCACGCCTCTGGGTCCAGTCGCTGAAACCCTCATCCTCATCCAGGGTGGAATTGCCCGTCTTAGAGCCGAAATCAAACCTGTGACAATGATGATAATAATAATAATCAAAATGCAATAAACCCCTGAAGAGCTGTGCACAACTGGCTGCCATGTTTCACCCACAAAATACAGTCAATCCACTTTACAATATATTTTGTGAAGCGCTTTGAGACATCTCAATGACACTTTAAGATGCTATATCAAATGCGAGGATTATTATTATGATTATTATTATTATAACTCATCAATCCGAGGGAAAAGGGCTCAGTGACGAGTTATCTTCTCTGTAAGCTTCATTAACCGATCACCCACATCTTTGTCTGGCTTCACTGGAAAGCTCTGAATACCATAAACCACAGAACCATAAACATTTACAACGCAGAAGAAGGTCATTGGGATCAAAAGATCTGTTCAAGATATCTGTCAAGATCTATTAAACCTGTGGAGTAGGTTTGTTGTGGTTGAGTTATCCGGAGTGGCGAGTTAGGCATATGTAGGTTTGGTGAGATGAATGCCCCCACACGCAGTGGGGGCACGATGGCCAAACTGTTGATGGTGCGGATAGAAAGCTTGAAGGCCCAACCACCAATAATGGAGGAGGCAGGGCAGGGGACATGGAGCAGGCCAGTGACAGGAGAGTGGAGGGAGTCAACAGGCTGGTGAAGGTTTAATAGGTCACAGAGGTAATAATAATAATAATAACCCTTGCATTTGATATAGCGCTTTTCACGTCGGGAGGACGTCCCAAAGCGCTTCACAGAATATACTGTAAAGTGAATTGACTGTATATTTGTGGGCGAACGCGGCAGCCAATTGCGCACAGCAATGTCCCACAAACAGTCGTGGATTGGAAATGACCAATTTATTATTGTTTTTGGTTTTTGGAGGGATTATTATTAGGCGTGTGGAGTAAGGAAACTTGCCCAAGGTTTCGCCCTGCCTGGAATTGAACTCAGGTCTCTCACTTGCAAAGCGAGTGCTCTAACCACTGAGCTACAGGACTCCACAAGGTAGGGAGAAGCAAGACTTTGGAGGGCTTTAAAGCTGAGTACAAGGATCTTGAACTCGATCCTCTGGGGGATGGGGAGCCAGTGAAGGCGGGTGAGGAGTTAACACAAGGAATAATTCCTGAAACATCACAAGTGTTCCATTGAATAAATGACTGCGTCGATCGGACATCCATCTCCTATTTTGTTGTTGTCATTGAACAAGAGATTAGCAGTTTACATACAAATAATTTAACAATAGAGGGTTTTAAATATAGTAATATACTGCTTCCTCCAATGGTAAGATTAACTGCAAGAGAAACCACCGTTATTTCCATAATTATGCATTCAAGTGCAATGCAGTCAGGGTTAAAGCACGATAGGACTAGGTGATGTAGTCGAGTTAACGCAGGCCCATTTTGTGGGTTATATCACAGACCTCAAATTTTACCCAATTGCTCTTTTATCACCCTATCACCCTGCTCTTAGTGTGGACTAACAAGCATTCAGTCAGGCGAGGGTTAACGGTTCAAACAGCAGGATGTAAGGTGTCAAGAGCGTTAAGTGTTATGGACCAAGATGACTGGGTTTCCTGTACATTGCAGTCAGGGCCATCCGACTCACAGCGTTCAGTACAAGGTTTCCTACTGCATGTAGGTTGTAGCTTGTATAGTAAGAAAAACTGTGTCAAAAGTCCCACACTGGCACTTAGAACTCCATTGCTAGGGGTGAACTGCATTGTCAGAGGTACCGTCCTTCGGATGAGACATTAAAACCAAAATGCCGTCTGCTTGTTCAGGTGTCCTGTTCGCATTAAAGATTCCATGCCACTATCGGAAAAGCTGTCCTGGCCAAAAATCACCTCAATAAAATCAGTCATTCGCTTCATAGCTGCTTGTGGGGCATCGTTTGTGGGACATTGCTGTGCGCAAATTGGCTCCCGCATTCTTCAACAAAAATACACAGTGATTGGCAGCCAAATGCAGCGGCAGGTTTGCACAGAGCAATGTCCCATTTCACAGTAAAAGTTTACTGTGGAGCGTTATGAGACATGTGAATGTGAAAGGTAAGGATTATTATTATTATTATATTTACAACAGAAAGCATTGCAGTTGAGCTGCACATTCCCGCATTTCTGAAGTTATAATGAGTGCCCTCACTCAGAGACCGTGTGTATCACATGCTAGTTCTCATCTGATTTTGCAACATTAGCTACATTACCACCGCTAATCGTTCCCTCCCGATGAAACACACAGTGGTGCACAGTACTTTACAGACTTCTTTCTGGTTGTTGTCTGTCAAAGGCTGATTTGTTTCAGGCTGAAAGGTCGCAAACCAGGCCAATAGCATGGCAGGACCTGACACGCTGGACACAAACCAGGGACTAATGGTAACCAGACTTGGGGGCAAATGTCCTGGGAAACCGGCAAACTGTCGTCAAAAGAGTAGTCCAGCAAACGTGTCGACAATCTCAAGAGGGAATTGGATGTGTTGCTGATGGCGGGGAGAGATTAGACGGCTTGAGAGACCATGAACAAGGGGATTTGGATAAGGAGTCTTGCCAGATGGTTATTAGAATAAAAATAACAAGTCTGGTACTATTACTGTGATCCTTTGTTAATCACATCCAGCCAGCTAAGGATCAGTGAAAATTGCGCTCTGAGCATTTATAATGATAATCGTAATCCTTGTATTTGATATAGTCAATGATCACGTACGTCAATGAGCTGTCCCAAAGCCCTTCACAGAATTATTATCATTATAACGTCAGAGAACACCTTTCGCAGTTATCTCGTCTCCACCCCACGCCACCCCTCCCTTTCCCAGCTTGAGTGCTCAATCAGCTTTGTGAAGTGATGTGAAGTCCGCCCGGCGTGAAAGACGTTGTATAAATGTGCACTGTATTATACTGATGGGCCATAGCACGCTCAAACCCAAGGTACCAACCTTTGGATGAGACGTGAAACAAATTAGCCATCTGGGTCTGTTCAGGTGGATGTGAAAGATCCTGTTACATTGTTGGAAAAGAAGACGGAGTTTCCCCAGGGTAGTGGCCAACAATCCAATGGGTAAATTAATAATTAACCTGATGGCTGTTTGTGGGACATCACTGTGCACAAATACACATCACTCCACTTTACAGTGAAACCTATGAAATGCTTGGTCTCAACAATGCGATAACCTGCTGGATGAGATCAACCTCTCGAAACTGACAGTGTCAGTTTCAACCATGTCAGTTTCAAGAGGGACAGTCACTGTCACTTTAAGGGAGGGTTAAATAACATTGCCACATGCCTACGCCTCTGAGATCTACCAGGAGAGATTAAGTGCGTTGTATGTGGTTCAGAATGAAGTGAAAGTCCTTGATTGGCAATGGAGTCCTTCCTGAACAAAGCTAAACATGAGCAGGACAATGGCAGGAAGGGTGTTTGGCTGTTCCCAGCCCTCTTGCTCTCTCAGCCACCCAGCACCTGTGCTCCCTCACAATCACCTGCACTCTCCAATCTCCAGGCACTGAAACTCACTCACTACTTTCCATTCTCTTTCACGTCTCGAGTGCTTTACGCAGCTAAATGGGCACGCAGCCCCAGGGTGGGAGCTGAAGAGGGTGGGGGTGGTGGGGAATGACTGAAAGCGCAATCAAAGAGGTACAGGATTTTAATGTGGGCTTCAAAAGTGGGCAGAATAGGGAGGGAGGAAGAGTTGGAGGGAAGCCGGGAGGGAATTCGAGATAGTGGGGACAAAATGTCAGGAAATAGAATGCACACACACACCCTGATTACCTAATTCCATGAAGTACTAGACAAAGGTTAGTGAAAGCTAGAGCTTGGGGACCCCAGTGTGTGTGTGTGTGCGTTAGGCGTAGCTGCTGGGATTTAACCAACTAAAATATAGCTCGTCATTGAGAGCGCTGTCCAGCAAGCTTCCCGCTGCTTGTTCAGAGGGCACGAGAGTGTGCTTTAGTTACGCACTCCTGGAGCTTGATGAAGTGCCTTCAACGTTGAAAAATTGTAAAGCACTTTGAATTTTTTGGCCCACTTTATAATGTTTCACCCACAAAATACACGGTCAATCCAATATTTACAATATATCCCGTGAAGCGCTTTGAGTACGTCTCAACGACGTGATAAAGCGAGGTATCAAATGCAAGGATTATTATTATTATTACTATTATTAATTATGGAAGCACTTACTGGCTGTTCTCCACTGGTCCCAGACTCTCGGAGACAGGAGTGGACAAGGTGCTGCTGGTGTAGGAGGCGTCGTCTTCCTGGTCATAACGCCGTTCCCTCGCTCGCCGCCGCCGCTCGCGGGCAATTTCCTCCTCGTCCTCCATGCTCCGCTGCGCAGTCAGCCTGCCAGAGAGCCCAGCACACAGGACAGTCACACACAGTCATGTACTGCCTTCACATCGGGAAAGTAAGAATTACTTTTTTTTCACCCACAAAACATACTTCACAGTTTCACTTCACAGTATATTCTGTGAAACGCTTTGAGACATCGAGAAGACATGATAAGGCGCTACATCAAATGCAACGATTATTATTATTACAACATAGCTGGACAGGCAAAATCGACCCAGATTTCAAACTGATTTGACACCTAATTCTAATTGATTTCACCTATAGTCACATGCAAATTATGTGTGATTTAATCGGCAGTTCATAAAAACATAAGAATTGTTAGATGAAAGAAAACCAAGGTCCATTCAGTTCTACCA